CTGGTCATATTTTCTGTTTTCTTCGATTTACTCCATCAGTAATAGCAGCCTTGCAAAGCATTTTTCAAAACTCCTTGACTTTCGTAACCGCACTTTTGGGCAGATCACGTTATCCAAATAGCAGTGTTACAGCAAAGTGTGTAAGTCGGAACTTACATATTTCTTTTACATTTGTAGCACAAAAGCATCCAAAAGTCCAGTATCTCTCAGACCACCTAGACAAATTTAACCAATGACACACAAAATCCCACTGATACTAGTCGCTGGGGTAACCATTCTATTTCTGCTTGTGGCAGCTATGTTGGACTAAAACTTGCTACAATATCTACTATTAATTAAAATCACAGCAATATAATGTATGAACCCCAGGACACCTGGGCTGGGGCAGGTACTGTGAACAAGTCGTGATTATAAAATTCCTTTAGGATCATTGAGATCGACATAAACCACAAATCACAAGATCAACTTAAAAAACTGTGTCACTGGACGAAAATGTTGCCTGTACTTGACACAGAACCAGTGAAATTTCTGCTAAAATTCACATATTTCTGTGGTAGTTTTCCCTTCCCCTTCTGAGTTTTCTGCCACATTTCTTATCAGGTCACCAGAGTTCACCTAGGAGGGATGAACTCACTGTCTCAGCCTAGCAAGCAGCTTTATCAGCTCCTGGTGACTCAGCATAACTTTTAGTATTCAGCAACACTACTGGAAAAGAAATTAATGAAATCCATCCCATGAGATTAGAGATTCTGCTAATTTATTAAGATTGGAGAAGAGTTGAGAAATCCCTTTGAAATAATTTGCAGTATTTGTTTTTGGGTTTTTTTAACCCAAAGCTCTTTGACACTTGAGTAGAGGTTACCTTCATGTACATTTATTATTGGAATAAAAGATCCATTCCGTCATGCCTAAAAAAATCATCTAGAAAGAATTCAACAGAATTCACTCTTCCCATTTTGAATAACATAACTAATAATCACTACTGCTCATGCTTTTCTATCTCCATTTTAATTGTTGCAGTAGAATACTGTTCTGTGCTGTAAAAACAGTTCTGAACATGATATGATTAACCTTAGGGACCCCCCCATCCCCTCATCTCAAAGCCCTCTTGCATATGGCCTATGCTGTCTATTCATGTTCTACCATCTGATTTCCATATCATCCTGCTCATCCTCACAAGCGGCTATTAGCATAACAGAGCTTTTGTGTGACATTGATTGAAACCAGCGCTTGCTGAATGTAGTATCAAAGCATAATTTGCCAGAAATCAAATCTAATTTACTGTGTACTATTTACATTTCTCAAAAAAAGAGAAAAGGCAAGATGTTTCAATAGAAGTACACTGTAGTCTATAGTCTTAGCTGTTCTTTTTTTTCCTTTTTTTTTTTTGGCTGGTCCCCTGGAATCCAAGCAATATATTTCCATTTAGAGCTATTGTCTTTGTCTTTCAAATGTCAATTAAGCAAGAGCTTTTCCATTCTGTTTATCCCAATGCAGTTAATATTACATCTGAAACAGTGAAGGATAATAGTCTGATAGGCACAACACTCGGTCTGCTGCTTCATCACAGTTTTTTCAACAGATTCTTCTAATGACCTTAATGTTTAGCTTGAATTAAGCATTAAAGTACCATATAACTTTAACAGCTGAAGCATATCAAGCCTGCTGTTATTTCTCTCACTGTACCTATTCAAAATGTTCTAAAAATCCACCTACTCTGAGAGAAACAATAATGGCTTGAATGAGATTTTGTGCAACATTCCAGTGCATCTGGGCTTTGAGCAAGTCATGTTCTCGGTTAACCTTTCTGCAAAATGGGAATAATAATATTTATCTAATTTTATAAACAGCACCTATATATGAAGATAATGAGATCTTTTTTTAGGAAAACTGAGGAGCCCAAATGCTTGTTCTGTCAAAGTAGTCTTGCTGTCTCTGAGGAGGGTCTTGTTGCGTTCTCTGGAGATAATGGGTATCTTACTGATTGGCTGTCTTGGTCTACTAACCAAGAATTTCTCCTGTGATATTTAACTGTTACTTTCAGCTTTCAATTTGCATTATTCAGCTAGAAGTTGTTATAAAACTGATACAATGGAAACATTTTTTGAATGTTATAAGGCCATGGATCTTCTGTTACACCTAGTACAGCAAATGTTAGAGAGAACTTGCTGTGTGGCAAGGAGACAACAGAGCAACAGAGTTAGTCCATGTCATTTAGATTATCTGGACTGATCTACAGCCTTAACTCCTACTTCTTTTCCTTGTTTCATTTTGCAAAAGAAATAATCCTTTGTCTGCTCTCAGGAAAGTGAGAGATATTCAAAGTTGAGGATAGGTCAAGAACTAGAAACTAGGTAGAAAGTAGGATGCTTATATTTACTGTTCTTTGACCACCAAATTATGTTAATTTGCTCCTTGGGAAGTCTGCTACAGCAACAAGTTCAGTTCTATTGCATCTTCTCAGAGCTTTGGATTATCAGCTTAGAGTACAGCCCTCTGTGTGTGAGAATGTTTCCAATGAACCCTTAAACTTACCTATTTTACATTTACTTGGTTATATGATTTGAAAGATAGGCTCATGGAAATTCCATGCCCTTCTTCCTTCTGTTGAACTGTCTCAGAGCACTGCCTGCATAGCCTGCTCCCAGTATAACAAGCATGCCTACAAAGGGATCTTAGGCATTGATCATGCTTCCACATGATCTATAGGATTTTCTTCTGACAGAGGTTTTTAGCATCACAATAAAAGGTTTATGGTCTTCAGGCCATCCATAAAGCAGCATAGACATAGGACCCATGCATAGTTACTGTCAAATGCAGATGTAACACCTGAAGAGGTTATAGTTTTCCTGTTCTTTGCTCTGCCAGAGGTTCCTATTGATTCTATATTAATATCCAGGACAATGAATTTCTGTATGGCTGAGCATCAAACAGTGAACAAATTCAGTGACCTTTATTAAGTAGGTGGTCAGAATTGTAGAGATACCTTAGTGTAAAATAGGTTTTCTAATTCACGTCTAAAAGTCTTTCTCTCTTTCCCTTGCCATATGACTGAATTAACAAATGTGCTGATTACCACACTGCAGTTTTGTGACACTTGTAGGGACTGCATACAGATATGCCATGTAAAACAAGGTGAAGGGAAAACGAGTAATTTGCTGTAGTCCAGCACTTCAGGAATAGTACAGCATGAGTTGGGATCCTAGGTTATGTGTAGCAGCACCTAAGCTCTTATAGAAACCTCAAAACATGTGGATATAAATGAGCGGCATCAGAGAACCTAGCCCTGAAACCCTTTCAGAAGAATAACACCTGCTGAGGCCTGGGGAAGGGGTGGACACTTCTCTCTCCAGAGAGGCCAAAACCTGTGTTTAGAAGTATGAGGCAGAGAGAAGACGCCTCATGTCCCCTCCCTCTGCCTTCAAATTTGATGGTGTTTCATGTTTATTAAGTGCTTTACAGTTCCTGTTGTAAGGGTACATTACACCAGTCCTATTCAACTGGTGCTCTCTAAGAGCCTGCTGTTCTATAAAGCCTCGGGAATGGCATAGTGTAGTTCAAAAAACTCAGATCCGCATATATTTTGGTGCAGTTAGCACATTTGCGTCTGTGCTGTCAGCAGGTGTAATCGGAAGCTGGGTCTTGATTGCTCTTTGTGCCTAATTAAATAGTTTGTAATTATAATTTTGAAAATATGGTTTTCTAAAACACTTAAATTCTGTTTACCTAAAAGCTTAGTGTTCCTAAAGCATCCCTCTCCACAACCACCAAACAAATATTGGAATAGAAGAAAAGGAATGTCAGGTTTTGGTTTGGGGTTTTTTTTTTTTGTTCTTTTGTTTGTTTGTTTGTTTACTTTTTTGTCCCTTTCTTCAACCTGCCCCAACAGTTAGTTTTTTTATGGGAATACTTGGAGATTCCACTTACATTTTTAAGATATGCCAAATAGTATAAATCCAGTTCCAGTGAATTCCAATATTGAGCCAAGACTGGAGGGGTTGCATGTCATGTATAGAAAAGTCATTTGTTTTATCGCACCATGCTCAACATAGTCACTGATGTCAGGATTTTCCTTGCAAATCTTCCAACACTGCTTCTTCCTCACTTTTCTTCTGCACATTAACACCTTTTCTCTCCCTTCTTGTTCTCACCAAGCATTGACTCTTTATTCTCCATCACTACTTCCAGACAAGACAAACTACGTGTCTCTTGTAGAAACTGTTCACTTCTGACTGTACTTCCTGGTCCCCTATGTCTGAACACTGTTAATGCCATCTATTTGAAAACATAGCCAGTTCTGGTTCTTCTTTCTCCTTTTTACCTTTCCTTGTCTCTTCCTGATCTCCTGGAATACTCATTCCTTCTTACTCACTAACTCTTCCAACTCTTGTTTCTTTCTTGTCTTTACACAAGCTGAAATCTGTATCTCCCAAATAGGTGTTGTTTTAGCAAATTCTCCTTCCACTTCATTCTTGACCTCACTACCCCTAAGAGAAATGAAAGAGCTCTTGAACTTCTGGCCTTCTGCTGTCCTCCAGACCTTCCTCTAAAAGTCTAGAGGGGCAGACTGCAAAGGGCAATTCATATATTGCAGTATGCAATAGCTCTAGCAGAACAACAAGCTCTGTGAAACGTAGAAGGTATGTGTGAGGGTACTGCCCAGACGAAAGGTAGAATGCATCCAGAGCTGGCATCATAAACACCTGACTGCTGCTCCTTAGCATTTATTGTCATCAGAATTTACTGTAGCATGTATGGTTGTAATGTTTCTTTCTTTTGTTTTTACTGCTGAGGATATCACACACTGATATTGCTGCTCTTTTTGTTGCTGCTGTTGTTTTTGTTTATATATTAGTTCTGTCTATACTAATTAATGTTTCCGGTGTCATGTCCTCTGGCATAAACCAAATCTTCATAATGTTGTCTCTTTCCTTTGATATTCCTCATGTCCCCCTCACAAAATATCCTAAATTTACATCATGATTTTTCTTACTTTCTAGCTCCCCCACAGTTTGTGGTGAGGCCACGAGACCAGATTGTAGCCCAGGGTCGAACAGTGACTTTTCCTTGTGAAACTAAAGGAAATCCCCAGCCAGCTGTTTTCTGGCAAAAAGAGGGAAGCCAGGTAAGTTATAAGCACCCTTACATTCTTTCAATCCTTTCTAAATAGTTATAGTCTTAAAATTTTAAGAAAATTGCCTTCACAGGTTCTTTAAAATTTTCACAGGAATTTGTCTTTTAAACTATCACTATTCTCTACCGACATTTTTATTGCTGATGTTTAGAAATATTAATATTGTGAAGGGCTCAAAGGCCCTTTAAGTTAGTAAAACTTGTGCTAGGTGCTGTATAAACATATAGAAAGCAACAGTATTTATCTTAAAGTCTTCATTCCAAAACCCCCAACAAACAGGTGGGTGAGACAAGCATAGTAGATAAAAAAAGGTATGACTCAGTTTTTAACTAATCAGAGTCAGTAATTACAGTTCACAACCTGTCTAGACATGATCAAGCAGATATATATCTAGCAAGCTGATTTGCATTGGCATATTCTCATAGTGCATACAGATACAGGTTTTGAACAGGCAGATGCTTTCTTAGTAAAATTGTCTCAGGAAATTTCCAAATCTGGTTTTGGAAATATTTCCTTGATCTTTACTGTCATTTTTTTTAAAGCAGAATTTCTGATGCAGTAATCAACATTGCCATCAGCCAATGCTAACTTCTGTAGCTTGACATAATATTTTTTTACTGCTGTTGCTGTATTGGCAAGGCGTTAGAGCAGAAGAAAAAGTCCTTCTCACTTTGAACACACAGTTCATGTTAGTATGTTAAATTCTAACACTTTAGGTGCTATATTCTCTTTTGTACCTGAGAAAAGATTAAAAGGGGCAGGTGGGTGCCCAAGGACAGTGCCTTTGCAGCTCCCTGATGAAGACCGTCATAACTACATTTATGTATCTATACTATGTACCCTTCTCCATTAGCTAAATTCATCTTTTCGGAGCCACACTGTGCCACACAGTGCAGAGGTGCCTTTTGTCTAATCTGGAGGCACTGTGTGTACCAGCTCAGTTAGAATGCCAGATAAGAACTGAACCACAGATCCCACACACTGCCCTATCTGTTTCCTCTTCACCTTCTCACCAGATCAGGTTACTGGTCCACAATGACAGGACCAAAGCTGACAGCATTTTTGCTGTTACATTTGTGGCTTAGATAGAAGACTATTTATGGGTGTAACCTCATATGAGTGTAAGCCTAATCTTCAGTGTGTATCCTTCAGTGTATTATTTGGAGAACTCTGTATCTAGCCCGCATGGATTGCATCCTGAAAAAGCACAGTATTGTGAGTCTCACTAAGGTGAAAATTGTTCCAAAGGGAAAGTAGAATAGCATAGTGAAATTGAAGTAAGAAGTACTGATGTGCTAGGAAACATTTGAAAACCGTTCCCTGTAGAGCATTTTAATAACATGGTAATGTTTATGTAAAGTGAGCTTATAGTGTCACACTTAAATCTAATAAAGTGGACATCCATCATGCTGTAATAAAGAGAAGAGCTTCTAATTAAAGTAGGACATCATTTGCGGGATTAAAGTCATTTACCGTAATTGAAAAGTGTTAATACTCTATTTTATCCTCTTCTATTGGTAGCGCTTCAAGGGTAAAAACATTTTAAGGTGAAAATGCATCTTGTGTCTTTAATTGAATGTTATTACCTACCGATTGTACCACATTGAAGCTGTTTAATTACAAACCTGGAAAATTAATTACCATATTGAGAACCAGATCCCCGAGGGTTAGAATGGTCTTTTTGGCAAATAAATGCAACATAAAAATTGATACCTACATGGTTTATAATCAAACCTTGAAATGTAGTTCAATGTGATTCACTACACCCTCTTGTTAATCTTAATTGAGCATCAGTGTAGTATCACAGGTTAGTGTTACCATCTCAATATGCAACTTGCCAGGATTTGCATTGAGATGCTGTAGAATAGGTGAGTCTCACATATTGTCTATCATCAGTCAAATCCGAAGGAAGGTATTTTGGCCAAAGTATGTGACTTTTCACCTTTGCATGCCTGGCTATAAGTTGTTGCTTGGCTTTACAACACTTGCTTCTGCTTTTGCTTGAGGAACCATTCACAGCACCACTGTTACTAACAGTAATGTTATGTAGTTGTGTTATCCCACTCCATTAATTGTAGAGCATCTTTCGTTCTGTATCCAATTCTCAATCCTGTGTTTCTGAGCACAACCAGCTGGAAGGGAGGGGAGCTCTTCCCTCCTAAGTCATTTTTTGTGCAAGCTTCTGCATAAACAGCTGGTCTTTTGTAATCGGTAGCCTTTTCCCCAGAGACCAACAGCTGCCCACCAGTGAAATGCACCAGGGCAGGGCATGTGTAACCTTTAAACTGTCTGGATTAATGTTTTCCTTGAGATAAATTCGGTGCTATTATGTCCGGGATGACTCTGGTCACTGTTTGCAACCCAGTGTTTCACCACTGTGCCTGACAACTAATTAAACCCAGTGAAATTGTAAAAACATTTTCAAAGGGGTTGCACTATAATTCAGGACAACGTACAATGCAGAGATAACTGGTCTTTGATGGGAGGAGTCATGAGACTGATTAACTCCTCCTGATGTGTAGAATATTTACTGAGATGTGGTACCTTTCCAGAACAAGTTCATGCTAAAGATAAAAAAAGGGTAACCACCCTTTCTAATGCAGTGGTAAAGAGGGTTCTGACATGTTTACTTGGGTGCATATTGAGTTTTGAGTGAAAATTTGCTGTGAAAAATTTCTTGAACATTGACAGTGAAAGGGGGTAAGGAGAAGGACTCACCCTATGGTGACAAGTAGCCTCGTAGGGTAATACAGTTATAAGGTATTTGGAGTGCTGGATCTTATGTAAAATATATCTCTCTCCTTTTACTGACAAACCAAGAGAGAAAAAGATGAATTCAAAGCAGAATTCTTTTATACTCAAGTTTATTGCTTGTCTTTTCCAAATATTTTTTGTAAACCATTAATGTCTGCTGCAGAAGAAGCAGATCTACAGAAAATTCATTTGATACCCTACTCTACACTTTTAGATTTTCTTTTTAACCCATATAGTCAATCTTAACAGTTAGTAGGAGCTTGTCATTAGAAAGCACAGCAGAGCTCTACAGAGCTGCATTAATGACTGAAAGCTTATCACAGCATGGTAACAGTGGTTTAGGTTATTCCTGTATTTTTCTTAGTGTTGACGTAACAGACAGATCCTATCTTCTTGGAATTACTATTGTTTAATTATTGTTTAATTTCTCTCCTTTTCTGTCTCATTGCACAATGCTGCTGAGCTGCTGACCTTTCTGTTCACATTGCCTCCCTCTTCCTGTTTGTTATTCACAGCAAGAGCTGTGCCAAAAAATACAACTTTTTCCTTGAAAACACAGCCCTTTCCACTAAAACCCTTTCAGTCCTTTTCTGTATTATTGATTCATTCAGTCCTTCATCATATGCAATAACTACTACATCCATTCTGGTTATTGACATCTCTCTTTTCTCCAATCCAGCCGAAAGGCAAAAGCTAATCTCCCTGTTTTGTGCTAACTGATGTCTTACCCTACATGAAATTATTTTTTCTTTACGATGATTTCCACATCAGATTAATACCATTTCTCTTCATCCTCAAGGCTCCATGCTGCTTTTGTCCTCTGGTATATCTCACTTTTAATTTCCTTTTACTTCTCCTTTAAACTCTCATGCTCTGCCAGCTCTTCCTCCTTTATGACCTGTTTGTATCTTCCTCCCAGATTTGTTTCTGTGCTACAGTCTTACTTTCTCCTTTGCCTGGGACATATTCAACCAAACAATAGTGTTGTGCTTCTTCAAGTCTCCAGGACTCAATTTTTTCTTCTAGTTGTCTAATATTTCTTGTACTATTCTGCCCTCCTGGTTTTGATGGCCAACTAAGTATATTATTACAATTACATTCACAATGGAGATGAATGTGGCACAAATACAAATCTGTCAAGTGTGATTGTTGGAAAATTTCTCCTCGCTTATACCCCCAGCCAGAACACACCACTGTGTGCTGTCAAAGGGCTGTTTCTAATTTAAACTGCGAGTTGCCCAAGGCAGGGAAAGCTAGCTCTGTGTGTTCATAAAGTCATAACCACACTTACTTTTTCTTCTAGTTTGTATATAGTGCTTTTAAGGAAAGTCATTGTCTTTCTCACTGCGGGAAAAGTGGTGCTTTTGTGTTCTGAACTGATGTAAGATGAACTGTCTTTGCAGAATCTACTCTTCCCAAACCAGCCTCTCCAACCCAACAGCAGGTATTCAGTGTCACCAACTGGAGATCTCACTATTACCAACATTCAGCGGTCTGATGCAGGCTATTACATTTGTCAAGCACTGACAGTAGCTGGAAGCATTTTAGCAAAGGCTCAGCTGGAGGTTACTGATGGTGAGTTATAGAAATTCCTGTTGTTTTTTCCTGTCAAAAGTATTTTAAAAGCAGTGTAAATGAAGACATATGAGAGCACATAATTCAGAGAAGTAAATTGACAGGTTTCTACAGAAAATGCAATGAAAGAGGGTCTCTGCAATTGTCTATGGTATCAAAAAGGCCATCAAAGTCTAGTTTGCCTTTTGCTTCCTTTTGGAGGTTCCTCAACAGAAAGGACAAACACACTTAGATTAAGGTTGGTGAGAAAGGAAGCTGCTCAGTTCACTAGAGCGAAGAGAGGACTGCAGAAAAACATTGTGAAGAATGAACAGGTTTACAATTAAGGCAGTGAATTGGGGGGCAGAAAGATGAGGTTCAGTTCTCACCAGTCTTCAGTATTATCTGAAGCAGGTAATTTGAGGGTTTGTCCTTAGTTCAATTCAATCAACACAATTGCTTGAACTTACTGGGGAACTCTTGGTTCAGAACAGCTACAACACATAGCCCTTTAGTTCCTCTGTGAATAAGGCTCCTACCTCAGAGCTATGTTCTAAGAATTTCTCGGTGTGGTTGGGTATGAAAATGCACATGGAAATATGCAGGTAGAAGAGTTTTCAGGAAAGGAAAAGCTCTGTTTTGATGCTTTCCGTATCATAATTTTGGGTTTGTAATTTATCCTCCCTTGTAGTTTACCTTAGTCCATCTACAAACGTGAATCCTTTTCATATGTCAGGAATCCTGTCAATATCTTTCTTCATCCCATTGCAGATAGAAGGCAGTTTGTATCCTTTAATGTTAGTGAACAACAGAATTCCTCTTATACTAGGAGATTGTGGCATTCCCCAGCATCATTATTCCTTATCTTAACTGACACATTAAATATCTCCTGACAGACTTTGATGAATTTTTGCCATTAAAACTGTTGTTATATGCAGAGGTCTACTTTTACTGTTCCCTTAGAGACCTGCCTGCACCACAAAAGTTTGAAAAGATGTCTAATTCTGAATAATCTGGCTTTTCACAAGAGCATATTCATCACAAGTGACAGGTAGAGAGGTTCCGGCTCATGTTATAGAGGTTTGAGCATTAATTTGATGCCTTTTCTTTGTTTTCCAAAAGCTGTCTATATTTTTATGACAAGGGGAGATAATTTCTGCCTTATCCTTGCATCTTTACAAGCACATTGCTTTTCTGTAAAGTAGTTTCTGGACACTAAAGGCTAACCTTTGCTCTGCAATCTCTTTAAGTCCTTTATTTCATTGTCTACAACGACATGATGCATTTTCATTCAATTCAAATTTAAATGTAGATTAAAAGGTCATTTAAAATTAATGGAAAGGCAGTATTTTTTAATATCTGTCCATAGCGCTGCCTGATTCAGTGCCATGACTGTGATTGGAATAAATAGAACACACAAACATTGGCTAAGAGGACATTGAGCTGCTAATGGTTGCACCTGCTGATGCTGTACAGATTTACTGCAACGGGCTGAGTGGATCAAATCAGGTTCAAGGATACTAGTGATGAGAAATTCTTCTTTTTGACAGGCCTGTGGCTCATCTTTACTTATTTCTCGTGTAGGTGAAAAAAAAACTCTAATTGACCTCTTTGCAATTTTTGTTAGTTTATTTAAGTCAATGGAAAGCTCAGAAAAGTATCCCTGCTGAAATGCAAACTCATCTACAGTTAATTCTGATTAAAGGCAGTGTGCATTCCACATTGCTAGAGAAAGCATAAACTGGTGGCTCTGCTGCCTACGAAATGCAAGGCTGGCGCTCTTCAAATGCTTTCCAGAGCACACTGTCAGCATGATTATGAAATAATACAAGTTAGCTTTATAGAAATACCATTTCATACTTGAGTCAAAGGGCAGGTGAGGTCAGAAGAAAAGTGCCAAAACAATATTGTGGAACTGAGATTATATAAATAAATGTGCCATTAGATCACAGATATTTTTAAAATTGCTTTCAGTTAGGAAGTTAACCATAAATGTCTAAATAATTTCTTTTGGTTGATGCTGAGCAGAAATTATTGAAGCTAATGATTTTTATCAGTAAGGAAATCTAATTTAATGGTTTAAAAAATGTAATTAAAGATAAACACTGTGCATGCTAGCTATATACTTAAGCATTAGTGTTCTAGTTTTTGGCTGGTGGTTTCAGTTTTACTTCATAGCCCAGAATTTTTCTGTTTGGTTAATGATTTAATAATAGTGGTGAGCCATCTTTTTCATTTTGAACACATTTTTGTTTGATCCAGAGTAATTTAGATCCAATTGAAGTTCCAATACAGAATGAAAACATGTCATGTGCAGAAAAACAAGTGCTTAATTATACCATATATAGCAGTGTTTCAGTTGTTACATCTTTGCACTTACAAGTCTTTACTGGAAATATTTTTAACTCAAGTGTTCACATGAGAAGAGATTACTAGCTGTGATGAAATTGCTGAGTTAAGTGATAATTTTGCTGCTTATGGACTGTGCTAAGAGCCTTCAGTGTATTTGAAATTCAAATCTTGTATTTCTTGAAAGGCTATCATACAATCCACTGTCTAAGGCACATCTGGAAAAGCAAAATTGTTTTAAAACTGAAGACAACCTTAGCAACCCTTTCAAACTCAAGAAGTGAATATGCAACTCAGGCTTAAAATGACAGATTGTGCAAATAAACCAGATGCTTCCATCTATTTCTGTGCTCAAGATAGTTTACAGTTAGCAATTTGGTCCATGCACAGAATACTTTGGAGGAGATCTCAATATCTCCTTATCTAGTCATTATTAATATTTATTAATAAGAATTTTGACCATTACATGCTCAACTGTAAGTTCTGTCTACTTTGCCCAGTTTGCCCAGGAGTTGCTGTTCAGGGTAGGATTTGGATGGAGGGATAAACCTAACCTCCCATTGCGGATTTTTCTGGCAACATACGAATGAACTGGTTTAGGATGTTAGATCAATTAAAAAGATGGTGCTCCTGGGCTTTTGAATGATTCATTTTCCTCATTAAACATATATTTTATAGCAAGTGTGGCAGTTTCAAACAGGAGGGATTCAGAACAACTTCACAGCCTCCTGTGAAGCCCTTCCACAAAACAGGAAGAGGATGAACTGGTTTCTGCTGTTATGCCTCTCAGGAGGGCACCCTGCCCTATCGTACTAGTGTTCATAATGAGGATTTCATAACTTGTGTCTGATTTTCCCAATGAACTCACCAGGAAAACCTTTGAAATGTTGATTTTGGAAGTAAAGACTTCAGTTTTTTATTATCTTATTTTCATTTCCTGTTGTAATTTGATCAAATTCCACCCAAATTAAGACATGGTTTCAGTTGATCAAATTTCATTGTAGAGAATAAACTGTTCATTAATAAATACAATTTGCTCTTTTCTGATAATCTGCCCCAAATTTAAGATGCATTTTATCACAAAAGAAATCTCATATTTTTTCACTTACCAGAATAATGTGACTGTATATATAATGCTGGCAAATAGATTCAAATCCATTTTTTAAATTAAATTAATTTTTAGATCAGCTTCTCTTTTACTATGCAAGTATATTTTATCCACACAAAATGTTTCTGTGGAATGGATAGAAAAGATTCCTGCTAGGAGAAAACTATGTAAAATTAAAAAAAAAAAAAAAAAAGCAAAAGAAAACATTAAAAACCCCATTCTTTTTGTGGATTTTTCATTCTTTCTCTGCTCTTCAGAATGCTTATCATTTTAATCCACTAACCAAGTTTTGGGTTCTTTCTAATGAGACCTATATAGTAGGAAACCAAGCACATATACACGTTTTAGAGAAGATTTACAAGTCATAGTTGTGAAGACAATACAGTCGTTCACAGATCAGTGGAAACCCTAAGTGTTCATTTAACCTTTAGCCTTAGTGTCATGGAAACCTGTAGTGGTCTTTCACCCATAACACCCTTGAAAATGAAGATTCCTTCTGGCCAGGAGACTTTCAATTACACTATTGATCAGAGCTATTTAAAGGATTATGAGCTTCTCATTTGGGCTGTAAAAAAACTAATTATGTGCCAAAGAACAATATCTGTAATGCAGTAGGTTTTCAAAATACCTACATTGCTACACATAGGAAAGGCAATTAGATACAGAAAATAACTGCAATGGAATAGTTAGAAAATGAAGTTATTCTTTTTCCTTAATTTTTAGCTATCTAGAAAAATGAGATTTGACAGTTTACATTAAATCTAAAGGAAAACTGACACAGCTAAATTTTCATTTGAATATACTCATGCGGTGGGTATGCTGATAGCGCATATGAGCTGAGGTAATTTTTATTCCACCAAATGGCTGAACTCTGTAGTCATAAGGAACCTTAATGAGATTAAAAAATTGCATATCAAGGTGAAAATGCATTACATATTCTCTTTTCTTGTAATATAGTTTTTCCTGTCTCTGAGTTCAATGGCTAATATTTCAGAATTTCAAAAATAGCTTTCACATTCTGGTGTTAATAAATAATCTGTATTGGCTTTCTATTTTCAATTTCAATTTCAATAGCTATGGTGAAGTTGGACTCCAAGAAACTACTAATACTAATGATTTTATCCTTTGTATATCTTGTTAACAAAAGAAGGTAACTAGTATGTTTGCAACATTACCATTATTTTAGTTATAAAATACACCACTAGCATCTCCCTAATATTTTTAATTTATTAAACAGCATAATGAAAGATCTGGGTCTGCTGAAGATGTCTCATCCAACATCATCTCAAACAGCTCAAATAAAATAGAAACTGTATTGCTTCATAATAATGTATTTTCACTTCACTGCTAGAGTTAGGTGTTGTGTATGGACTGTAATGAAACACACTCTCAGCTAGAACGAATGATTCAAGCTCAATTGACATCAGTGGAGGCTGGCTAATTTACTCTGGTGTAAGAGCTAATCCTGCCTGTTAAAAGATTTAATACCAATCGTACAATTGTTCAGTGGCAGGTAAATATATAATAATGAATTCTTGATTCTGTTATATTGGGTTTTTGCAGAAGTCATAACCTCATTGCATTCAAGTATTTCACATTCATTTTGTATAGCACATTCTTTAGAAACAGAGTTTTATTTTGCTGTTTAACAGCTGAGAAAATAGGTTTAATAGCAAAATTACTTGTGAAGAATTGGTCTTTCAAGAAAAGCGAACATGAGCATTTTACTCCATCTTCAAGTTGTCCCACTGATGATGGAATGGTTTATATGCAGCCATGCACTTGCTCACTGCTTTCAGAGTCCTTTAAGCAGTAATTCAAGTGTGCAAATCTGAATTATTAGAGGAAAAAATTAAGAGAGTTCACAGCTTTAAAAGGCAGTGAAATGGTTTGATAAGTAAGCTGTTAAATGCCTTGATTGAGTTTGAACTTTTCTCCACTGAAAAGAGTGGTACAGTAATTTAGATTACTCAGATTATGGAAATGTTTTGTATTATTGTTTGCTGATGAAAACATGCAATTTGAGCATGAATGGGAGATGTGGTTGGTACCCATGCTAAAATGACTATGGTGTTTCACTTTGAACTTTAATAGAATCTCTCTTTTAGGCCCTAAATCAGGTAAGCAAATAAGCACATTTTGATGTGACATTAAATATGTGCTTTAAGTGCTTTCCTAAATAGGAAGAAATAAGAGGTGTACCTCAATTCTTTCCTGCATCAATATCTAAATTTTTATCCTATCTTAATCAAATGAGCCTGGTGATCTTTGCTAGCAGAAGTTTTTATATCTAGGTGTTATCTCACAGTGGTGAAATTGAATTCTTACAGAAATACTTTTCAAATATGCCAGTTATTCAGTGGGTTTAAAAAAAAAAAAGTAGCATTTCTAGCCTTTCAGAGACTTACTTAAATTAATGCTTGTATTAGTGCTGTTATCAAGCAAAGGAATAACTTCAGCAGAGAATTGTTAAAGGTGTGGATGCCAATGTGGGTGTCACTGTTTTAGTCTTGACAGATAGGCCTCCACCCATCATCCTCCAGGGGCCGATCAATCAGACACTGTCAGTGGATGGGACAGCTTTGCTGAAGTGCAAGGCAACCGGTGACCCTCTCCCTGTCATCAGCTGGTTGAAAGAAGGATTCACCTTCCTCGGCCGAGACCCTCGAACATCCATACAGGATCAGGGGACACTTCAGATTAAATCTCTGCGGGTGAGTAGAGATAACAATTGGTACAAGTGGTACATGGCTAGTCTTGAGCTATCGGTGTGTGCTGCAAGCAGCTCTGCTGTCTTCCTGTCTCTTGTCTTCAAAATTAGCTTAATGGTCTCTTTTACTATGAGATTCTCACCAAGTCCACATCCTATTTCATTCTTTGATATTGTGTAGGGAAGGGAGGAGAGGAAGAGAAGAGCCAAACTATCATGAGATATTTCTTTCAGAAAAAAAAATAAAAAGAGAAATTGTATTTAAAATCTTACATAAGTTGCAGTAAAACACAGGAGTTGGGAGTGGGGAAACATGTAAAAGGACGGGCCTTCTTCATCTTTTCAGTCTGTTCTACTGTGAAGCCACTGGCCCATTGTCTTTCTTCAAACTTGGAGCAGTTCAGTTTCAACACCCAATCATAATTTTCTAAGGAGCTATTGTGCTAGCAAGTGATTCTGGAGTTCATCAGGGTTTGGCTGTGCATTTTATCCATCAATGAGTCTTGGCTGTCTTGAGCTGGCTGATTTATTCCAATGTTATGCTTGCTGGAGATGTTCCATCAGGCTGCAGATGTGAGAAGACAACTAACATTGTAACATGCATCCAGTCATATGGAGAGGAGTTTCTATTCAAAATAGAATGCCTATCATAATATTTACATTTTGACACCTGAGATAATAGAGTAGCTTAAACGTACAAAGAAATCTTACACTATTCCAGGTAGCATAATGCCAGATTTTGTTCCAAAACGTGGCATCACTAATCTTTGCCTGGGCTTTTAATTTTTCCCTCTTGAAAGATAAAATTGCATATATGCTTGTGTGTATGCAGACAAGCGTGTGTGTGGAGAAACAGTGAGTTAATTATTATCAAGAACTTAAAGGTAATTTCAGTAACCATTTAATTTCATCAGCAGAAATTTCTGCACTTAGCTTTGCCATCCAAAAAAATATCAATAAACATACCTACCGAGGACAAGACATAAAGAACAGATTTGTTTTCTGATGCCATCTCATCAGTGATCATAGATGAATTGTTAACTTCCTCGGAACAAAATGGAATTTATTAAAAAATTTATGCCAGCTTTCTTTGAGTAAACAATTTATCCTTCCTTCCTGAGCTGAAGGCAGGTTTAGGCCATGAAGGTTAATGCATTTTTCCTGTAGAGCTGGATTAAAGAGTGCGCTTGAATAGTCAAGATTCCCCAGTAGTGTTAGAAAGCAGCAATTAAAGGTGGAAGCTTAGTGATTTCAAACAAACTTTCAGGCATCAATGATGGGCTTCTGTGGAGTGTCCATGAGGCAGAAGCTCCTGGGATACCTGTCTGCATGCAGCTATGCAAACAATGAAATTGGTTCTGAATCGTGCCAATGCATTAATCACGCTGTTAGAGGCACGAGGTCTGCAAATGAAAGGGGAAGAAAAATGCTTGCAAAGGGAGAAGAAAACAGTATTAGCAGTGAGCATGGTTTTGAAAGACGTGAGGCTTTTATTGATCCTTAAGTGGCTCATTCACTAGTAACCAATTTTCCTTAAAGGATCAGAAAGACATTTTTTATAAACCCCTCGATTGCAGTAAAGTGCACTGTTTGACTCAGACCTAATAACAAAAAGCACACACAACTATCAAAACCAGATTTCTTCTGTGCTTTGTAATTTTATGAATTAAATGTGGATTTAAATCTGAAATGTTTAACTTTTCTCTTAGATGTAGCTGAGTGAGGACTAGCAATGCTTCCTAAGTAAAAAGTGGCCATGAAATACGTTCAAGTACACTTACATACATACCGAAGTTCAAAACAAATTCATATTTATCACCCAGATGTCCTCAGCCTTCTCCTCCCCTCAGAAGTAATAATCACTGCTGCAATCATAAAACATTCCAAGATAAAGAAAGACAAGCTACTACTATTTAAGCCTTTGGGATTTTCCTCTTCTGCTGTGAAGTGCTCTCTGTGTAAATCAAGCTATTCAGGAGTCTGCAGCAGTCACAGTGAACCGTGGGCCGTAGTCCTAATCATGAGCCTAGACATTTTTCTGATGAGCCAATCTTCCTAGTTGCTCTGAGAAAGACAACTGAAACCTCACATACACCACTCACTCAGTACTCTTTCAGACAGGCCAGCACTGACAGAAAACTCACTTATGCTCCATAAAACTGTACCAGACCAGATTTAGACACCAGCATTAACTAAGAAAAAAAACTATTTATTTTACTGAATAGCAAAGATTTTCCATTCACCTGCCCTGTTGTGTTTTCCATAGTAAAAAAAAAAAAAAAAAAAAAAAAAACTGAAAATAATTGAATTACTGACACACTATGTCTGTATCTAATCCATCCACAGTCTGGAAGTTAGATAATTCACCATAACTTGCAAGAAGCAGCATCTCTCCAGCTTGCTTTCTATGTTGAGTTTGCCTTCTTGCAAGTTACTCAGTTGTGTGTACCCCATACTTCATTGAGTATGCCATACACCATCTGTCACAGTAGTACACAAATGAAGTTGAGAACCATAGCCTTCAGAAATAGTCTCCATTATCACATAATGAAGAACTATATGTTTCATAAAAGCTCAGAAGCAGCAAAATAAAACACTACTTCAGAATGCTATAGGCTTTCTCCTCTGGAAAAATCTGTCTCCTTTCAAGAGCCTTTCTTATTTCATTAGCAGTATTTCTATATTTTGAGTCTTTGAGCCATTGTCAGAAGGGTTTAATTATTGTTTCTATTTCATGGAAAAAACATCTTCTAAAATGCAATTTATGCTCATTCAGACAATTGAACTGGCATTAATCAGTTGCTTCCTGCCCCTAAGAATGGTACACTGCAGTCCCAGTGTATCTGAAGAAAATACCAACAAAATTCAAACATGAGAAAGTTAAAAATCAATTAAATTATATATCAATGAGTAATCTAAAGAGCATCTCACTTATTTGCCTTGACATTCTTTTTGAAGAGTGAGATATAAGCACATATGCTATACTGCCAATCTGCATTTAGCAGAAAACCAATTACAATTCCTTAAAGTCCAATAAAGCTTCTTGGATGCAGTCCTATTTCCGTCAAGTAGTCTGATGGTGAATATAATTCTTCTCCTTTATCACTAGAGTCAGCACTCTTCCCCTTCTGCTTCCATCTCCAGATTACCATGCTTTATAGATAGTGGTGGGAGGGTTCATTTGTATATTTTAGGCTTTGTAAAGTTACTGTTTTCCATCCAGCTCTTTAGTCTTCATTAGTTCCTGTCTTAGAAATCTTTAAATTTAAGCAAGAAATAGCAAAACACTTGGCACATTTTACACTAGAAAAATTCATGCAGCCTTGAGATTGATATTGATAATATAATTCAGAATGGTTTTCCTAAATAAATTTGAAATATATGAACTGACAAGGGAATCATAGTAGTTTTACACAAATGCATTACTTTTTTGCTACCGAACTGTCTTGCAAGCCTGAAATAAGATCCCATGTGAAATAGAAGAAAGGTAAGCATGGTGTAGGATCTAATTTAATTTTGCTATTTGAAAATTGCTTGAAAGACTGTCTGTGTAGAGAAAACCACTGATAAGTCTCAGCAACAGTATTTGTATGTGTGGTGGCCTGTGTAGAAATGACTTCATTTGTCATAAGAATCTAAGTGCCTTCCTGGCACTGGAAATTGTATCTCTGGGTCAGGGAATTATGAATGGTGAGATTTTATCCTCTAAGAAGTTAAGTGTTATGTTGTCAACCTGATTTCACCTGCATTTGTTGTAACCAATACAAAGAATGACACTAAAACATCCATCCTGTAGCACTTACATGCTGTACTAGTACCATTAACAACATGAAAATTAGAATTAGAAAAATATTAGAAACAACTAATCTTATAGTTCCCTCAAAGTAAGGCACACAGTATCACAGTGTCACAGTATGTTAGAGATTGGAAGGGACCTCAAAAGATCATCTAGTCCAATCCCCCTGCCGGAGCAGGAACACCTAGATAAGGTTACAAAGGAACGTGTCCAGGCGGGTTTTGAATGTCTCCAAAGAAGGAGATTCCACAACCTCCCTGGGCAGCCTGTTCCAGTGTTCCGTCACCCTCACTGAGAAGAATTTTCTTCTCAGGTTTAAGTGGAACCTCTTGTGTTCCAATTTATACCCATTACCCCTTGTCCTTTCATTGTTTGCCACTGAGAAGAGCCTGGCTCCATCCTCGTGACACTCCCCCTTTATATATTTATATACACTAATAAGGTCACCCCTCAATCTCCTCTTCTCCAAACTATAGAGACCCAGCTCCCTCAGTCTTTCCTCATAAGGGAGATGCTCTACTCCCTTAATCATCTTAGTTGCCCTGCGCTGGACTCTCTCCAGCAGGTCCCTGTCCTTCTTAAACTGAGGGGCCCAGAACAACTAATCTTATAGTTCTCTCAAAGTAAGGCACCATTAAATGTTTGCTTGAAGTGTCCCGTGCCCTGTAGTCTCATGTAAAGTCTAGGCTAAATCCTTCTTAGCAAAAAATTTAGAGAAAGAAAACCAGAGTAAACTCAGTCATTTGATTCTAAAAGGTTGTTAAAACTTCCCTTAACTGTTTTTAATGTCTAGCTGTCTGATACTGGGACTTACACTTGCGTTGCGACAAGTTCCAGTGGGGAGACGTCTTGGAGTGCTGTGCTGGAGGTGACAGGTAAGCGATGTCCACAGGCTTTCTTTCAGTTGGCACAAAATGAAAGTGTAGGGTATATTAGAGTCTGAGTCCAATAATCTTTTCTGGAAAATCTGGGGTTGAGAAATTTTAGGTGGGAAGGTTAGTTCCTTCACTAATTTAATTGTCTTTTAACACTACAACAGTTCGTATTTGTATCCAGTGAACAGTGGTATGCTATAACTCTTCTCAACAGGAGTATTTAATAAACTGAGGATTCATCCAGTAATAGGCTCAGGCAAGAAAACTATTATGCCTATACAAAGGCCTGCCAAAGTCCAGTGTGTTCTCTGAATACTGGAGTTGATCTGGATATGGGAGCTTTCTCAGACTGAGGTTTTGGTATTCTACATAAACTTATACATGGCAATGCATAGTTGTTGACTTAGTTCTGTGTAGATTAAGAACATTGGTTGTGCTGTTTTTCCAGATGTTTGGCATGTTTTTCCTTTTAATCTTCTTCTTGATCAAATTCATACAATCAAGGACAAAATGTAATTGTTTTGTTTTGTCCCTCACAGAATCCGGTGGAGCAACAGTCAGTAAAAATTATGATATAAATGACCTCCCTGGGCCACCATCCAAACCTCAGGTCACTGATGTTACAAAGAACAGTGTCACCCTGTCCTGGCAGCCAGGGACTCCTGGAAGCCTACCAGCTAGTGCATATATCATTGAGGCTTTTAGGTATGTGAATTACTCTACTTTTAATCTCCTTCCTTTCTAATTTTATTTAAACCCTGTTACCAGTTCTCTTGGTATTATGGTGTTCTTTGGGACTCTACACATATCATTAGAAACTTAATTTAAAGACTCAACTCCTATGGCAGGCATTGATTCTTATTTTTCAGTGTTGCTTTTTTTTTTTTTTTGTAATTTATCACTTTTTTCTAAGTGATTAATGAGAGGAGCATCTAACTATTTCTTGAAGTCAATTGGAATATAAACAGAACAATACAGTCGTGATTTGCTACTTTTCCCTCAGTGACTTTCCTGTGGGAATGCTGCAGGTCAAATCATTTGGGCCAGTGTTATCTTGACTACCATAGTACAAATAACCTGAAAATACATGGATGATCCTGAAGCCTCTCTGCATGCTTTAATTCCTGTTCTTGCTAAAGCACCACCTGTTAAAGAGTGAAAGCGCTTTCTGTTTCTATTTTTTACTGGTTTAGACGCATTTAGCTTTTTCAGCTAAAAGTTTTGTGTTGATAATTTAGGATTTCATCCTTCAGCATGAGGCTGAATCCAGCTGCTCCTTTCCACACAGCAGCAATTAATGCACGTTATGAAAGAACTCGTGGGCTCTGATTCAGCAAGTTTGTTTGAGCATGGCCCATACCTCTCACATGTATCCGTAGTATATGCTTCAGCCTAAAAATGAGCACATTTTTAAATGTTTTCATTAATCAAGATGTTCAACAAATGGCAAATTATTTGATTAATCTTTTAATTAAAATTAATGCAGGAATTTTTCAAAATCATATGCGTGCAAATTTAAGAAACTGGAATGATAATGCTTCATCCTGATATGTTAATATGCAAAGAACACTACTGCATGTGCAGACTGTTGATTTTGGTCCAGAGCTTACCCATTGTGTGTTGTGTGAATGAAACAATCAAAGCAATGTGAAACTTGTAGCTTTTAATTTTTTTTCCTTTTAATATATCTGAAGATTTTTTTTTATTAACGCTATACAACAAAGCACAATAGAATAAAATTTTATCTTTAAACTTTTGTGATTTTTTCACCCTACATTCACTTTCAGTAGCATTCCATCAAAAACCTTAACAAAAGCCAGGCATTTTCATTAAAAGCTGTTTTTAACAATCAGAAATTGAAATCTCTTCATACAGTGCACTGTAATCTAATCATAATAATGTCCAATGGAAGATGTAGTGACAGAAAAAATATTCATATGCTTTCCTTCATTTACAAACATGTTTTCAGCAGGGTTTTTTTGTAACTTTGAGTATGTGTTTAGTTCAAGTTTTTTAGCTCTTCCAATGACAATTTATGGACATAATTTACTTAGCATTGTGGAAAATTACTCAACAGGATTTTGTTTTTTAAGGTTTATGTTCAAGAGTGGCCTATTTATAATTCAAATTTACTTTCCACACTTTTCTTTTGCAGGTGTTTATTTAGAGAAATAGCAAAAGCTTTTGCTTCTATTGAAAAGAGAAACACTTTTGACAGCTATGTGATCTTTTCAATCCCATCTTGATGAGTTAACTGAAACAAATTTTTTATTTTTAACCTGTTTTTACAGCTTTTTCCTATACTTAGACTTTATACAGGGTTACAAAAGTAGGTAATTTCATTATATTTTTCTCATACATTAGTCCGTAACCTTCAGCTCTCTTGTCATTGCAGTCAATCTGTGAGCAATAGTTGGCAAACGGTGGCTAACCATGTGAAGACCACTCTCTACACTGTGAGAGGACTGCGACCCAATACAATCTACCTGTTTATGGTGAGAGCTATCAATTCACAAGGCCTGAGTGACCCCAGCCCTATGTCAGATCCTGTCCGAACACAAGGTAATAGTGATCATTAAGGTTTATGTGCTTGAGCTGAAATAGAAACAGCTAACTGAGAGCTGACCTATAAGTCAGTCTGGCCATTTGACTCTAGCACCCTGACTGAAGGAATCATGAATTGAGTTTAACCAATAAAGATAAAAAATAGTCCAGTGTTTGCTGTATCAATCTGGAGTTTAGGAGCAATAGGTTAGCTCTTTAATCCTTTGTACACTGTAGACATTTTGGCTTGCAGTTCATTTTGACTTGGTGAGCTCCTCGATGCCTGGTTTCTATTGAAAGTAATGTGGGTTATCCAAGCTTTTCTGAAAAGTCCTCAGAATCCCATGCTCCCCTCAGTATTTTTTCTTTGCATGACCTTACTTCTTCTCCATTATTCTAATAGGGATATTCTATAATAACAAGTGCTTATGATAGACGGACACTGTGATTTGCATTAGTTTTAATCAGAAGACCTTAAAAAAATATCTGCAGTGTGTTGATTAGTCTGGTCCAAAATCTAGGCAGAGAATTAATGTCAATTAAGGCATCTGCATGCTAAGAATATTTTGAAGTTATTCTGAAAAAAGTATGGGTCTGCTACTTACTTACCTAGATTTCTGATTTCTTTATATTAATCCATTGCATGAAGAAAGAGGAAAGGCTGAAGTGATAATAATTGGTAGCTGTGATCCTCTACTGCTATTAAATGGACTTTTGAATTCTGTTCACCATTACATCGGGCTCTAAAAACTGTGTCTAACTGCCACAAAGAAATTTCTTTTCAGGCATGTTTTTGGCTTGAATATTTCATATGAATGTAGCTCTGTGTTAAACAGGTTGGAATATAGGAATTAATGATTTTTTTTGAATTGTAATTTTCCTCAGGTCCAAAGTAATAGCCCCTCTCACAGTTAATTTAGAACGTCATCTTCTGTCACTGTTTATTGAAGTTATAATAGTGTGCCTGAAAACTGCATCCTGTGTCAACTTCCAGCATGTGTTAGTGGTTTGGGTCCTTTGTTGATCCTAGATGGAAAGAGAGAAACAAGGCTAGGGTGGAATTTCTTTATCACATAAAGCATCGCATCCAGCCTCTCCTACAAGTCTGTTCCTAAATAAATCTGACCTTAATAATTATCCCCTAAAAATACTTATCATTGCTGTAGAAGGAGAAACAGAGCTGCTTTCTGAAAAGTGGAAGGAGTGAGTTGGGTAGGGATTTAATGGCTTCACTGTCCATGGAGTATCACAAGTTTTCTTCACTTCCTTACTCTCCCATTATTATAGGGTGACTCATGCTTTTCATTGCACCAGCCTTTTATTCTGCATAACTTATCACCTAGTAAAAAAAGAAAAAAACACAACAACTTTGTTTGGCATTTGAGTGTCAAGTATAGACTTTTCATCTGACATACTGACAAGCAATTTGATTTCAGTAAAAACATATCTTTTAATTAGCTGCAGCATGTGTTGTAGCCTCCATTTCCAGAAGCTGTTTAGCAGTCAAGCACATTGAGACATGTAGAGGATTTATAGCTTCTTTGCAAGCCTGCAGTTTAATAGAATTAAATCATAAAATCAATTGAAAATTAACATAATGTTTTGATGTGATTTCTAATTACGCCTGAATTCAATTCAAGCTCATGGAAGAAGCTGACACACGGTAGAGTCTATTCACAGTGGCCATGGAGGAACAAAAAAGCAGCTATAACAGTGCTATATAATACTAGCTTGCAACAGGTGTCTGTAGTAGTTTTAATAGCTGAGCTTTTAATTTCCTGGTATTAAGTATGGAAAAGATAAGTAACAGGATTTTATGCCTATTTTCAGCATTGGACCTCAAACAGACAATTGGACACTTTCAAAAGGTTTACCTTACATGCCTTACATCAACTAAGAGCAGAGAAATGGGTAATTAAGAAAAGAGCTGATTTCTTGTTTGGATTATTAGCAGATCAAACCATATATTAAAAAACACTTTAAAGAAACCATATATAATCCTATCCCTGGAATTTAAATTACTAGCAACTAGTAGTAACTTCCCTGGAAGCTGTTAAAAGACAGGTTAAAGGAAATAGAGATCTCTTAATTGTAATCAGAATATAGCTTCTCATGCCAGTTTTGCTTCAGTCGTGACTTTATTATTCCAGTACTTGATGATATCCTTATAGATAGATCAACAGCTTTTCTACCAGGAGTCTGCTAGTAAAGTGAAAATGACATTACAAGATATTACACTGTGAGCATCACATACGCATGTTTCCAAGTGTACATACTGGAAAACAGAATACATCTTGATACTTATTTCTTACCAATATTAGCCCATGTTACTCCCTTACTTCTGGGCATACATTCCATTAAAATGATGAAATGTAGTTCATACATATGTAGAAATGTCTTCTGAGGGAATAGAGATACTTTGTTGGTTGTATACCAGAGGATAACTTAGCCTGAAATGTAGCCATGGCTAGCTGTAGGTATTTTGTATCAAGGATCATAGCTTTTTGTGGATAGCAGCTTAAATTATCATCCTGTAAACCAGTCTCAGTTGCTATCTTGCAGATTTGTTTCATTGTATCTCTCTGTTGGTTTGTTGGATAGGCATAATTTTCTAGACAAGGCCCTTCACTGACATCCATATTTGGGTTATATTGCTTTTGGAGATCCATGGAGCCATTTTCATTTGAGTATCAGTAGAAGCCTGTTGCAATATTGTTTATTGATGGCTCAGAATCCATAACAGTCCAGAATTATGACGTTGAAATACTGATGATTAAAACCTACTCTCTTTCAAAATCGGGAGGCATGTGATTCAAACTCAGTTATATTTGTAAGAGCACTAATATTTCTTCTTAATAATATTACTAGATAAAAAGATGTCACATGCTGCATACTCCCGTATCTAAGACCATCAGAGGGGGATGAAAACCTTATATGTATATATTTTCTTCACAAGGACATAAGGTTGATCCGAAAAGAGGGAAAGAGTCTTTGGCTTGCAGATCCCATGAGAAAACCAAGCAGAATTCACAGATGCCTGGGCAAGCATGAGCCTAATGTATTTGGCCTTTGGGATATAATTTGTGCTTGTATTCCAGATTCTCTCTTCTGGAAAATTCAACCAAATTCCAGCAGAAACAAACAGTATATATATATATATTCCTAACAGGCATTATTCAGTCCACAAAGATAACTGACGTAGTAAGGGCTTCTGTAACTGTTGTTCAGGAACAGCATTGTAAGATCTTTGGTGGATCTGCTGAAAGGATGCAGACTTCACTGGCTCATAGAAAGTGCATTCTCTTTTTTCTTAAGATGGAAGAAGGGACATGCTATGGTGATATATAGCCTAAGAGATAGCTACAGCCCAGCTTTCTTCTTTTGGCACAACAGAACAAAAAACTAAGATTTCCAGGAACTATCACTAAAAAGACACATGGAAGATCTCCTGCTCCATTTTCTAACACATACTTTGTATTTGCAGTTCCTGTTTAGAAAGGTAATATGGCCTCATTCAGTTTAAAACAATGGCATAAGTCAAATGTGGCTCCTGAGGACTAAGTACCAGAGCCGCACGTGGTGGTGTGGATGGAATCACAGTTTTCATTAGAGGTATACTAAGTGATCAAATTCCTTCATATTTTGACTAAAATAGATAATTTCCACACACACTTTGAATAAATTTTTGGCATAGTCTTGGAGAGAAATTTTTGTGGTAGAGAGGTTTTTTTTGGCCTTTTTAAAGTTCAGAATCAGATTAGCTTAATGGATAATCTTTTTGTTTGTATTTTCTCTAGCTTTCCTTATCTGTATCTGTAAAGGGAAAATTTGCCCTACAGAAGAAAATGCTATTTTTGGTGTTTGGTTTCTTGTGTGCATGGTATGTGGGGAAGGGAAGCTTAGTTGAAGTTTGGAAACGTGTAATGACTTAGTGTCATGTATGTTCTAAGAAAATAAATAAATAAATAAACAAACCTGTTCATTTTCTTCAATTGTACTAACCAGTTTGGTTCCAGACGTCTGGGCAACATTATTAATATCTGAGTATTTTGGGACTAATGAATATTTCATCCCTCTCATCACTTACCACTTTCACTACTATAAAGGGTGTTTAAATCAGGTCATCAAGCTATTCAGTATTCTCATTGATGCCATATATAACTCTTCTCACTAAAATAATGCTTTCATGTGTGTGCCTGGCAGATATCAGCCCACCAGCACAAGGTGTGGATCACAGGCAAGTGCAGAAAGAATTGGGAGATGTAATTGTACGACTGCATAATCCTGTTGTGCTGACACCCACAACGGTTCAAGTTACCTGGACGGTAAGTCTTGTGTTATTATTACCTTAACAGTACTTTCATTTTGCCTATTTATCCCTGCAGTTTTTTATACCATACTCAAAAGCTCCAGTCTTGACCCCAGTGTGAGTGCTCTGATAAAACAACATTATAACAGGCATATATATGTGGTAATGAAATGGTCTTTTATTTTCTCTTTCAAGTCAGGTAGGTTGAAAATCTTCAGCATTCAGCTCAAAAGTGAGCTAGCTGTCTGACTAGAAAAATACGATAAAAATGAATATGGCTAACACCATAATCTAAAGGATAATTGATCTGCAGACTCACTACTGTGCATGTCAAAAAATAATCAAAGTTAAATATCAACAGGAAATTGCTGTATGAAAAAGCACTTTCCACTTCAAGGCATAGGGACTTCCAACAATACCCTATTATGTGGTGACTCTAAAATGCAAAAATAGGTTTCCTATAGGGCACTTGTAGTGCAATCAGAAACACATGGTGCTGATGCCTGATCCACTGTGTAGCATCTGTGTTTTTTAGCATCAGCCTTACCCACAGTCAGTGGATATCCTTTCATTAGAATCATTTTGGCAGTAGTCAATAACTTTTCTATTTCAAGGGTCAAACTACCGGGTAGAATTTCTAATATAGTGTTTGGCTTTCAAAATGCTATGTTTTCCTTCCTGAGGCTTGAAGGAAAGGATTTGTAACCATAGGAGGAGAGAGTTGCCAGGGTGCTGCATGCCGAGTGTTTTGCTCTTGGGGTATTTTCCCCAGAGGAAGGAGAGCCACAGGCAGAAGAGCGAGAGAAATAGTACTGCATGTCACTGAAACAGTTGTATTGTCTGGTATGAAATCTGCTAATGGATTGATCTCAATACTCAGGGATTTTCTTCTACATGTAATATTGCTAAGAGGTTAATGTGTAGAGGGGGTTATGCAACAGGAGATAAGTGTGGTGATAGATTATGTATTATAAGGATTACTGTTGGTTTTGCACAATTTAGCCATATTTACGGGAGCTTATGCACCATACTTGCTCTGGCAGATTTTGGTGGTTGAAAGGCCGATTAAAATAAATAGAGAAACCAACAAATTTGTCTTTGTTAGAAGATTATTTAGAAAATGTGTCATAGCACATTGCATTCAATGTCAACACACAGCTTGCCTTTCTAAAAATGCTGTATGCTTCAGCTACATCACTCCAGAACACACTGGCTAACCTTTGTAGCAAACCCTTTGCTCAAGCAGATATTTGCCCAAGCAGGTGGGTCAGTAGTTAAGAAACCTTAGATGTTAGCAACCAGGAAATGCAAACCTGGCTTACATCTGTACGGTGCTCCTTTGAGTCCTTTCTTGGATGTGACAGTTATCAGAAAAACAGTTTCATAGGCTTGCCTTTGCTTTAGCATATACTACAAAAGGAAGCCCCAGTATAAACAGAATTCAGTTTTATGCAATGTAACCAATATCATTATATTATAATGAAATCTATATTTATGTGTGTGTGTATATCTCTATCTAAAAGAGTCTCTTGGTGTCCCTACTGAACAAGTAATGAGTGAAGAAAACATGGTCAGGTAAAGGTAAATTGTTAGGGGTATCAGCTTATTCAGAAGATCTCTCAAAGCAGTGACCCTATACAATCTGACAAGCATATAGGCCTCTGCAGAGACCTTTCAAAGTGCCCAAGGGAAGAAAGACACAACAGAAGATCTCTGGAACAGCTAATTAGAAACTTTCCAGCAACCAGAACAAAACCAATTAATTAACCATAGTCTCTAGGAAAAAAGCCACTCTATCCAGAGAATAAAGTTCCCTCTATTGCTATAAAATGGCTAGATAGTACAGCTATCATACAAAAGGACAGAAGCACCATGAGAGTTGTAAGACTCCTTGTGCTGACTTTCTGCGATTCAAAGAGTGAATGCCAAGGAACATCCCTGGTTATTCAGTTTCTGGCGTCCTGACTCCCAGTGAATTAACACCAATTTCTCTTTTCTTTCTGAAAGGGTTTTGGGTTTACTTTCTCTTTGATTTTCAAATATGAGTTTAAACTTTCAGAAACAGTTCTCTGCAGGTGTGTTGCAATGTTAAAATACACACAAATGTCTGGTTTACAAATTCAGTGTTAATAAAAAAGAAGTGTCATGTCTGTTAAATTTATTCCTCTTGTGCATAGGTTTTTAAAGTGTGGCTGTAATTATGAGGTCACATACAGGATCTGTTCTTCATGGAGCTATTCAACATTTCTTTTTATCTTCTTTATTCACTCTGTGATGCCAGGTCTTATTAAATTCATAGCATTGAAGCCTTGCATTGAATAAAATATTATTAGTTTGTCTCACATGCTTCCTTATCTGTCATGCTCTCAACCGTAACATTTGTGTGCTTCACAAATAATACTGAATTTAACATCAGGATGATAAAAATGTGTCATTATCCTAAATTTACACACAGAGAGGCAAGGTGCAGAGATATTTATTGCTGATGAGAGTTACAGAATCAGACATGCCCAGTGTTATCAAATGGCTAATTTTCAAACTTGGGTCTGATTTATTTTCACTTTTCTCAAAACATTTTGCATTGGAACAGCATATTTTGTACTCCAAGCACTTTTTTTTTAGCTGACCTCAACTACAGTTAAGCACTTCTAGCCTCACTGGGCATTAAACTGAGATTTTCATTAGTGGTCAGATGTAAAGTTTCCTAGCATTAGAAAGGAGCCCTGTGGCACAAGCAGGAGTGAAAATCAGTTCTTCATTATAGGAAAAGAATTGTTGCTCTGAAACCCTGACTGCTTTCTGGGCTGCTACCAGGCAGAAGGATAATTTATTTACCTCTGTCTTTTAATTTGACATTGATTTTAAATGAATGTAATTCACTGGAAGCTTCAGGAGTCAAGTCCTTTAGACAGTCTTCTAGTGTACCGTCACCTTTTGTCTTGTTCCTGTAGGACAGATAAATGCTAGTGCTGTTTGAATTTCCAGGGATTACTCTGAGTGTGTTATGGTGAGTTCAGCACAGTGTGCAAGGTATTCTCTGCAGATGGAGAATTGCTGTGAGTATTGATGTGGGAGGAGAGTATTTGTTAGGATATTTTGGGGTAAAAGTTTACATACTACACAGCATATTGCAAGATCTCTTTAGGGGGCAGATTAGCAGCTTTGTCTGAAAGGAGCTGATATTTGCAGCATCAGCTGCATTATGAGTTTCTTGCTATCTTTTTAACAACCTAATAGTTTAAATGAGTGATCTAGTATGCTTTGAACCTGTTTCATGTTCAGCTGTGGTATGTACAGATTTGAACATGCAGGGAAAATGGGTTTCCTGTTCTGCAGAAATGGAGAGTTGTTGTCAGTTTTGAGATACCTCACACACTATGTATTCATGGTAAAAGAAGGTAAGAAGGAGCATTGCCTTAAAGTATTAGGTCAGTGCTGAGAAATGCCTATCCAGTAATTGTTCTCTTCTACCTTTTAAAAGACCATCTGCATTTTCCCCCATCTGTCTTTTGAGGGAGAAAGTGTATCTTTAGATCAGCAACTGGTGCAGCTCTTCTGAGTGGATATCGCTGCTGCTTGTACAGATTCAAGAGTAGTTAAGAGTGTCACAGGAAGACTAGAAATATTCTCTGCTCCTGGTATTCAGCGCAAGAGAGTTCCTGCAATTTCTGTAATAATGCTAAGTACTCTGTATAAGGAAGTGGCAGCCAGCAATAAAAAAAGGAAAGAGAGAGAAAGAATAATTACAAATGATTTCATTCTTTCATTAAATCATGGTGCATGTTTCTGCAACTCTGCCTATGTGTGAACTTGCACCAAACCTATTGAGTTGTTAGATGCTTAGCACAGATGAATGCAGTTCTTTAATGCTAAGAATATTTTTAGTAGCCTGCTGTTGGTGTGACACATAATTACCACATAACAAATGGAGGGAACGGTGAAGTCACAGACTCTGTATTGTATGTAAGACTGTATGTATATGTATATATACACATATAAACATATGTATGTATATGCGTATACATACTTATAGAGGTACACACATATACATGTGTATACATATATGGGAAACATGCTTGTCCTATACTTCAAAAACACCTCCAATTAATCCATGTTATTATCCAGGAGTAGTTTTTTAGTAATCAGAAAAATCCAAACAAAACAAAAAATCCACTTTTCTCCATATGTGAAGTGACCTTTGCATAGTTTCCCAACATTTTGACCATGTGAATGGCCCTATTGATTCAGACTAGCTTTAAGTCAGCATGAGAAATAGCTTTGTATCCTCTCCTTGACACTGAATACAACTGAATGGTTATAGAAAACATTAAAAATATGCATAGTATTTTCTTTCATAAGTGCCTTCCCAGACCCTGACAAATGGAATCACTGTCAATAAACTAAAATTCAGTCAGCTCACTCAGCCCTGTTGTAAGCAAACATCTGATTGGAAGCTTTGTGAAACTTATGTGAGTTTATAGCTTCCATATACATGACATCCTTGTTGTAGCACTGTGTTTTGTTTTCATGGTCCTTTTGTTGGTTAGTCTTTTAGATTAGGAACTTAGAAGTGTAGCAGAAAAAGTATACTTTGGTATACTTTATGAATACTTTGAATATTATGAATGCTTCGCATATTGCCTGTATATAAGTAGATAGATGGAATCAAAATTAGTGTGCTGTAAGTATGCTGTAGGGATCCATTTCTTCTCAGTGAGTTTGTGAGTTTGTGTTTCTACCATGCCATACAAAAGTTTCCATCCTGTTTCGTAGCAGCATACTGTCACTGTTCAGCCTAGTCAACTCTGAATTTTCAGATATTGTCCACTAGGCAGCAGTCAGTAGAGATTAAAAGCACAGCAATGACAACATGGATACTTCTAACAAAGTTACGTTGCCTTTCAGTGTAGCTTCTAACTTGGGTAGGAATCGAACCCAGTGTTTGATTATTAAACATCATAGCCTTCTGCTGTAATTTAGGTTGATAATCTGTATTACAAAGTGAATGAAAGTATTATTCTTGCTGAATTTTGTAGTAAACACAAGATTCGCAAAGTCTTTATGTCCGTAAAACATTTAGTTAATCAAAGTCAAACATGGATAAAAACAATTTACTCTGATTTACAGACTCCCTTCATCTGGAAACAGCTGGTTAATGTTCTTCTTAAAAACACAGCTTGATTCTTTCGGTATTAACAAGCTATTATTGTGAGTTATATCCCTCTTTCAGTGCATAAATTCACTTAAAGTGAATGCAGAGAAGTTTATAAAATGCAAGCTTAATGTTGTTGTAACATATGTTGCAAGGTTTTTAACAGTGACAGTTTTGATGAAAGACATTTCTGCTTTGCTCTCATAAATAAAGCTTTCTTCTTGCTTGCCCTCCTTTTTAATGCCTAAGAATCTGTGTCCCCTCTGAATGCCCCAGTAAACTGTAACACTATTATAGAAGAAGCATAATAGACCTGGTTTGTGTTTTCAGCCTTAATTTCATTTATTCTTAAGTAAGACAAATGTGCCTCTAATTCTGAAATACTTCTGAGCTAGCAAATTGTCAAGAGTGGAAAAGAAATCCTACTTGTTGATCTTAGCTAGAACCCATAGGTTTATCAAACAGCTATTTGTATAGTCTGGCTGTTTGTGCTGAACTTTCTTTGGCTCTTTATTTGTTGTCTACAGAAGCAGCTGGGTTTGGTTTGGTTTTATCCATCGAATTGGTTTGATTGTTTTTTGAGAAAATTCATGCAAACATCATAATACCTCAAATCATTGTTTCATGCTTCTTTTTTTTTTTTTTCCCTAAGAGATAAAACACGTTTTCAGTTTTTCCTTCACACAAATCCTATTTATAGTTCCTATAGGTTAGCATTGTTAGACTTCCGTGTATGGTCCAATCTTGAGTTTTGCTTGCCTAACAACGTATGAAAATATAAACCAAAACCAGCATTCCATCTCCATCTGATGGCCTGAGAGCATCACAGCCCCGGGACGTAAAGAGATGGCTTAGATTGTGAACGCAAGAAACAGCACATGTCCTTAGAAGCTGTTTTCTCTGCATCTGTCTTATGTTTATTTTACTTCCCTGTGCATCTCATGAAAAGATGAGCTGTGAGCCAAGTAATGACTAACTGAAAGCATGTAGGGTATCTTCAAAGACTTGTCCCTTTCTGAGAATAATTTGTTTTTCTTTTCTTCTATTTCAGTGCATCAGTAGCCAAGATGTGCTTAATAAGTTTACATGCAGTAAGCATTATGCCAAAGTTCTCTTTGCATTATTTGTTGCAGAGGTGGGGCCTTGTTTTGTGATTTAAGGTGGTATTTGTCATGGTATATAGAGCCGGGGAAAGTAAAATAAAAATATTCTATAACAAGTAATGTGAGAAAAATGTTCTTTAGACACAACCAACAGTGACTTACAGGAAGGCAGTTGGATTTTTTAATTAAGCACTTAAACAACTGTTCATTTTCTCTTTTTCATGAGGACAGAAGTATTCTAGGGAAGTGTCTTGCTTTCTTTTTATACAGTTTTGTTACTTTAATACATTTATTGATGTGTTATTTAATGCCATTTCTAGGTTGACCGCCAATCCCAGTTTATTCAGGGCTACCGAGTGATGTATCGCCAAACATCTGGCCTACCTTCTCCAGCTGTATGGCAGAACTTGGAGGTCAAAGTCCCAACTGAGCGCAGTGCTGTCCTTGTCAGCTTGAAAAAGGGGGTCACTTATGAAATTAAGGTTCGCCCTTATTTCAATGAATTCCAAGGAATGGACAGTGAATCAAAGTCTGCTCGTACCACAGAGGAAGGTTAGTAAAATGGTCAGAAAAGCATTTTTCTTCCATTCCTAACACTGAACATTTTTTGTTATTGTGTGTTATGAGTATGTTCAGCTCTATTTCTTCCACACATTTTCTGTTTGTTATATATAGGCTTGGCATTAGAATTCAATATCATTATTATAATGTTCAATTATATATTATTAAATATAATTAGAATATCCAATATAATTATCAGAATTCAGTATATTAAATATAATGTTTGGCTTTGTACTATTAGTGTTCCATGAGAAAGCACTGACCAGTCCTGTATTGTTCTGGCTGTTACATCCTTCTGATCTACTGGTGGCATTGGGTCTTCCAAAGTGTGCCCTGCAACCGTTCTTTTATAGCCAGTATTGCTGCAATAAAAGGCTTTGGTCTTTACTTTGAAGACAAAACTAATAAATGAAACCTTTTACAGAGTATTTCATATTAAGAACATCTTTCTGAATGGGTAGCAATGTAGAGGAGCAGTTTGTTTGGGAAATGGGGACTGGTGGACAGATATTTGACTAGTCTGAAGGACCTCCAGTCTCAAGGTCAGGCCACTCTGTTGTTTCTCATCAGAGTTCATGAAACTGCCCTATTTAGTCCTTCAGAGGATTTACTTAAGTACCTTTCAAGGCTCTGTAAAACATTCAGGATGCAGACATATTAAACAGTTTACATTACTGAAATGCACAAGCATTTATATCCATAGCATGTACCATGGTATATAATTTTCTAAAACATACACACTCCAGGCCTGCTTTTTTAATGAAAGGTAAAGGAAATGAGGTGAGATACAAGCTTTGGTTGTTTTTTTCTCTTAGAAATGTACAAGAAACCTATCTGTAGGCCTATCTAATGTATCCTCTCCCTGGAAAGTTTCACCTGTAAAAGTGGAAGAATGATCATAACAATGAGAGTTCATCTTCTATCTCATTGATTTCTTTCAAAACAAGGGAAAGAAATACTGGTGAAGTATAAGAATGCTCCTGCGGTTTTCAATGGGTTTGAATGCACACTTTCCTTCCTATCGAAGATGCATCTCGATCATTTACAGTGGTCTCCTGAAGTTCAGTTTAGTGCTGATTGCCAAGTATTTCTTAATTCTAAAATGGATTTGCTTATTACTCACTTTTCTGTTTGATTTGTTATGATTATTACTCAACAAGTAAGTAATCATGAAGATAACTTGGTTGCCATTCATACTTTCTCAATGAGAAAATTCAGTGTCCTGCAACATGTAGAACACCGTGTAGGAAGGCGTTGTTCAAGTCTTATTTAGAATTTGGGACTTCGTGTTTCCCATTACTTTCTTCAGACTATCAAGCCTAAATCAGTTGGTAAAAAAAATCTTTTCTGGGTTCTGAGCAAAGCTTTAAAAAATCCCAAGAAAATGGAAAGAAGTTTTCTACAGGTGCAATTGCTTTTCTAGAGTCAAGATGTAGGATTTTGTCCCCTCACTGGCAGATATTCTTCTTGTCCAATTTTAATTGATTGGGATTTTTTTATTATTTATTTAGTTCATCTGTCTCTTGCTAAAGGTAAATTAACAACTACTGAAAAAGAGAGAAGATTTTGTACCTTCTATTTCTATAAAATACTTGAGGAATGACATTTTCTTTGATAAACCTCATCTCCCAGCAGAGCCTGTCACATAATTTTCTACTTTAAAGGCCACTTTGTTCATGTGGAATAACTTTCCACATAGTGATAATTTAAAGAACTTTTCTTGCCTACAGATATGTATACCTCTCAGCCTAGGATACGTTTTGTAGATTAATATAACCTTCAAGGAGTCTGTTTACAACTATCTCTCTCAAAACAACATCAGCCTATAACATGTAGTATTACCACCAGACAAATGTCAGCCCCTGCAGATAAATCTTCCTCTTGTTTAGGTGATAAAGTTAAGTGCTTCCATGAGAAAACTGAGACATTCAGTAGATGCATTTCTACATGTGTTTTCTTTAATTTCTCACAGTATATTTGCAATTATATTGTTGTTTCTATATTAAAAAAATAACATCATCTGGATATTTAATGACAGTGGTTTACTTCATGTCCAGTGAAGGAAGATGGCAGTCTCTAAAGCGATCCCAGTTGCTATGGTGCCTGTGGTTCCATTTTGAAAAAGAGCTTTTTTAGGCTTGACATTTAAAAAATGTCAACTATGCTATATTTAGAAAATAATTTGGAAAATTGATACATGCATTGGAATTTTTTGTTGTGACATCAAAACAAATAGCTCTGGTAAAGCCAAAGTAGAACCGAAAAAGTAGTGGCAGATTTCTGCTGGATTAAATTTTACGTGCTATGTTACTTCTGAGGTCTACCTCCAAAAATCAATTGTGCTGCAGTTAAGACTTTTCCTTTAGATCAGACATTTGTCACACTTCAGTATCCATCCATCTCCTGCCTCTTTGGCCTTGTGAAAGTAACAAATGGAATTCTGTTTGGCTGCCTCTGGAAAAGATGAGCAGCGATTTGGGTTCTTTCATATCTGTAAGAAGAAGCTGAGCACCGGAATAATTGACCTGTCAAGAAGCAGGCAAGGTGTTCTCCACAAGCCAGCAGCAAGGGAAATGAGAAAACGGTTTAAAAAATGTTATTTTTCAATGTGATCTATTTAATAACTGCAGCAGTGTCAGACGAGGGCCTTAATTTATATCATGGTGCCAGCTTACAGAGTGATATTATCAGAGAGAGGAAACAGAACTGTTGTGTACACGTATGCGTATACACATACGAAAATGAGCTAAGTAAAATATTTTATTTTATCATTTTCACCATTTCTTTCACACTTGCTCTAAGGATAGTTCATTTCTTTCTTTTTTTCTGTTTCTGCAATTACATCCACTGTTTTAAATCTCTTTTGTGGAGTAGTATTTGTCCTGTAGATTATTTCTCACCACAAAAATATGACGGTAATAGAAGACTCCTTAGTTTTTATCAGCTGTAACTGCAAATTCCTTCTTGCCTTAGTGAAGCTCTTAAAATGATACTTTCAGCTGCGTTCATCAGCTGCAATTTTAATTTTGCTTCAAACTTCCTATCTATCATCCAAAAAAGCCCCAAACTACCACACACTGGTAGAATATTAACTAGAAAATTCATGCAGTTTAAATGCAAAGACAAATGAATACAGTATGCTTTTCTTTAAATGGTACAGTATTCATTTTACATTTATTTAGAATTTACTCTCCCCCTTCTCTTTCTTTCCACATATTCATATATAAGAAATTATATTTCTGAATGTGTTTGAGGATGAAAGTAAATACATTTCAGCAAGTTGTTCCATAACACTTAGAACCAAAAATGAGTTACATAGTGCTAAGCGTTGTCATTTTAATGATTATTATTTTCACATAAGATGTTGTTCTAATTAATATTGCACCCATGCATTTATTCATGGTTTGGTTGCTATTAAATAACTTGAAGACTTTTAAAATGATAATTTTTTTTCTGTGTGGCTAATTATTTCAGCTGCCACGAAATACACAATGCAACTATTAACTTCACCAATTTTATGCTTTGCACAATGGCAAGGAATAGACCAAGGCCACCCTTCGGTGCTTCACTTGAGCTGGCTAAGAGTCAAATTGTCCACAATACAGCCCCATTTCCCCCCTTCAGTACAGTGTTTCTCTGTGTCATGCAAGGTCACAAGGACTCTACCAAGCAATACTTCCTTTGCAGCTGAATCAGCATCTGAAAATGTAGTTGACAAAACATGCAGCCTCACAGGACAGTAATGCATGTGTTATTTTTCCTCTAAAGTATTTTTTCTGATGTAATCTTGTATGGTCTCTTGTCCCCACCCCTGATATCATTGTTTTAAGCTGTGTAATTCCTGCAGCAGGCTACTCCAACTCTTCAGGGTTACCAGGGTAAGGATTTTAGCCCAGTTCCATGGGCCTCTGCCAGGTCAAATACTGAGGAGCATCTGAAGTAGGAACACAGCCAGTCTCAAATAGGCCGCAGGGAACAATAAGGAAGTCTGAATTGACTCAGGAGACTGGAATAGTCCTGATATCTGTGGCTGTGTTTAGTTGTATTAACCTGCCAGGCTTTAGCACAGTTGCCTGTGGCTCTCTGCTTCTCTGAGAAGCATGGTCCAAGGATGTTCATGCAGTTAGGAATATCTGTTAAAGATAAGACTAGAGTCCTGTTGTCATGGAACTTAGCAGTGAAGGAGTCCTCTCTGAATATGAACACTCTAGACTTGAGGACTGGAGTCAGGGGACTGTGACACATGATGTGAGATGCCCAAAACCAGAGGGCTATCCAGATTTTAAATTGGGGGCGGGGAACAATAAATATTTTAGGTTTTGGTACAAGGTCTACTATAAGTCTCCGAAATCAGCTTCCATATTTCATATTAGATGTTTTAAGGTCATATTAAAAGTGATCACAAATACATGGAAGAAAAGTTCCATAAGGAGTTATTAAACACAAAGACATCACCCTGGAACAGAAAGTATCTAAGCAACAGGCTTCTGTGAATTGGAAAATTGTCCTGGAGAGCTATCACTGTATGCTTGATTTATTAATTCACACTTTCCTAGCCTCTTTCTATTAGTTTTATTGAAGACTGGATAGATGGACTACGGTAAATGGACTAAATGGATCCCAGGACCGGTTCAGTGCAGCTTTTATGGATATTTTTTTTTCCTCAGGGACTATACATCATTAATACAATACATTCGACTTTGGTGACTTGGCTTGCCACTGTGGTGGCTTTAACACTTGCCTAGAAGAATGGGAGAGGAGAAACGGGGCTGCAGGAGGTCTTAGGTGACTGAGGGCCATATGCCACGGCCCTCTGCCATGGCAGCTATAGCTATGGTGGGAGAGCCCCCACGTGGAAATACAGCAGATGCTCACAGAGGGGACTTTTCTGTAACGGAGCTGCTGTACCACTTCCCAGACATGTGATGAGCCAACAGAAGCACCCTGCTGCTGGTGTAGCTGTAAGAGGGTTTTGCCAGCAGAGCTCTGATCACTAACAGCTATAATTTTGTTTTTCCACACTTCCAGCCAATGTAGCAGGGCTGGCAAGCAGTTGTCTTGTAGATGTGGCCTTGATAGGCAGTGACCAGCCAAACAGCTGTGAATGGTTGAACTGAACAGGACTCTGAAGAGAAAGCAATTTGCTTAGGGAAAAGAGGACATAAGTATATATCTGACCTAACTCAGCACCTCCCCTGTTCACTGGTATTTAATGTAAAGCCCTGAACACTTTAACCCTTTTCCACCTAGGACTTGCAAGGTTTTATGTTTGAAACTGTTAAGTTAATGTCTTCCTGGAGAGCAAATAAAGATCCTTAAATGCCTGCCACTCAACGTTATTATTAGGCCATGTGGAAAAAGAAGAATTGAAACACTTTTCAGGCCAGGTGAAAAAGCCTTACATAATGATTTACTAAGTAAGTTAGCCTTACTAAGTTAGGATTTAGTTGATATGCCTGTAGGTATCCATGTATATTACAGAAAACAAATGCAAGCGTGAGAATAATTCCAATGCAAAACTAAGAAATGATAAATATAAATAAATGAGGAGTGATTTGTATTGATTCTCCATTGCCACAAATTCCACACTGTCATCCAGCTATGCTTCTCTTCAGAAAGGTGCTTTTCAGGATTGTCAGTGCCTAACAAAATGTGCACACCTTGGCCTGCAGGGAGTGTGAACTTTATCTACTGTCTACTTGCTCTTACACTGCTTCAGCAAAATTTGTGCTCTAGCAAATGGATTAATGTCTTGCTTCTGTTTGTTCCCTCTACTTGCTGTAGCTCCGAGTGCCCCTCCTCAGTCTGTTACTGTCCTGACAGTTGGAAACCACAACAGCACAAGCATCAGCATCTCCTGGGATCCTCCGCCTCCAGATCACCAAAATGGAGTCATACAGGAGTATAAGGTAGAAATAATGTCTAATGGGAGAGTTATGTGTGGAGGAAACAGCCTGCTTGAATTACAAAACGACAGCGCTGTTTATGGATTTAGATTCTGACAGCATTTGCAGCTGCCCATATAATTGTATGGAGACTGCTTGTTATATCAAAAGCAAAAATGAACTAGATCTGGAAAAGAGCTGTAATGGCCAGCTGGTTTACAGTACTTCTCTTTCTTGCTTTTTCCTGCTGTGGGTGAAGGAGGATTTTTGTTAAGGGCCTCTGCACTCCCAAGGCAGGTGATGAAGTCCCTGTCTCAAAGTGCCTTCAGTCTGACAGAAAAGCTGCCAGAAAAGATACCTCTTCTTTCCTCTGCAAAAATGCTAATCCTAACACTTCAAGGTCAAAGTCAAGGACCGTGGCTCTGGGAGAATACACAACTTCCTCCAAATACCCTCTCTGTCAAGATTCACAACTTAAAGTGCTAGGTTATTTGCTTTGAGGTCGAGCACCACTGCTATATCCAGAGTTTGTTATATGACAGTTGCCTGTGTTGGTTTGATTTTTTCCTTCTTTGTGGCTGTGGTGGCTCAAAGTATCCACTCCCTATATATCACCTTAACTTTTGCTGTAGTCTGTAATTCCCCACTAGGCTCACTTTTGTACAGGTATATTTTCACAACATGGCAACAGTGCAGTGTGTTATTGGGGGGGAGTATGACTGCGGAGGATCAGGCAAGGTTCAGCATTGTCACCGGCTTGTGACATGGAACACATCATTAAGTAATTTTGCTGTGGCTAACTTGTATACCTAGTGTGAAGTCTTTAGTTGATAGAGCAAAGCAGCTTTCTTGAGAGTCCCGTAAATGGTGGAAGTGGTGGATGCAGCTTATTTCACACAAAAAGATGTAATTCTTTTCCACCGCTGTTTTGAGGGAGCACAGCATCTAGAAGAGAGAAGTCGCTTGACTTTTAAATCAGCTAATGGTTCAGCCTTTTCCAGTCTATCGTTTGGTCAGAGGGTTTCAGTAAATGTTCATAATCATAGAAACATAGACTGGTTTGGGTTGGAAAGGATGTTAAAGATCATCTAGTTCCAACCCCTCTGGCATGGGCAGGGGTGCCTCATACTAGACCATGTTGCCCAAGACTATATTAATGTTTAGCATAGCACTTCTTTTGTTTTGCTTTTCGTCAATATCAAGATTTATTAATCCCATTTTTTATTGATCTCATTTTCATATCAATTAATAGTTATCTTTTGCTTTAATTAATCTTGATACTGACTTCAGTATAAGACAGTATTAATGATCAAGGACTTACAGGCAAATAATTAAAGCCCACTGCTAAACCACACATATGTAGATATGAACCAAAGTGGCTGATGGTTAATAAAATCTGTGTTCCAGGTGAGTGCTCAGACTTCTAGGCTGTTTATAAAAACAGCTGGAGTCACTGCCTCTTACATCCCTTCTGTGTTCAATTAGTGAGCTGGCTACAGGGAATGTAGTGCAAATAGTCTAATAGTTCCTTGAGTATAAAATGACTGCTGAGGTTTTACAGTGCATTTTCTAACAAACTGAATGTAGATCTGTTGATTCTACTGCAAGCATCAGAGTGCCTGTAAATTCATTTATGAATTAAATGCCCTTAATTAGGGGCATCTCATAACTACTGTAACCTAAAACCAGGGCAGACAAGGAGTGAGAGAATAAACACAACAGTTTCTCACCCTAAAGCATTCTTGCCTGAAAATAAGGTCTGCTGGAGCTTAGAAAAGCAAGTATTTCTTTTGCCCTCCAAATCTTCCTCAGTGTTTCACAGAAAAAAGATAAAGTGAGATGAAACACTGAGCAGGGTCAAAAATAAGTGTAAAGAGAGCATTGCTGTTGCTTAAACACATCACTTGGTTGCTGATAGTGGTTCCACCAATAGTGCTTTCTTTTGCTATTATAGGTATGTAGTGTACATGTGGTATCTTTATGCATTGATCTTCTTGAGTGGTGGCAAATGCTTTCTTTAATAATACAAAACCAGTATATGCAGGTAACGCTAATTGAAGAAGAATCCCTAAAAGGTCTAAGTTTTGAAACTTCTTGGGAAATGCCTATGGAAAAATGGAAGAGAGACATAACACTGAATCATAGATCTTTCTCATCACAGAATGCCAGTTGAGATTCCAGAGTGTTTTTTCTGTTTAATTAGAGAGTATTTGAGTCAGGAACTGATACCTGGATTCTTGAACAGTGTAAGTAATCACAAAACCAGCAGTAAAAAGTGAGTTTGTACTTACTCCATTTCAGAAACTTCACATATCCCTGTTGTGCTGTGAAAGGAAGTAAAAAACTATTCTGAAAATAGTTTCTTCTTTAGTACTTTAGAAAGTGATTCAACCTGTGTTTGTATTATTTAGTGTCCTTTTGCTATTCAGTGGCAAACTAAGAATGAAGAAAAAAAGTAGGCTTTTTTTCTAGGAAAGGTTTGGTGGTAATCATATTACTGAACAAGACTCCAATTATTGCATAACGCCTCTTTTTCACTTGGATGATTCTGCTCTGTTCCAAGAAATGTAACCACAGAATTTGTACTCCACAGAGAGCAAGAGTCCAGAGAGGTTTTTGCAAGCACTCCTTGCAGCTGGCTCAGTCCTGTGCTAAGATGATATAGCTTGCGAGGCTAAATCATCCCAATTCCAGCTACTCCTGGGTAGTAACATTGTTAAGAAGTCCAGTATAAGTGATTGTCATGCAATACCTTGGTATGTCATATCTATGTTCATTGTTTATATGTATGAAGAATTTCGTATTTTTTAACACATCAACTTTTGTCCCAGATCTGGTGCCTAGGTAATGAGACTCGATTTCATGTCAACAAAACAGTAGATGCAGCCATTCGGTCTGTAATAATAGGTGGCCTATATCCAGGTATTCAGTACCGCGTGGAAGTTGCTGCAAGCACCAGTGCAGGTGTGGGAGTAAAAAGTGAGCCACAACCCATAATAATTGGTAAGTGAATGTCTGTTTTGTTGTTTTGCTTTGCCCATTTCAACTTTCAGAAATGCTTCCATAAATCACTTCTGGAAGCATAAAAATCCATGGAGCAATAGACGAGTTTTGAATAGAGCTAGTTAGTTAGCTTTTAACGTCTCACTGCCTGCTGATGTCGTGTCTTCTCTTTGTGCAGAATTCTCATAGTCAATGGAGGGAAATGTGTTCCTGAAACATAGGAGAAAATGGAGATAATCTAGTGAAACGGATTTAATATTTTTGTTTTTGCAAATTTACCACTTTATCAGCTTGATGGGCTTATGGAACTGACAGATCCAGCTCCCTTTTCCTCCTGCTCAGATGACTGTAATATTGCCTTACTTATACCATTGGTGCCTAAGGCACTACTTACAGCTGGTTTTCTGAGCATTTGAAGTCAGTGTTTCTCAGGTGTCCCAAGCCCAAGCGGACGAGCTTGCTCTATCAAAGAATAAGTAACTTCTACTCCAAATAGAGAGAGCAAAGGTAGTGTTATCATCCACGCCTTTGAAATGACTTTCTCAGTAGCAGTTTCCATGCTGAATTAATTTCCTGACCTGAGGGAAACACATATTCTGTTTCTTCTGAAGTTGTTCTCAAGTATAAAATATAAAGGCAGGAACAATATAGGAAGGATAAGAACATAGTAAAATATAACATGTTTAACAAAACCAAATGGAGCTGTGCAGGGAAGCACCTCATATGACTATTTTGTTGCATCTGTATGACCTAATTTTGTTATTACGTAAATGGGGTTTTTTTTGCTTCTTTTGCTTTTATTAAATATTTTCTTTCTAGAAAATTTTGTCAAGGGAATGTCCAAAACATGAACGTGTTATGTGTAGAACTTTAGAAAAGGCCATTCCCTAAGCATTGCTTAAATGTTTAATTATATGCGTGTTCCCTATGCATCTAAACAGTATTTGGGGTATGTGAGATTTGAATATATTGTCACTGGAGAAAGAATGAAGAGTGGATGTGAAGATAGCACTGGTTTTTGAAAATGGCAGCTGAGGAAAGGCCAAAGAAAAGAGGAGGGGAAAGTTTTGTAGAACTGAAAGCAAGGAATTGATTTTTGAAAATGAAAGAAACCTGTCCTCTAATAGGCCTGAATTTTGGTCCTCTGTCTAAAGAACTGATGTTGTACAACTAGTCTGTCATTGCATTCTCTTGAGAAGGACTTTTTTCCTTAGAGTTCATTGAGTGAGGCACAAAACACATGGGGCTTGTTCCAGCAAAACACTTAAGTGTGTTGCATTCTAAGCATGTGAGTAGCCTTGTGTCGTGTGACGTGTTGTGAGTTAAACTAAAGTGCTTTGCTGGATGATTCCAAGAATGCTCAGCCCCGCATCTGGCTACAGCCCTTCATCCTGACTTTTCCCTTACAAAAAGTGACTAGTATAATCAAGAGATAAATATGAAGGTATCTGCATTGCTGCAGGAAGGAGAAAATGGATATTAGGATGCAAATAGACTACAAAGGAAAGCAAAAAGTTATTTGGTATTTAGAGACTTAATTTTGCATTGTCAAACTTAGAGTTATATGTATTTGTATCTTAAATGATTCCAGAATTTCTGCTTCAAGCTTGTCTGATGGCATCTCTGCGTGTTTAAGAGTCTTGTGCATGAAATAAAGGAGAGTCTTCTCTGTTTGGGTTGTATTGCTGTTCACATCTTTGCGTTTCCTCTTGGGAACCCAAAGCTGGGTGTGGTTACAGTTACTCTTATGGTCTGTATCTCCCTTTTCTTTAGGTCCCATTTTTCTATTGTTTCTGAATTGCTGGCAGTCATTTCTCGGACACTAAATTTGCTTGATAAAGATAACAGTGTTTAGTTGATACCATTTCTGGAAAATCTGAGTTGATACCAGTCAGTGTTTGACTAAGAATCAAGAACATAAAATAAGACATTTGGTTTTTAGGTAAATTGAAAAAAGAAATAAATACATGGATTAAAAGAAAGCTAATGAATAAACCTCAAAACATCATAATGAATAGGACAGCATTACCGAGTGATTGTATTATAATGTAGTCCTATATGGTCTGATGCTTAGCTATACTATTTAACAGCTTGCATACAGAATGAACAACTGCAGAAATGCTGAATTATGGAGAGAGCAGGTCAGTGATGCAGAAGAGTTAAGCAGTGTTGCTAAACAGCATGACCTTCACTGTCATGAATTATGGAGCCCAGCGTATGAAAAGAAAGATGCTATTCTTAAATATAGGGTATGTTTTTCTAAGAAGAAGGGTTTTTTTTTCTGATAATAACTCATTTCCATGGTGGGTAATCTACTACTGACTTCCCAGACCAATTCTAGATGACAGGCCCATGACAATCCAGAAAGTAAACCCAGGACAATATGAAGCAGTAGGAAGTATATTATTTCTTTAGTTAGAAATTGTATTACTGTTACAGTAATCCTATGCCCACACTTCAAGCAGGACATTGAAAAGTTTTATTGAAGGTTCGAAGAGAATCAAGGATAACAGTTCTGTGATCACTATTGGTATACTAAAAAATTTCACTTGGAAAATCAGAAGTAAGAATGGAGATAACAACAATGTTGGTGAATGGTATAGCTATTATTTCTCTTCATCAGTTGGCCTGTTCAGTTTTACATTCCATCATTGGCATAATAACATGAGGAACAGCTGCAAACTTTCACAGTAATAGGTGCAATTGAATCTGATGTGTCTAATTAATTTTTAGTCCAACAAATTAGTTTTGTTCTTCATTACTCTCCAATGGGAGGAAGACATTATATTTCATTATGTTTTTGTCTTCAGGAACAATGGAGCGTTACAGGTCGCACACTTCCCATGTCTACATTGTAATTAGTTGAACTGACAGCATAGTTACCAAAACACCTGCAGTATATAAAATAGTGCAGTGGTACCCTGGATGACATATTTATTACTTCTGCTTAAATATTATCTAAAGAAATACAAAATTAAGCCATTTTATTTCACCAAACACCAACAATTGCATGAATTTTACCAGACGTCAGTGGGTAACATTCATCTCTATCCATTTATTTTTCAGTCATCAAATTCACAGGGCATATGTTATTTTGACATTTAAAAGAATTATTGGTTTTGCAGTTGTAATTGCTAGGCACTGAAGGGCAAGAGCAAACATCCAGATGGAAAACTTTAGAAGTTAACTTGGAGACAGATTGCACCTTCCTCTAGAAGAGAGGGAGAGCGTAAAATCCACTGAAAGCTCTCCCCAGGCTCTCTGCAGTTTGCTTTCACACCCTGTGTTCTCTAAGGCATTAGAGAAGAAAATGCGATCTTCGGTCTTTTTGAAGGCTTTAGCAGGAAGCAGTTGTTCTTTTCTTGAGTGCTGGAGCATCTGCTCCCAACGCTGGTGCCCCTGAAGCGCTTCCCTCTCTTCTCTTGTCCAAGGCAGCACAGCTGCCTCTGAAGCAGTGCTGACATTACGTGTTTCCTCACTGTCCCACTGCTTTTACCTCTCCTCCAAAGGGCACAGAAATTAACTGAAAGTTAATGGCAATTACAGCAGTGTCAACTCCCCCACTGGTTTCTACTAGAAAATCAATTGTGTGCCTGGAAGAGTGTGCCATAGAGTGCCTCCTTCTCTTATAGAATCATCAAATCATAGAATAGTTAGGGTTGGAAAGGACCTTAAGATCATCTAGTTCCAAACCCCCTGCCATGGGCAGGGACAGCTCACACTAAACCATGCTACCCAAGGCTCTCTCCAACCTGGCCTTAAACACCACCAGGGATGGAGCATTCACAACTTCTTTGGGCAACCCATTCCAGTGCCTCTCCACCCTAACAGTAAAGAACTTCCTTAGAGCCAATCTAAATTTCCCCTGTTTAACTTTTAACCCATTAACCCTTGTCCTGTCACTACAGTCCCTAGTGAAGAGTCCCTCTCCAGCATCCTTGTCGGCCCCCTTCAGATACTGGAAGGCTGCTATGAGGTCTCCAAGCAGCCTTCTCTTCTCCAGGCTGAATAACCCCAACTTTCTCAGCCTATCTTTGTATGGGAAGTGCTCCAGTCCCCTGATCATCCTCATTACTCTCATTACTTCCTCTTTCAGCACTGGAGTGCACCTAGGGATTAATTCCATGGGCAGAAAAACAAGGGAAAACCTGATAATGGAGCTACCACTGCCTCCCTTCTTTACGTTGCACAGGTCCTCACTGAATTTTGTTCTCACTCACTGCATCAAGACTGGAAGCCACCCAGCCTTTGGCAGCGACAAGTCATAATAGGAAAGAATGGGAAAGGACAGATAAAGCTGCAGGGCCCTGATGTTAGCAGTGCTTGCAAGCATGGCCAGTATAGACATGATACCAGTACTGGTGTACTGCCTTTTTATACATCAGCAGGTGTTGTTCTGTCAGCATCCTTCTGTGGGAGGTACTTTGTTTGTAGAAAGCCTGTTTTGTTTCCTGCACAGAAGTACTGAAATCCAGCCAAACTCTAGCACAGTTTCAACAGTCTGTTTGCAAAAGCAGACGGTCATCATCACTAAATATTGACATGGTGCTGAAACACAGAAAGCTTAATGAAATCACCGAGGTCATTAACAGAGTGATAGCAATGTAATGCAGTGCATTGCCTTTCTTCCTGAGTAACTCAGTCCAGCTCTTGAACACAACTTAAGAGCCTGAAGCTGTGTCTTGGCTACTGCAGAGCCAGTCCCTGTGCCAGGGATGCAGGCTGGAGCAAGGCAGGCAAACTCAGCCCAACAGGCCCACTGGGAGGGTTCCTCAATCACAGCTTGACTGCTGTAAACTCTGGGTCTCCTGCAAAGAAGAGGAAATAGATGGGAAGTGTTAGACTTCTCACATCTGCTTTAGCCAAAGACCTTGTTTATTTGCTTTAGGCTGAAGCCAGTGTGCTGACAGAGGAGCTGTTCTGTTGAAAGAAGGAAGTGGTAAATTTAACCATTCCTGAATTATAGAAGAGGAACATGAACATTTTTACGGCAAGGCGTAATGCTACAGTACTTTAATTTTGGGAATGACCATTTTGGTATTGCTTTGCCATACTCTACCACCTTTACTTTTGTGCTATAGACTCTCATAATTGAGAACCGTAGTATTTTTGTCTCAGTAGAGTGGCTACTCTTGCAGTTCTTCAACATGCATATGGGCATCTGATAATACTGCAGCACATTTCAAGGACTGAGCTATCTACATGCTTTTGCTGGAAATGAGGGCTAATTCTTTCACCCATTTCAAAACTATAGGTGTAGGCAACTTAGATCAAATGTAAATATAATCATTATTAATATGTCTTGCAGAAAAATATTTTTCCCATTTCCTAATTATAAACCTAACAATTTTTTTACAAGGGAAGGTTTGCAGTAGAAAAGCACTGTGTCTAGAGCTAGATGCTTTAGCATTTCTTGAATTTCCAGTCACATTTTTTAGGAGCATTTGTTTTCAAGCCAGACACTGAGTTTTTCCTTTTAGGAAAGATCCCTTTTAGATAAAAAGGGGAGAAAAAAACAGTGGAAGTGCCTACTGAAATGTACAGTTTTATAATGTAATCCTTTTGAGGTGCATTGCTGTTGGGTTTTGGGGTTTCTTTATTCTGATCTGCAGTACTCGCTCCCTGTTTGTATTGCAGAATCCCTAATAACATTCTGTTGAATTTCTTTTGTGCAGGAGGTCGTAACGAAGTTGTCATCACTGAAAATAACAACAGCATAACTGAACAAATCACTGATGTTGTCAAACAGCCTGCCTTTATAGCTGGCATCGGTGGTGCCTGTTGGGTAATTCTGATGGGTTTCAGCATCTGGTTGTACTGGCGCAGAAAGAAGAGGAAGGGGCTCAGCAATTATGCTGGTAAGAACGGTAACTATTTATTGCCATCTCATCAGCTTCTATTAAACAGGTGATGTTAAACCTACTTTAAAAAACATGTTGAACTTACTTAAAGGTGGCCTGGGTGAATTTCGTATGCTTGTTTTAAATGTATGCTGTGAAAATGCTGGTGTATGAGAAGCTTTAAATGCATTGCTCATTACCACATTTCATCATTATCATAAGACAGTCTTTATTTTTACATCTCTAGCACATCTAACATAAAAAAGTGCAGAGAGGATTAATTATTTCTCTTGCTTCCTGCTCAGAAGGCACTCTGTTAGCAGTCTGAGTCCATTTATGTGCTCAGATGTGAATTAGACTAGACCCTTGTAAGGAAGGTTAGAAACAGTATTTGGTCGTCTTCTTCATTCCCATGCATTTCCATGTCTTTGAAGCTATGTGCATGGGAAAAGAAAATGCAGATACTAAATTAGTGACTCCATAGCTATACCTAGAAGAGAAGAGAGTGATGAATTAGAGAAATGTAGTCAAAATTTACCTATGACATAAGTCTTAAAAAGTGTTGTCTTGGAGGCAGAACACCTAGGAATGCCCTCACAGTGTGATCCGTCTTAGACCAAATGTGTTGTTCCAACTACAAATTAGTTTTTGAAAACCACATTTAGAAAAATAAATAGATTTACCAATTGAAAATATTTTCTTCCTTCCCAGCCTGTTTGTTTTGTGTATTATTGTGTGCTGCTGGTTTCTCATAGATTTTTTTTAGGAAGTCGGTTGTACGACCATTAAATGGGTAACTGAACCCTAATTTAACACCACAAAACTGTTCCTCAGATATTGGGGTAGGTTCTCTTGTAGTGCTTATTGACATTTAAAAAGAGAAATTTCCTTTTTAAGCAAGATTTGCAAAGTTGAGGACACACTGTATTTAATGTTGACATATATCACACTAAAGTTACACTAGTGCTCTTCTCTTTTCAAGTTATCGCATGCAAACCCAAGGACTCAGGTTCCCTAAGTGGATGATCATCTCTAACAACTTGCCAAAACACCAGCTTTCATTCCCTGCTCTCATCCCTCAGCTTTAACCATTATCAGACTCATTAATGTCCAGACGGGGCTTGCTAAACCGAAAGGAAACTCTTCTATGTTGTTTTTCAATCCTTTCTGCTGGGTTAGTTTTCCATTGGCTTAGTGAAACAAGGCAGCCCAAGAAGAAATCAGATGAGCAGTGGAAGCAGAGGCAGGAGAGACCCTTTCAGTGGCTCTTGGGCTGACTTGTTTTTTGCAGAACCTCATCTTGCATCACCATGTATCATTCATAGGTTATGCTTTTTGCTGAGGTGTTTTCTGATTTCCTTTAACAGCAATGACTTTTACTGGCTGAGAGGTGGGGTGGTGTTAACTGAGAAACTAATACACATCACACACACCTACCCATCTGTTTCTATGAAATATCAATCTAGATCCCAAGATATTTCATATTAGAAGGTAGCTGTACTATTACTGCTCTTAGGGAACAGTCCTATGGATAAACTTTGGACACAAAATAAGGTGACTCTTTTTTTTTTAAAGCAGAATTATTAGCCCTGTGTGTGAGTTGGCATGTTGTGGGGTGGGAGGGGAGAGAGATTGAGAGCAAAGTCTTGTATACTGTAAAATGCATAACTGTAAATAATTATAATAGTCATAAACAGTGTGTCTCCTGCAACTCATTCCTTCTGATAATGTTTGCTGCATCTAATTGTGGTGTGAACATCGCATCATGCCACTGAATTCCCATCTTCAGAATTATGAAATAGTGTATGCTTTCAGCGAGGGGAGTTGATAACAGATCATGCTTCAAAATTCATCCTAATGTTCACAATTTGGGGAACAGCATGTCCACACATAAAATCTTCAAATATGACTGTCAAAATTCACTGCTCACCTTTCTAACCATCATTTCTCATTGGCTGCTGGCTGATTAGTGCTTTAAGCTCAACTGTTATGCCCTGCTTATGATATTCAGTCACAGCTGAGTAAATTCCAGAGGAAACTGGTGCCCTGCAATTAGTGCTTATTATCAGGGTGTGTAACTCACAATGTGTTTGCTTTCTTGTTTTGCAGTTCAGTCCTTCACCTTCACCCCTGCAGGTACTGTCCATTAGTCTGTCTCTTACCTCACCAACACATCATTGCAATCATTAGCTATCTTAAGTGTTTACAAACACGTGAGAGATGCAGAATTAAAACCAAATACAAGGAGAAATACTTGTGCTGTCTGTGATAAAAACACTGCATTCATTCTCCTAGTGATTCCAGGGTACCATCAAATCCATCACCATTAATATCAGTCATTCTAATTCTGCATGGTTCTTACTCACCTAACTCCTCAAAATAATGCAATTTTGAAAGTAATTTGCAGGACAGGATGCTTGAATTAACATAAACAAGCATTAATTGTATATAACTAAATTTTTATTTTAAAGCTCAAAAAATAATCTCAAACATTTTGAACATCAAACTGGAGAAATGGAACTTTCTTTCTCCTTCAGCTGTTAGTCGTGCATAAGTCAACCTTACTGTGAGGTGTTAAAATCTTCAAGCAATCTAGTGATTAACCTATACACGCCTTACTTTTACAGTGTTTTTGAAATGGAAGTGTTTGCTTTTTTTCTGCCTATCCAATTCAAAGCTGATATCCTAGTTTTCATATCTTTAATAAATGTGGCATACGATAGACTATCATCATAAGTGTGATTAAAGATAGGTGAAGAATAAGCAAAGCGTGGCTGAAACAGCAGGTTGCAAACATCTCAGTCAACATACTGATAGTCAAGAAAAACAGAGCATACAATTCGTAGTACTAATTAATACAAATAATTAGCTTCTCTCATACATAAGCTCGAGATTTAGAACTCAAAAATAATTACATCTCAGTGGTCTGGTATAAAAGGCTAATAAATCTCAACATTTCCCAGTAGAAGTCTGTAAAGTCTTTTGCATGTAGCTTGGCCCCTCGGTGGCACTTACCAAAGCTGTTTCTTCTTCTGTCCCCTCTGTTATCCTGTCATCTATGTGGTAGTGGCTAGTCTTCCTGCTGCACTGCTGAACCAGCCTTCATGCTCAGCTAGCTGCTTTCTCGCTCTTGCTTTTATCTTCAGCCACAGTCTGAGTGTTTAGTTTAGTAGGAGAGAGCAGATGACTATCAAGGCAGATAAGTGAAGGTGATGGTGTCTGCTCCAGGGCCCTGCAAAATTGTGAGGGAGAAGTGTCCTTATGAAGAAGCTCTGGGGTCTCAGGAATTGCTCCTCTGGCTTCCAGGCAGGTTTGTTCAAGTTAGTCTAAGCTGTGGCACAGCACATGCTACCCTAAACGCTTTACTTGCTTTTCTTTGAGACACAACATGGGATTTTTCCAAAATGAAATAATGCATCTTTGCATTTGGTTCCTTTGATCATGCCAAGGTCAGCTGTCTGTAACTGTGGTCAGGTTTTTCCACTGTCTTGATAACATATATTGGCATGACACGGGGTTTTGCTGGAGCCACAATGACTGTGCATGATTCAGTGTACTTGATCCACATGTACTGGGCAACTAAGATATGTCAGAGGCACTGCCAAAATTTGCTTTAGGGAATTATAACAGCACATAGTTCTGTTTCCTGGCCTGTAATCATTTCTGGAGCTACTGAGAACCTGAGTCATCCAGGAGTCAAGTCCAGAAAAAATGTCATTATTCTAATAAATCAGTTGTTCTTATGAAAGAACAAAGTCCACATTTTTTATCTTTACATACAGAGTTCCCTAAGAAATATTGCTAGTTCTCTGGTATTTGAAGGATTTGCCATTGATAATATCATTTAGACCAATATACCTATGCTTATGGAGGTTTGACAACACTCACAACTGTATGTTGTTCCCTATGAAGTTATGAGTCATAAACAGTTCGGTTTCAGATCTAAATATTTATAGGCAGTGGTATGTAGCTTTCAGAATCTCATCAGAGGCAGCTGTCAGTAAAGTTTTACTAAATATGAATTTATCCTAATATGCTCAAATTTTAGAAGGTGCACAATTTTTGTTCAGACATCTGCTTCCTTCAGAAAGTTGCAGAATGTGCAGATTTGACTGTGTAATAAAGAGAATCAAACGTATTAGTGCAACATTCATATACTTTCTATTTCAGACACAAAACAAAAAGTTGTTTGTTTCAGTTATTTCTGATGTACTGTTTGTTTCAGTTATTTCTGATGTAAATGTTTTTTTTTTTTGTTTTGTTTTTATTCAGTTGTATTTGCATATACGTAGAACTTAAAGCACTAAAAATAGTTGTTTTAAAGTCTGGATTTTGCAGTTATATAATTACTTGCAAAAAATGTTCTTTTGGGTCCTTTTCAGATTATAGGTGATTTACTGGGACTGTTTTATTATTTCTGTTCCATTATTAGGCTCCTAAGAGATATAATTTCTGCTGTGTTACTAAAGTACTATAACACTCTGTATAGGAGAAGAGCAAATATCACAATTGGTAAAGACTTATGCCAGAGAAGAATGAAGTTAAAGTCATTAAGCTTTCTGTCTTTGTGAAGCATAAGCACTGATCAATTGCTCAGATGGTCACAAGTGGCATTGAAAATCGTAGCTTCTTACTTATTTTGGATAGTTACTGAGCCACAATTCTGTAAGACACTATTCCTCCACTTCCCTTTCCCCCTTCATGACTCATCAGGCACTGGTGGCAATACCAGTACTACAGAGCATATGATTTTTGGCAATGTTTGTTAGATTACTGCTGGTGAGTAGTAGTGTCATCTGCAGCTCTACAAGGAGGGTGTATTTTCAGGACTGTGACGTATTATCATCAAACCCAAATCTGGCACAGAGACATTGAATACAGTTGTTACCCATTTTCAGTTGTCTAAAAAATGATATCTGACCAATTATTAGATTAATTATTGTGTTCCTGTAGTACAGTGATGGAACAGAATTTGTTTATTTTGTACTGGAAGTTGCAATTCTCTTTTCAAAGTTTGGTATAAGGACTTATACAACAGAGGCATGGAATCCATCTGTAGAAATAAGAGCAGTTTCATTTATCAGCATATCTTTCCTGCACCCTCAATCTCGTTGTGCCAGAACCCACTCGCTTGAATACTCAGGTGTTTCAAGTGTTTAGACCATCAGTCATGCAAGGAAAGTAAACACATATTTTCACTTTTGAGTAGGCAAGCTTATGTAGTGACTAGTGCTCCTTGGGATTAAAGATTTCATGAAACTGAGTAAACAAAACCAAATTAAAAATAGAGAGTTATGGAATGCTACACATTTTATGTGCAGCTCCCGAAACCATTAAAGAAGGATAAATTGTTTGACAGAATCATCCAAAACTAGACAGAAGATTTGATGGAATTTTTATATGCTGATTATCTGTTCTGAGCTAATGCTTATTAAAAGAGGATTAATCTACATTCATATTTGAGGAACAGCTTATCAGAAAAAGGAATGAGACTTGGCTGGCAACATTAAAGTTTTCATTTGCAGTAGGAAAATGTGGCCTACTAGAGATAGGCATTCAGAAAGCTTTCTAAAGCTTTCTAAAGCTTTCTTGCCTCAGAATGTCAACTTACTATACATTTGTATTTTTCCAATTCTAGCAGGCATGAAGATTAAGTTCAACCTTGTCAGATAATATTAGTAAATGGCTTGGGTACCTCCTTATATACTTAATAAAAAGCATATGAAAAGCTCCTTAAGGTATGCTGCTCTTCGTACAAATATATACAATATAGTTTCCTTACATATTTATGCATTTAAAATGCACTTTGGATTATATTTCTGCATTTTTTACAGTCCTTGAAGTATAAGCTGGTGGGGATTCCTTCAAAATCTGTCTATGCAGAGGTTATTTTTTCATCTTTGTTTGAAAACCAATCTCATCCCTGCAGGTCTTCAGCCTTTCTAAGAACATATATCAGATGCAAAGACTGCTGAAAGAGCTTTTTTGCTTCCTCGGTGATAAAAAGAAAGGGAGATGGGTGGGTCAGGGATAGGGAGATCCTTCCCTTCCTCTTGCATTGCCCCTTGAAATTGCTCTGCTTCTTTTTGAAGTGGAGACAGGATGAATAAAGCCAGCTGTCTGTGTGTTTTATTTTTACAGTGACATCTACAAGCCTGCATTGCATTAAGTGTGCTCCTATTCAGGCATTTAGACTTGTTTTGTAATTGCAGAAATCAAACTGCAGGCAAAAACCCTGACAAAAGGTACGGCAGGAATGATAAACATAGTGCTTTTGTTGGCAGCCTGACCATATCTTGTGTTGTTAGCTGTCTTTCCTTTCACAATATTGATTCTAAAAGAAAGGCATCTTCTCTATCCTGGCTTAGGTAGCCCATTTATGGATGGCATCAGGAATATGGCTTTTTTTTTTCTTTACCATCCTGATATGTCCACATTTCAAGAGGAATTTGCCTAGTTTAGTTGATATTCTGGAGCCTTTTCCACCAAGAATAGTAACTAAAATACTTTGTCGTTTATTTTCTCATGAAGATTGTAACCATCCGTGCATTGGTACACAGGGTGGAGAGTAAGCAAAAGAACGTGTATTCCTTCCCAGTTCCATATACATCATGTAAGCCAAGCACAGTCTTTGCAGGAAAAACAGGGTCACTCCAAGACAAGTTCTTTTTTTAATAAACTAAATTGAACTTTTCTTCTAAAAACAGTGTTTATGTTGGGAGGGTGTAAGATTATTTTTTGTAGGAAAAAGCCAGGAAATAGTTACTACAAGCAGCATACACAGAAGTAAATGATGTGATACCTGTCTCTTCTCAGCATACTCATATTCCACAGGCAATCTACAGAAATTACAGCTCTAGCAAAGAGGTTCCAATGTCATGTCTTCTTTATGTGTTTCTCACAGCATACCTTGGAGTTTTTTCCATACCTCACTACACAGAAAATAAAATGTGCCTGACAAACACTGCTGCAATCTCATACTAGCTCCCCCATTTCAGCTTCATTTCTAAAGGTACTCAAGGGATATAAATATTTTGAAGGCCACAAGTATTGATATTTTTCTCCCCATGACATTAAATTCTCACACACCTGTATGTGCTATACAAGCAGTAACAATATTATTTCAATAGCATTTCTGGTAGATGATAGCTTAAACAACAGCATTAATCCCAAGAAGTTTTCAGAAAATATGTTATACTAGAACTCCCTTAAATCTGTAAACTTCATTTATAAGGGTTGTTAGAGAATGCACCATTGTTTCTCACTTTCCTTATTTCTTGTCACTTTGACAAATGCAGAAAGCTGGAGAAATGGAGTGTTAAATTTGAAGAGGAGGAGAAAGGAAACTACCTAATCTGCTTTGGCCCTTTAAACATAGTCAGGGGGTACCCACCTCTTAGCATATTCACACATGATATCCACAGCAGCTCAGACTATTCACTTTTAAGCAATGAGAGCTACAGTCATTTGACAGCGTATTAGAAACAATGTGAGTGAAAGTAGCATCAGCTCTAAAATTAATTAGCTGCAATGTTTTACCATGTCTTCTTTTTCAAAGCAGACTTTTATTTAGTACTTCCCATACTTTGCATTTTGATTTTCTTTTCATTAATTGGTTTGATTACATCCTTTCAAAATTCAGCTATTAACCATTTTGATGTGACATATGACTGCAGTGATTTTCTGATATTGATATTAGTCTGTTCTTCAGTGAAGGGTAATTAATCACCCTACCCAAGCTCTCTTCCAGCAGTGCTTCCACTGGGGCCAGTGTTGTCCCCTTTGCTGAATGTGAAATTATCCTAGGAGTTAATAAAGTGACAAGGATTCTATAGGGTATCAGAGTATTATCCCAGTGGATTTATGTCATTGTTAATTTTTTTAACAATCATGGCATTTCTATTGGCTGTAGTAATTTTATCTGATTAGAATGGTGTATAATGCAAAGTCTAATCTTGAATCAGTCTAGTTTGGACTAATATTTGGAAAATCTTGCAAATACTCTGGGAGCTATCATTTAATGATTGGAATGTCTGTGTTACAAAGGCAAATAGTATTTCCTAACTGAAGCCAATTTGAAATTAAACTGGCCACAGACTTTTCCATTCCTTTCTGAAATTCAAACCCTCAGCTTGTCAGTGGCCTCTAAGGCTGCAGGTGTCCAGGACACTGATATAATTTAATAGTCTGCCTTATCTCTGCCTGACAATAAATAATGGGATATTGCCACTGAGAATGAGAGTAGTCTGTTGGCCTTGATTCAAAATATTTGCCAGTGCTTCAAAAAGGAGCGTCAAATGTTGTCAATTAGCATCTCATCAGTAATGTGGGTTTACCTATATTGCCCTGAAATGTAATCCTGTTAATAAGAAAGATAAGGGATAGGCTGGTTTTTTTTCAAACACCCATGAATAGAGCCATAAAAACAATTGTCTCCCTCTGAATATGTCCTTGGCATCCTCTATGGCAAGACTGGAGACACATTTTTTTCCCAGTGATATTGGAGTGTATGCATTTATGTGTGGGTCCTGGTTCATATACTATACTTCTAATGAAAACAGTGCAGCTCTATGCTTTTTTTCACCCCTTCAGCTCTAATAGAGCTCCCACCTCTTTGTAGTTGTCCTGGGAAATGGCATATTTGTTTGGTGACATTGTATTACTCCATTACAACATGATATTAACTCAGTGGTGCAATGTCATTATATACTGAAGAAAAGCATGCCAAGAAAACAATTTCATCACATGGCTCAGTCTTGCAAAGCAAAGTCATATGAAGGGGCCTGTGGTAAATTCAGGCCTTTTGCCCAGGCATCAGCTTTGCCTTGCAAGCTACAGAGCAAATTGCTGTTAATCAATAACGTACAGTGCAATCCAAACCAAATTGTAACCCTCATGTGTTTGATCCTTTTCTTACCATTTCTGTACTATGTTATGTGATGATGCCAAGAGGCCTTCGATCTTGGACGCTGAGCAGTTTGAATTGTTACTTTTAATTATTACTAATTATTTTTTCCCTGTCTTATATGTGTGTGCGTGTGTGTGTGTACGTTTGTTTCGTTTTTCCAACCAAAACACAGTCACATTCCAAAGAGGAGATGGAGGACTAATGAGCAATGGAAGGTATGTTTCTTTGTATAAAGGTCTTCCCATTGTGTTGTTAAAATTAGGGATCTGAAAAATGCTATAGGTGATGCACTTGGGTCATAACCAATCATTGAGAAGACTGACAACACTAGGAGGACTGACAACATTACTAGTTCAGTAGCTTACCACAAGGTTTAATGACCTATCTTCTGTGCACTTTGGAGGAATCAAGCCCAGATGTTTCATATATCCCAGATGCCCTGGAAGAAATGAGTAGTAAATATCACAAGGAATGTGTTAATTTGTTACTGGGATGTTTATTGCATTAATTAGACATTAGCAAATGAAGTTGCTGTTGTTTAAGACTCCTTATTGGCTCCCCTTAAATTGCTGTGAGTGAACAATTACACTTAATCGATCACAAAATAAATGATTCATGGATGATGAATAGGCTGTAGATTGATAGGACTGGATTCCACAACTTTGGCTACTCAACTGAAATTGATAAAAGTTGATAACAGGCCCATATATCCTCATCTATTTTCCCATTGCCAATATGGAGATTGTAATTAGGCCCTGGTAATAACTTCCAATCTCCTGTTTAATCAATATTTTAGCAAAAAAGAGATTAGGCCTAATGAGAGCGAGTAGATGTGGCAAGAAGGCGGCTGGGTCTTCTTATTGCCGTTGCCATAGAAACCAATGTTTCTCTTAGGGATTGTACCAGGCAGGGGTCTATAGCGTACAATGATTGGAGATGTTGCTCCAACTTCATGAGTGCATTAATAACCTGGAAAAGCTGCAGAAGTGTGGACGGGGTTTTGTTTTCATTTAGGGGAAGGGGATGTCTGTAGGAAATTATTGTTTTCCCTGTTAAATACAAATACAAACAATCCACCTGTCTTGCTAAATTTCTAGGTGTTTATCTTCGAGTGAGCAAGACATGGTGCCTTATGGCCCAAGTGTACCTTCTCTTTCAACAGACTCACTGTTTAATACTGCTCTCAAAGCTGGGAATTACAGCGATACAAAAGCCATGCGCTAGTGGCACTTAAAGAGAGCTGTGGATTTTCCATTTATACTACTCAAACCTGCTTGCCTCTAAACTGTCCAAGAGTGCTCAAAGAAAGAGTTACCAGCCTGCAGATGACAGGCGTGCATTTGGGATGCAAGGGAAAGAAGAAATAGTAGCCCAAAGTCCTGGAAATGGCTGATACAGAGCAATCAGTTTGAGTGATGGCTCCCTCGAGGTGATAATTTATCATGCAGCCCTGGTGTAGGATCCCATGATGGTGCTGCCTAGCCCCTGTTTCACACAGACAACGGAGTTCATTTGGATTCTGGCAGAATCACGACAGATGCCTAGTCCCACTTCTACTGACAAAGTTGATTTGTATATAACCTTAATTAACTGCTCAAGGTCTTTAAATCATCAAAGGCTACACAATTTTAATTTGAAAGAAATGAAGTTTCCTAAACTGTCTTTTACCTACAGTGTTAGGAGAACAGTGATATGCTCTCTTCAATCATTAGTTGTCTCACATATACTTTAATTTTTTAAGTGTGTCTCTATATATTTGTATGTATATCTTTTTTTTCTATTCTGCTTCAGTCGACCAGGTCTGTTGAATGCAAGTGACCCCAGTTATCCTTGGCTTGCAGACTCTTGGCCTGCCACAAGTCTGCCGGTAAACAACAGCACTAGTGGACCCAATGATCTTGCCAATTTTGGTCGTGGAGGTACGTTTCCTTTTATTAATTCACTGTATAGTACACAATAGAATCATAGAATGGTTTGGGTTGGAAGGGAACTTAAAGAGCATCTACTTTGAACCCCACTGCCACAGGCAGGGACACTGTCCACTGGACCAGATTGCTCCAAGCCCCTCCAACCCTTGAACACTTCCAGGGATGGGAAAGCCACAGTTTCTCAGGACAACCTGTTCCAATGTCTGACTACCCTCACAGTGAAGAATTTCTTCCTAATATCTAATAAAAATCTATCATATTTCAGCTTAAAGCCATTCCCCCATGTCCTATCACCACAGGCCCTTGTAAAAAGTCCCTCTCCAGGTTTCTCGCAGGCCTCCTTAAGGTATTGGAAGGCTACTGTATGATCTCCCTGGAGCCTTCTCTTCTCCTTCTGTTAATTAATACCTATGATAAACACTGTGTAGAATTTTCATCATTATAGTTATTTCTATGTTTGACTCACAATTTGATTTAAAATTGAGTTTAGAATGCTTTGTCTCTTTCTCTACTTCTCTAAAATGTAGGTCTAGTTTGTAATTTACCTCACAGTGGTGAGACAGGGTCTGCTTATTATCTCAAGGGAAATGTTTCTGTTGCTCAAACTCATTACCTCTTACATGGAGATAAGCAATCTGCGTGCAGGGCAGTGTAGCCAGGGATAGAGGATGGCCATAACAGCAGAGAACTCCTCAGGGAATGCAGCAAGGATGCTTCTTCATCAGAAGAACATAAGAACATTGTTGCTGTCAGCTTATCCATCCTCCTTCTGGTGAGGGACTGCTCTCAGTCTCAATCATAATCCATGAAAAAGGTTTCAAAAATCTTCATAAACTTTCCTTCTTATTGGAGGAAAAATACACAGAGGGGGAACATTTAGATTTTTTAGGATTTTATTTCCATTTTGAAATAAGAGGCCTTTTGGGGAGATGAGGTAATGATCAAGGTGATGAATCTTTAGAGGGGTTATTTTCTTTCAAACATTTTACTTAGATGGGAATTTCAAGATGTGTGGTTGGGATTTCTGAAAGTTATAGTAATCTTCATATCTCTCCTACTTCCTTGGTTTCTGTGATGTTGTAACAGTTAGCTCTCCATAGTGGTATTCACAACAAGAGTTCCTAATGTAAATGAGTATAGAAATATTTCTAAGCCATAAATAAGTAAACAAAAATCAAGACAACTTTATATATCAAAAATACATTAAAATGCAAAAAATCCATAAAACCGTCAAGCTGATAAATGTGAAAAGAATTCACGTTTGAACTCTACCAGAATCTGTTTCTGAAAACCATCTCTCACATTGGTTATATGTTCCCGTGCAAAACTTCTTGCCTGTGGTTTGAGTACCGTGACTTCAAATTACCACAAAACACTTCAGATTTATTTTCCATATAAAACTGTTGTAAAGCTTGTCTTACAAAAATATTTTAAAATAAGCAAAACTTTTTATGATATTGAGAAGGCAACTGAATATCTGCTACCTTCTTTGTTGTGAATATCTTGAAAATAAAACCCTTCAGTACTTTTCCATCTTTTCTTAAGCTCACATAATACAGAAAAAATACCATTTTGCTTTTAGCATTTGGCTCTATACGACTGAAATTAGAAGCATGCCTTAAAGGTTTTGGCTTCAATGTGGATGAGGCATAGATCCAAATTTGTCCAAGCGGTGCAACAATTATATTTTGAAATTCAGCAGCTTAACTCCACCCATGATCTTTACGGTTGAGTTCATACTTTTATTCTGGCTGGTTTGGGACCACTTTTCCATATCTGTTTCAGCAGCTGAGTTTGGACTCTTCTTCATTAAAGATGCATCAGAAGTCAGATGTCTCTTAACATGAATTAACTGTGTAGATAGAACTTGGGCCTTTACACGTTAAAGGGTTTGTGAAAACATAAAAAGTCTCTAAGAATTTTGAAAACAGTAAGGTGGCAATCAATCAGTCTGGAAACTCAGAAACTGAGGCAAGCAGATCTAACATTGCCTTTAAGAGTGAAATACATTGTGTCCTAGATAGGCATTTGAGAACAAGGCTGTGAGTAGGATGCACAGGTTGGGTTTGGAGTTGCACAAGGCCACAAAATGGTACTATATCTCCTGAGGGGGGAAGAAAGACTTTCTCTCAGGAAGTCCTTCAGCACTATTTCATTTATTTCAAGAGCTGCAAAACAAGGTGGATTTTGGAGAGTTTTTGGGAAAGCATCCAGTGGGAAATGTGTCTTCGTCTTTGGTCTGAAATGTTCGGTGTGTTTTTTTTGCTATGATGACTTGGTGGGAAAATCACACTTTATTTTTTATTAGGTGATTATGGCACTTTGTAAAATGGCACTTTAATAGTTCTTTTGAGTGCTTAGTGTATACATCTACTTGTGGTTAAAAAAGTAATCTGTGGTTGCACTAGAAATTCCCAGAATGTCTGAAGAACCTCATCTTATTCATAGGAATGACTGAAAGCTCTTGGCTGGTGGGAAGCTATGCAACTTTCATTTCAAGTGTTTGTAAATGTATAGTTCTCCATTTTAAAATGACTATATAGGGATGATACTTCTTCAGTTGCCTGAAACATCTTATAAGGACAGATGTATGTCTTGAGAGATGAGACATTTTGCAAGTTTTCACTTGTGAGTCTGCAAAGCCAACACAGACAGCTTGAGCTGGACTTCCTTCATTTTATATATCAAACAGAATTTATTTACTAAACTTCAATCCACTATACTTTGGTGAAACCAGTTGTGGAAGGGATAACTCTTCATGTTGTGAATGAAATGCAAGAAATACAGGACTGCGGTTGTTTTTCTCATCACATGCTGTATTTGCACATAGATGCTTTTATGATTGTGTGCTGCCCCTAGAAAGCACAGTGGATGAGTGCAAATAGATAGTAATAACCTGATTTTGAAATATGGCCTGTAGTTTGCATTCATGGTAATATTTTTTTTTACTTGCATTTTATCTGCAGATAAAAGTTAATACAATTAAGGCATTTTAAATACTTGATTGTGCCCATTTCCCTGTTCTTGTTGTCTGCAAAAACAGATCATAATGATAGACCCAAATTTAATATCTGTTTCTGCATTCTCTCTACTGAGCACTTGTTATTGCCATATTTATTGTTAATATTATGTTGTTGCCCTGAGACTGCAGATGTTATTAGGATCCATATTAAAATGTTTATTATTGCACACATGAATGCAGTAGAAAATAGTTCCATGGTCTAAATGTTCATCCCAGGGAAAAACAAAACAACCCAAATCTCCCCAAAACAGTGTGAGGGAAGGGAGGCCATATCCATTGCTGGAAAAGTCTTGAAACAGTGAGAGAAAAACTGTATTCCGTAAGGTACAAAACCCATATCTGAGTCTGGAACTGAACCTAAACTCTTGTCTAGGTTCAAGAATCATCTTTTTCTCTCTGGGACTTAAGTTATATAAAATGCCTGTGATGCCTAGAATGGCATCTGAGCATCCTCACTATAGAAGTACGCATTATCTCAGGGGTGGTCTAATGGCTGGAATCTGTATCTGCCATTCAGGTGTCGAAAGCAAATGGCATATAAATGATGCATTTTTCTAACAAGTAAATTCCAAAATGGTTTTAACTTTTCAGAGTTTAAATAAGTTGTAAAAAAACGTTCCATTTGATATATTGATCTCTGAGACAGCAAGAAAAGGGTTATCTGCTGAGCTGTGGTTCTTCTTGGGACATCATGCCAGTCATCATTAAATTCTTCACACTTCACTAGTCTCAGCTTCTAAATCTAGTATTCCACCAGCAAAGGTCACTACAATGTTTAGTAAGGAGAGATTGCCAATCTAACTGATTAAAGGAACAAATTGCAGTGTGTGATAGGATTCAAAAGGTGTGAAAAGTCAACAGATATTTAGTTAAATACGCTGTACTGTTTTCAGGTAAACGTACTGGAGTACTCGAGCAAGTTGTTCTCCATTATCAACACTGTGTTGCCATTTTAAGAGAATAATCACTTAAATCCCTTCAAAATAACAGATTTTCTTACATGTAATGGGAGCAACTTGCTTTTGTGAGGTTTTTCTTTTGTTGAAAAGGAGAAACATACTAGCTGATGTCACAAATAAAATTAGATAAGCTGATGCATAAAACTTCAAGGAAGTCAAGGTGATGGCCTTAAAAAATTACTTTGAGAGCTTTGGCAACTCCATTTAACAGTTTTACTATGTATTTGTTGGGAAACTTTCCTCTGTGGTTTGTAGATTCACTCCTTTCATCATTTCGCTGAAGGCCAGACAGTTTCATTGCTCTGACATAGAGTGAACAATTGAAAACATTCTTCAGGAGAGAAATATTCCAAACTTCTCTTTCACAGTTGAAGGTATGGAAAAAAAGTAAAAGAAAGATGGTTTTAGGCAGCGAGACGTGAAGGACAAGTGGTAGGCCTGTCACAGATGCTGATAGTATGGCGATGGTTGTACATCATCTTCCCTTCATTGGCTCATGGACCTGTCTCAGCTAAATGCAAACATGCAAAATGACACGTTTATTTTTCATCTTAAACCTTGATACTTTCAGGCTTCCTGTGCATCAATGATTTGTTTCATTCCCCTATGTTCACCACAGATGTGCTGCCACCAGTGCCAGGGCAAGGAGATAAAACCGCTACTATGCTTTCTGATGGAGCCATTTACAGCAGCATTGACTTCACCACGAAAACTAGTTACAACAGTTCCAGCCAAATAACACAAGCTACACCATATGCCACCACCCAGATACTGCATTCCAACAGCATCCATGAGTTGGCTGTCGACTTACCTGATCCTCAGTGGAAAAGCTCAATTCAGCAAAAAAATGACCTAATGGGATTCGGTTACTCTCTCCCAGACCAAGGCAAAGGCAACAATGGTAAATAAGCTCTTGTTTCCCAGAGCCCTTATATATACATCTATGCATGGATTAGAAAATTCTTCTTAGTATGTGAGATGCTATTCATATTTACAATAACTAATGCTTACATGCTTTGCATGCATAGATTGTGTGCTGAACCTCACACAATCACAAAGTGTATTGTTCTCTGCTTTTAATGCTCTCTGTCCTGTGCTAATCACCAAGCCATCTGCCTTCCATTAGGCTAGGATAGGTATACATTTAAAAGAAAATTAATTAAACTTGCTGCCCCACCACATCTGACTTGCTAACTGCATGTGTTGCATGTGCTTGTGCTGTCAACTAATCACACAATGCCACTGTGACCTTTGCCGTTTAACCCTTAGCCTTGCTTTACATCCCTGACTACCGCGTGGCTGAGGGATTGGCTAATAGATTACCACACAACCAGTCACAGGATTTCAGCACCACCAGCTCCCACAACAGCTCTGAAAGGAGTGGCAGCCTCTCAGGTTGGTTCCACTACCGTGGGTGGGTTAGGGACGGAGGGGTCTTGGTCAGCAGCTCGCCAGGGAGGTGGTAAACCTCTCACGTGCACTTCTTTGTGGGTAGGAATAAGGGCACAAGCCCACTGGAACATCAGCAAGTGGCATCACATTGGCCTCTACTGAAAAATAAAGCCTTTTGCAAAACCTATTTGGAGATAATTGGAGAATCAGAGAATCATAGAATAGTTAGGGTTGGAAAGGACCTTAAGATCATCAAGTGCCACCCCCCCCGCCATGGGCAGGGACACCTCGCACTAAACCATATCACCCCACCTGGCCTTGGACACTGCCAGGGAATAATTGGAGAATCCTCCCACCCAGCTTGCTTGTTGGTGCAACTGCAAACCTTGCCTTGTCACATCCCTTCCCTGAGAGCACAGTTCATGGAGCAACTATATTTCCACATCAATCCTCACTTTATAGATCTTCCCACGCTGAGCTTCATGAGGAGATGGATATTTTTGTTGAGTTGTTAACAGATTCCCCACTCCCACGAGCTGTTTCAAAAATGCTGGTTTTCAGTGAAGCAGCTCAGGATAAATGTAGGGCCCTGCAAGATGAGTGGGGTTTCAAAAATTGTGCCAAGTCTGCATAGAAACCAAATGTAAATTTTATGTGTATGCTGAATGTTTTATTGGAAACATGACACATATTCATTAGATGAAAATGATTTTGAAATTATTTTGGTTAAATGAAAATGATATTTAAACACACCTTTTTCTTCATTTCTTTTATTTTGCTTACTTCTTGCTTATGTACCACTATGTCAATTTTTGTTTTCAAGATAAAACCTGAAAAGCCAGCACTTAAAATGCAAGTCTGCTATTTCATTTAAGTGAAATATGAGAACCCTGAAGTGACTTAAATTTCAAATTCATACTATATCTGTAGCCTTCTGAATTTCTACTATAAGTTGGAACAATTCTAACCATAACAGATCATCCCTAGAATTGGCTTCTTTGTCAATTTAATTAGCTGTTCAAACTGAATGTTGAGATTAGAAGCCCATAATCATTGGCCCATAACTCAAATAGCCAAAGGTGTTTGCAGGTCTTTTGTTCTCATAGGGAGTATTAGCTGTTTCAAGTGAGACTGAAAAATAGGTTTGTGGCATTGACAGAGAGGTATCTGGGAGCTAAGTTCATACAGTTCTTCAAGGAGGGTTCTTGTTCCTTGTTTGTGAGATGTATTGGCAAGTAGCTTAGGAAATCGGCTTGTTCCTCTGGCTGCATGGGTATGCAGAAATTGATATGCTGAGGTACATATGTGCCATTTATCAGAGGGCAGTGTCACACTTCAGATGTGTTGACAGCTACAGCTGCCTAAGAATTTTCTCAGAAAATACAAAGTTTCATTGGAAAATATCAGTTGATCAAAAGCTGGACTTTGAACCAGTACTTCAAGGGAAACATAATATTTTGTGTAGTGTTTTCAGTTTGAAGTAAATTTTCCAACAACATACAGAAACTTCAGGTTAGTCCGTCTTTTTCTGTGGCCAGGGCGCTCCTGTTGTGATCAAAGCAGCTGACATCTGGATGCCCCAATGCTCAGTTGAATGTCAGCCTATTGAACTGCAGAGTCAGTATTTTGCTCTCCCTTGCCCGCTAATTATGTCTTTAATACAGGCTAATTATGTCTGTAATACATGAGAAACTGGGGGAGAGCTTCAAATATTCTGACAACTAGAGCATCAGTGGAGTCAGAGACCAGCTTTGATTATGTAGTCCCCATCAGGGTGAAGGGATTGTTCTCTCGCTTCCTTTGTTAGTACCTTAAGTACTACTTATTATGCCGACTAAGTTTCTCTCTCTCTCTCAAATGAATATAATGAGAAATCCTATCCCACTGTGGAATGGAAAATAGCTAAAAAATCAACTGCTTTGTGAGGCAGGGAAATTTTGTGGCTGTACTTTGCACAGCTCCCAGCTTATGCCAGTGCTATGATCTTCAGCCTGACTGGCAAATTCTTTTTCCAGGACCTGATTCATCTAGAGATTTAAAGAACGTAATTGAATTTCAGTGTGAGGAGACATTGAAACATCAAGCATCATTGCTATGGGAAGACAGATGCATTGAAACATCAAGCATCATTGCTATGGGGAGATGGAGGCATTGAAATATCAAGCATCATTGCTATGGGCAGATGGAGGCATTGAAACATCAAGCATCATTGCTATGGGGAGACAAGGCTTCGGTGCAACAGTTTTCAAACACACATCAGGCTTTATGTATTAGGTGTCTGTTCCAACTGTCTGACAGTGGAGTAACTTTGCCCATGGGGACAGAAGAGAAATCTCCTTCCCAAGTGTACAGTGTAGGCTGCTTTCCCTACCAGTAATGACTCTGGAGTTTCTTTCTTCATCTTCATCTAAAGAGTTCCTCAACTCTCTGTTTCACTCTTTCTAATGGCTCCATTGTCTTTGACCTTTCCCTCCAAAACCCTCCAAATCCTGGGTGTTTCCATACTAGCACTCCACACATCCAACCTCCATTTGACCCATCTTCTAAGATTACCAAGACACTACACTTCCAAAATCTTCCTCTGCACCTCAGCTGATCTCTGCATTTCTCTTCTCTGAGTTTTCCTAGTTTAAATCCTCCTGCGATACACATGCACACACTCTTATGCATGTGCTTTCCTCCCAAAGCAGCCCCTCCTGACTTAGCCCTTGCTGCTTCCTACTCTTGCTGACTTTTACAGAATTCCCTTATGTATGTCCTGCAAATTGCACTTAGCATACTTCCTTTATACTGTTCTGTTAATTCTGCTTTCCCCCGCACCTATGCTTTGAAAGCTTCGTTTTCCCTCCAGAAGGTTAATTTATTTCTTCCTTCATTGCCATCATTGCTGGGGTGATCTTTTCCATTGATCAAAATGTTCTTTCCCTTTTCAAGAATGCTTCCCTTTCTGCCAGGCTACAAAAAGGAGGAAAGAGCCTGTCTTGCATCCTAATAAATGGAATATCAGCTCAGTTCACACACAGTGAATGACATGATCTTGGCTGGATTTACACTAAATACTCCAAGACAAGGAAGGAAGAGGTCTCTTCTGGAATTGAGTAGTAGAAAGCAAAGTCTTGTTTGCAATGCACTGCCAGCCAGGCTGACGAGAAATCTTGCTGGACTCATTGCCTGTCCATGGCAACCAGAATAGGAAGTGATAAGAGAAGTCTTGGTTACTTCTGAATCACAGAATCACCTTGTTCTTCCGTCTCTGTTCCTATTTTGGTCCAGCTGACATCTAGAGATAACAGAAGAAAGCCACTGCCTGTTAGATGAGAAATCCTGTGACACGTGGTTCTATCTGCTGCTGGAATTGCACCTCCCTTTGTATGCCTCTATGCCGTGGCTAGAGCCATGGCACAAGGTGTGCTGCCTGCTTGTGCACAGTGTTACCCTGCCTATCAAGCCAGTTGTGGCTTTTTTGATTCATTGCTGTTGAGAACTTTTTATGTAGGTTTTTGGGGCTGATCCTTATAAATCAGCAAGTACATTAGTGAGTAAGATGGATTAGATTGTGCTTTCTGCAACAGGCAAGTGATAAGTGACTGCCAGCTGGGTACCCCACTGAAAAAGCATATGACAAACCATCCTTCCAGCCAACAATACAGAGGGTTCGAAAACCACAACAAAATGGCAATAAATAGATGGGAATCCAGGCAGTCAAGGGATTCAAAATCTTGTGCCATTCTTCCTCTTAATTAATTCCTGACAAGAAAAAGGAGTCAAGGCTAAATGAAAGAACTGAAACAAGTGGGATGAGAGCTTTCTCTGTATCATTTTCCCACAAATGGAAGTGTCTCAATGGGAGAAGTAGGTACAAGGATGCTAAGAGAAGAGAAAAGGGCTTACACAAAATGCATAAATGCATTGCTGACTTCATTTCTACTCCTCCATTAGAGCTGTACATCTGAAATAATGCCTCTTCTCTGTAGTGCACAAGATATTTGAATCCTGTGAAAAAGACAATTCTAAAACATTGCAGATGACTTCCTGATGTTTTTAAAAATGGAACTTAGTAAATTCCTGTCAGCAAAACCCTGTTTCTTTCTGTTCTGACAAACTTGCACTTCACATTCTGGCTGAAAGATAATGAGTCTAATGACAAACTTTTTAAAATAGTGTCCTTAACCTCTGTGTTTTCCATAGTAAGAGATTATGCAAAACAGTGTTAGAAGCACATTGAATTCTGACATTTGAAATAATTCCCTATGGTCTTTTTTCTTTTTTTTAATTTGTTTTTTTTAAATCTAGCAGTGAATAAAAGTCATAAAGCAGAATTGAATAAATCAGGAAATACATTTCTGATTCAGCAAAAGATGTCCTTCCTTGGTTGTGCACTGTGTGGTTGTGCACCACTACTGTGGTGCAAATGGATGGAGTATTAAAAAGAAGAGATCTTCAGCAATTATTCAGGATATCTTTCCATTCCACTATTATTATTTATAACCTTGTACCTGCCTTAGCACACTGATGCTGATTCTGCTGAGATGTAAATGCATCTTCCTTTTTTGGGGCATGCCATCTGGAATCAGAATTCTTTAAAAGAAATGTAAATCACTAGCTTTATTCCCCACATTATATCTTTAACATTTTACTTTTCCTTTTGGATTTGCAGGTGGCAAAGGAGGGAAAAAGAAGAAAAACAAAAATACTTCCAAGCCCCAGAAAAATAATGGTTCAAACTGGGCCAGTGTTCCCCTCCCACCCCCTCCCGTGCAGCCACTTCCAGGCACAGAACTGGAACACTATGGGGTGGATCAGCAAGAAGCAGGGTAAATTTTATTTCTTTTTCTTTTGAAGAAAAATCTGTGGTTTGCAGAAATGAGGCTTCTTCTTCAAATTTTCCTAAGTGACAGTAGTGACAATATTATACTGTTTTGTTTAACAAAAGAGAAAGAGCGCCTTATCCTATAATCCTATAGACTTATTCAAGGCTACGGAGGAGGAATGTTTGAATAGCTCCTCTTGAAGATGGAAATAGAAGTGACCTTGCTTCATCATCATGTAGGGCTTCTCTGCTTACTCATGCTGAGGAGTATCTTGTCTCACATGTAGCTTAATTGCATTCTGTTGGGACTGCTTGTACATGATGGGACTCGGCGCGGGTAAGGATGATATAATCTCGTTCCATATATTTTTTGACTACTTTGATGTGTAAAAATATTAGAGCTAATAGAATAACACACACACCCACGTACTCACACAAAATTGGATTAATTTTAGAAGATCAACCAGTGGATAATAGCCTTCTCATTGGCCTTTATAAGAAATTTCACAGTTGAGGAAGGCACCCTATGTATAAGCCTTTAAGCAACTGGAACCTTACACTTCCTGAACAAGCTTAAACTTGTTCTCAAGGACACAAAACCACACAGAAAGCACTAAATGAGAGGAAAGAGACATTTCCTGCACAGAGAACAATTATGGAATGCTTTTTATAAAGTGAAATTATGACATAACAGGTTATCTGGACTACAATCAGAGTATGTAGAAGAGTAGTTTACTGTGGTCATCTCTGTTGGAACCTTGTTCTGTTCATTGTTCTGTCAGGGACAAATTTCTGCCTGTTCAAATACATGGATTAATCAATATTTCCTAAGGATGAAACACATGTTTTAAAAGTCATTGTAATAGCTTTACCGAGTAAAAGTATTTCAAGTGTTATCTCTTCCGGAAGCATGAATTGATCATCACTATTTTTATAATGAAACTTAGAAGAATTAAATATTAATATCTGAGTTTGTACCAAGTCCTTCAGCTCTCAATATGAATAATAACTACCTGTGTAAGTCAGTGTAATTCCTTTTAAAATGAGGCTCCATTCAGGCTGTATTAGAGTTAGAATTTAAAACAAATATAAGGGAAAATGAAAAAAAACTTACTGGTTGTAAGTGTTGTTTAAATCTCAAGGCAAAAAGTGCATGTAATCATCGTGTTCTGTATTCTGTTGCAAAAAACAACCAAAATAAATTTAAGATTATTTCTCCTTATAATATTTGTCCTTATCACTTAAAACACATGTGCAGCCTTTTCACTGAAACAATTATGCTATAGAAGGCGGACAACTTGGGTTTTCTTTCAGGATAATGGAATAGCATAAGAGGCAAAGGAAATACATTCTGGAGAAATGACCTGTGACTTAGGGCTTCACTCCTCTGCTGCATAAAGTGTCTGTTATTTAGCTGGAAGCATTGATGTTGGTCACCAAGATAACACTGTTATTTAAGGATAAGGTAATCACCAGTCTTACAGGTTCTCAGCAATTCAGACTTAGTTTTTTCTATGATTATCTTTTGGATTACTCTTCTTAGGGTTTTTTTCCTCATAATATCTCATTAATAGTGGTTGTAACAAGGCCTTCTAATGTGCATTCTACCAAACATAAAAAAGAAGCATTGAAGATTAGACAGTATCAGTCTTAAGCTACAGTATTTGCAACCAGCTTTGCTGAACCCAGTGAGTCTGCCATGCCCATACTTCCTGAGGATGTGTCCGACAGTAGTGGTCATTTGATATTCAGGGGCTGATCTTGTTTCTGTGTTTTTCAACATGCTAAAATCAACTGAAACATAGACTGCATTCATTATGTTGTCTTTTTGACATATTGGGTAAAAAAAAAAAAGCTAGCAAATTTTGTAAATTGTTTTGGTTTTCTTGATTTGCTTTGATGTGTACTATGTATGACAAGTTAAATGTGTTTTAATTTAAGAACTAATCACATGCAGATGTAATTATATTGAGAATTACAATTGAAAAATGAACTTCCAGTCAGAAGAACTGAAGGCTTTAATAAAGTTCTCACAATGTGATATGAAAGGTGAACTTTTAGAGCAATAAAACAAGGAAGTTGGCATCTAAACAGAAATTTTTCTGTGTTCTTGAATTCAAGTGTGAGTCTCATTAGCATGAGTATCCCAAATAAACTAAACAATTTTGACACCTTTTTTTGCTTACTAGAAGTTAACAGTAGTGCCCTATTGACTTATCATCAATGTAAAAGAAAATCCCCAACAGCAGCAAGTTGAAAAAGAGTCCCCTAACTTAAGCATAGGCAGGGAAGAAAAATATGCTCTTAGTTCTCTCTACTATCTTCTCCCCAGAAGAACTGATGCTTGCATTCACTTCCATTTTGACATGAACTGCAACACACATAAGGAAAAGTGAACATGTTAGTCCAAACAGCCGTTTTATTTAATATGGTAGCTTTTAGGATGTCTTTAATTCCTAGTTTAAAAAGTGTGGTTTTCTGTTGAAAGTCTGTTTATACTGTTATCCTGGCAAGCTTTCCTATGAAACTTTCCCCTTTTTTCTGGTCTTCTAGAAACTCTGTGCTTGTTCCTTGTTATTTTCCTTAATTTTCTGTTGTATATACAGTGAGTCTTTGAAGCTTCTCTTTTCTTCTAGTAGCTCCCAAGGAAGCATCTTCCCTTTCCTACTCTTTTTAGAAAAGATGCTTTTGTCTGGTTCTATCTATGAAGTTGATAATAAGGAAATGCTTATTACTTATTCATTATCACCTATTTATATTTTTTTCACTGATAATACATATGAGTTTGAGCCAACTCCAGTAAAGGCGGTCTCCATACTGTTATCATTGATTTTTTTGTTGTTTGTTTCTTTCTATTGATTACACCTTAAAATGCAATGTTAGCTGCTGGATGTCCAGAAAAAGTAAAGAAGATAATACCTTTTACATTAAAAAGTCCTTTCTGGCAAGGCCTAGAGAGGGAAGCTTTCTTTGTATAATGAAACACAGTTGTTTCAGAATGTGCCCTTTATCTATCACCTCTGTTTTCTATTTTGAAGAAAAAATATGTCCATGTAATGAACCAAGCTTTTTAATAGCAAAATATTACTACAGAATAAAAGTGCTGAGAATAGAATAAAAATTGTTAGAAACATAGTCATGTTTGTTAATCAGAACTTTTTAGGAACTTAGTTATAACGAATTTACAATCAGCAGTCCCTAGTGAAGTTAAGGTGCTTTGATTTTAATGAGTACTTGAAAAAGGTTATATTTTTACTAAGTTTATATATTCAGAAAACCAAACAGAACATGGATATGACCAATATTCACTATGCTGGTTCCAGAAGTTTCAATAACTCTATCATTTATATGAGGTGTGGTTACTGCTAGCTTTTTCTTGAAGGTATTTTTTTGTAGTTTGAAAAATGTAGGTTAGAATTGGTGGCTTTTCAGACATCCTACATTATAAAGACAAAGGTTCTTGGAGCTGAAATTTTGACTCTCAATGTCCTGAACTTCAGGCTTAGGCTCTTTAACATTTCAAACAAAATCTAGGTAAAGGTAAGGTGCAGAATCTTTTTACTGAGAAATCTTTTTACTAAGAAATCTTTTTACTAAGAAATCTTTTTGCTATCAAGCTGAACATTTGGGGTTTTGAAGCAAGCAGGGTCAAAAGGCGAGCACATCCAAAGTTCTTTTATGCATTACTGAAAAGTCACTGGGGAGTATCTTTCTGCCCTGCCCCTTTTAAAGAAGAAACCATTATACCAAAGTATGAGGTTGAGAGAGTAAAAGTAAGTGACAGAACTGTTGCACTGTACATTTTTAGCAGCATGAGCTAGGATGGTTCCTCCAACCTTGTCTGGCAATGTCATGAGTTAACATTGCAAGGAAAGACAAATTAGGAGTTATTCATAGCTTAATTATCTCATAAGAAATTGGAAATATAACATAGAATGTTTTCTTAAATCCGTGTGTCATGAAAGTGGTAATGATCAATCACTCAAAAGCTCCTAAATGCCAAGTGTTAAGATGCAATATTTATTTGTACCTCTGTACATGTACATATGTTTGTGTATCTATATATGGTTATGTCTATATATGGTTATATGTAGATATAAAGTGATATGAGCCATAATTACAAGATATGTCTTCTACCGGCTTTTGGATGATTAAGTCAGGTTGTTTTGGTTATTCTGAATCTGTACTTTTAAATACAGACTACAGACTTCTGAATAAGGAAAAAGTAGTTAATTTTAGAAATCTTTGGGGTTTGCTAAAAGTAAACGTTCTGTTCATAATATAAGTTTTAAAACTTCTCTGCCTCAGTGTCCCCAGGCTTTTGTAACCCAGCTTCACACCTAAGAAAATTGGCAATTACTCATTTTTCTCTGGGAAACTAGTAATTCTGTCCTTTCAAATTAGAAGCCTTAAAGAAGTATTTCTGAACTGGTTTGGGAAATTGCCTGTATAACACAATGCACTGCAGAAAAAAGAAGTGCACCTTGTCAGCAGTCCTTGAAGGTGGAAAGAAGATAAAGTGACTTAGATGATGCTTGGGGAATGGCTTTTGGAGGGCAAGGTGCTTTGACAGTGAAAGAGCTGCGAGAGCTTTTGTTTGTCTCTTTACTTTTTGAAAAGAGCTGTGTATCTTGAGGTATTTTGCAGTACAGTGGGAGTTAAGAAATGTGTGCAGATGCTCAAGGGACTGCAGACTGGATGTTTTGAAGACAGGAAGAATAGTGTTGAAATCTTGGTGGTGTGATCGTCAGCAGAGCTGTGTACAACTGAAGCTGTGTTCAGATTAGGGAATTACTCTGGGGAGATAATGCACAGGGAACAACCACAGTCACTGGGGTCTAGACGTCTTGAGTGATGCTGATGTCTCTAAGGGACAGGGTCCTGGGATGATACTGTAATACAGCATTGACTTGAAAGGTTCTGTGGTGACGACAGTGACAGAAGAGGGTTGAACTGCTGGCAAATCTTGCATAAGAAGTGGTAATAGAATATAAAGCTTCTGTTTCTAGCCCTGGTCAGATGTAGCATCATCTGTTACACCGTTAGTGAAAGACTAAGACCCACAAAAACATATCAGAACATCTCTTGTATGCGAAGAGAGACTTTGGTATTAAAGACTATTGGTAGTTGTTATTTTTTTATTTACTTTGGGCAGCTGTTTTGAAAGTGCTCAGAAATTTAGCACTGCTTAGGTAAGTCCCTGTAAAGATTGGTTAGCAGGTGGGGTGCTGGAAGAACTGTCAACATGTGTGCTAATGTGTCTTATCAGCTGGTGCTGTGACATAGCATATGCTTAGGGTCAGTGCTGCTGCAACATGAATATATTACACATCATAGTAGGTATCTATATGCAGTGTGGAAAGACTGGAATTTATGTGGAAAGTGCAGCTTTTTCTTTAAGATACAAAATAAAAACAAATAGTAAATTTGTAGGCTAATAAAGGGGAGGATGGGAGTAAGGATGTTCATAAGTGCACCCACATAAAGCTCACTCTGCCTGTTAAGAATGCTGCTGTTTTCATGTCTAGGTCAATCTTCATGTGTTCTCATAGGTTAATGATCCAGGAAGTGAGTTAGCTCATTTTTGTTGTTGATTGTGGTGTAGCATTATCTAATCACCATTAGCAAATGTTATAATGGATCAGTAATTTTTTTGTTGCACATCTTGTTCAAGTTGCTTGGCTGTTGTGGGAAAAATTAAACAGACTCAGTAAGGAGAATTTAAACAATTATGACCCTATTTTGAATAAATGTGAAAGCTCACACTGCATGCAAGGGTTCAAACTGTAGCAGAAATCCTGTATGCCCTCTACTGCACGGCAGAGATGGGGTTTGATATATGCTATGCTTACTTGTTTTTTCATTTTAGATATGACAGTGATGGTTGGTGTCCACCTTTGCCAGTTCAGACCTACCTACATCAGGGCATGGAGGATGAGCTTGAAGAAGATGATGATCGTGTCCCCACACCTCCTGTGCGAGGGGTAGCTTCATCACCTGCCATCTCCTTTGGGCAACAGTCAACTGCAACCCTCACTCCTTCTCCACGAGAGGAGATGCAGCCAATGCTTCAAGCCCATCTTGATGAATTAACTAGGGCTTACCAGTTTGATATAGCAAAGCAGACATGGTAAATGTTTGAAGGGGGAATGTCGGGAAATGAATAAGCATAATAATAATTTATTCCTTGACGGTATAAATGTTGACTGTATTCAACAACATTTCAGTAATGTTTCCAAAGCAGTAGAATGGAAGAAGAAATAGCAAAACTATCTACAGTGTGAAGGCCTTAAACATTAGGTGGTGCTGTTAAAACTATAATGCTTGGTAATATGTTGAATCTTGGCTAAAAGCTCATAAAAATAATACTCCTCTGCTTTTAACATATATTCGTATGTTAACATATATATTAACATATATTCAACTAACTGATAACATCAACCTACTGAAAACCTTTATGCAGTTGAGAGTAGTCTCTTTTCAGGCTAGCAAAATGTATGGATTTCTTAGGATTTTCAAAAAACATCGAGGTTCTAAATTCCTGATTAAAATTAGTGCTAGTCACTGGAAATAGCAATGTAGCAGCTTTTCACCTTGTCACATGGGAATAAGCATTTTGCATCGCTGACTGTAGTTTGAAATACCATGAATATTTCTGATTCATGGGGAAAAAAACAGAAATAGCAGGAAGGAAGTTGTTAGTATTTACAAAATGAATTTGGCGGTTTAGAGTGCTTTATGCCTGTTTAAGGGAAGAACAAGCAAATACCACACTAACATTTCTACTGCAAAACAAACAGAAGCAATATCTTCAGGGACTGAAAAAGATCTTGTCATCTGCACCAGGCTGGGGATACGGTGAAGGTCAGTTGCTTTCTGGATGTTCCCTAAGCAGCAGTTGTCCTTTTACAACTTTTCTACCCAGACAAAGCCTGCAAGTCTCAGAGGAGAGGAGCAGAGCTGGTTACCGAATGGCATGCTGCCAGCAGAGGAACAGCCTTTCTTTGCTGGTAAATAAAGCCACTAAGTTATTCAGCTTGAGCTACCATAAATAGATCAGGCAGGTAAGCAGGCAGTGCCAAGTCAAAGCCAGCTGTTTTCCCTGGACACTGTCGAAGCCTCAAGGCTTGTCTGCAATCTGCACTTAATCAACAGGGTACTTTGGTCCTGTTGCAGTGCCATGTTGCCAAGCGCAGACCCTGGCCTGCCTGTGGGACACCCAAATCCCAGGCAGCAGCTAGACCTGGCCTACTGAAGGTAGCTGACTTCTGAGCCAGCACACAGATGCATACCCTATCTACGCAGTCATTGCTGCTGCATTTTGCATCTGTTACCCTTTCTATGCCCTACAAACTGTGGATGCCAGTCTGGGAGCGAATAACAGTAGGACTCTGAAACAAAGCCTCTTACAGCTCACAGGAAAGGTCTTACTCCCTTTTTGGAGAAACAGAAGTTTGGGAACTTTCACAATGTGCTGAGGAATATACAGATTTTAACATTGTTTTTCTTAAGGTCACAGTAATTGAGCCTGAAATGCTGGAAAAAATACCCAAGAGACAACCTTTTCTTCATACTAGGACCTTATAGCAGATACTGGGATGAATATTGAGGGTTGAAAATACAAATGATTTTTGTAGTAGTTATGACATGGAACTGTTTAATGCTTGAATATTTTTGGCTAGACACGTATCAAGCTGTTCAGCAAATGCTGTTTCAGGTTCAGTTGAAAGTCTTCCTTTGCCTTAAGTGGGAAGGAAGAATTCTCTTCACAGTCAACCTGTCCACTGTAGTGGGAGAGAAACATAACAAGATGGGACCTGTCAGATAGCTTACTGCAGGAGTAACAGAAGAGAAATATAGAGACCAGCCAACTAGGAATTTAAGAAAGAGCACATTAGAGATTACTAGAAAAGTACATAATCATTATGGCCTTGATCCAGCAAATCACTTAAGTAAACGCTTAACTACAAGTACATGAGAAATTGACTTCAATTGTTCTATCACATGCTTAACACTAAGTATAGACTTAAGTATTTTGCTTGATTAGGGGCTAATCACACTGTTTATTGCGGGTAAGTTAGATGGTAGTGCCCTTTAGCTTAGTGTTTTGAACACTGCATAGCTAAGAAACTGGTGTCCAGGCAGAAAAGTATTCAAGAACTGCTAATCAGAAGAGGGTTGTATGTCAGAAGGGAAACATTTGCTCTGCAATAAGCTTCAGAGTGAGCAATAACTTAAAAACTACACCAAGGTGGAGAGAGATTCCAGTGGTACATAACGTTTCTGTGACATTTTTGCATCTGCGTTATAGAAAAAAACCCACTCATCAACTGCAGGCAATAATACTGCACAGTTTTCATCAAAAACATGTTAAGGCTAGGAATATAAACAGGTGACAGTTGTATTTTTTTCTGTTATGCTGATAGCAAGAGACAGCAGAATCCTGGATCCCATCCAGAGCGCTGCTGATCCAAGTCAGGTCACGCCATCTCATGACAGCCACCCAAGGATTCCCAAATGCCTAAGTGAGCAATTTCAAGCATGGTACATGCTCTTTCGCCAAGGCCAGTCATGCCTGGGTCCCCTGGCACAGCTTGCTCTGTACCTGTAGTGCTGTGGAAAATGCTGCATTGAAAACTGATAGTTGTTTTCCTTTCTAGCCTCTCAGACACCACGCAAATGAAGCTCCAAGTCCCATCTCATGCTTGCCTTTGGCCATTTAGCTATCCTGTGGTTGTTTTTTATCTTTGTTTTATCTTTTAATTGTGATCGCTGCATGCAGTAATTTCACACATGCATGCCCTAATACTGCTGCAATTAAGTAAATTACTTGGAATAAAACAAAACCAGAAAAGGCCCCACTGATAATGGGTTCACTGGATTTGACATCTTTTCTTTCCTATTGGTCATTTCCTTCTCTTTAGAGTGACTTCTGCTTAAGGGAACTGAGTCTGTTTAATCCGGAGTAGTAAAATGTAATTTTGTTTCAACGTGTGATTTTCAAGGTGGAATATTGGGTGAGACACTTATATGCCAGGTTAGGATTCAGAAATGTGCTTTTCCATGGACTTCCCACCTGATTTATATAGCCTCCACGTAAATCATTCCTCATTGGTAAAAGGGCAGTTTTAACCTTCCCTATCCTACAGGAGAACAAGTATGTTTAAGACTGGAGTGTGCAGGTATGCTGGTATAAGAAGCTGTGGTGAATAACTGAGCTGACTTTTCCTGAGTTTGACCTAATAAGCATGTTGTGTAAAGGTACTTCAGGACTTAGTGAAAGGCTTATCTTCTACTGACCATGGGGTTCAAAGTCTCATCCATTCTGATGATGTTTTCCTGTTTGTTTGTGTAGGCACATCCAAAGCAATACACAACCTCCTCAGGCTCCAGTTCCGCCCCTAGGATATGTATCTGGAAACCTTATTTCAGATTTGGAAACAGATGTTCCAGATGATGATGATGATGAGGATGATATTGAAGAAGAAACTGTAGAAATCAGTAGGCCGCTAAGAGGTTTAGAGCATACTCCAGGCTCCAGTATGGACAATCTAGACAGCTCTGTGACAGGTAACTAAACACAGTTAACAGTGACACCAACTTGCTCCTAACAGTAAAATCATCCGTCAAACACTTTCCAAGTGAAAATTTATTCCACTCTATTTCTGTAACATTTGAAATGTGTTAGTATTAAACACTAAAGTTAAAGAAGGATTTGAAAATACTTTGCTTTGCTGCAAAATGATAAGAAAATTCATGAATTTTAAAAAGCTTTAAAAACTTGAAAGAAAACTCAATTATATCCTAGCTTTCATGAAAAGTTCACTCTACTGGAGAAGCAAGCCAGCTACATAAAAAGGAGGGGGAAGACCTCATCTTAGGAATGTATATTTCATAGATCAGGAGCAGCATAAAAATGTTATCTTAAAACACTTTTATATATTTTGCTGGTTAAATGCTTTCACAGATGAACACAGGGAAGTTAAAAGACATCAGAATAAGTATATTTAGATCAGCACAGCATTTATTTGTAGAGTAAATACAACATTTGTGTAGGAAAATGTGTATTTTGAGCCTACTTTACATTGCTGAATTTACTAGTTGTTCCCTGTCAGTGAATATATTTAATTACCCTGACAATCCTTCCTTCACTTCTTCTCACCTTTTGCATTCCGTTGAAAGTTACAACAGCAATAACCAAAGGGGACCTAGAAAGGCATGCAAAACTAATGCACAGAATCTCAGTGAATAGAATTGCTGTTGACAAAATACAGGCAGCAAAAGCCATTTTTTGAAAACTACAGATTTTATATGAAAATAATGTACTTTTTCTAAGCATCAGTATATTTTTCTTTAGGTTGAACTTGAGGATCTATATAATATATCATGTTCATAATGTACAGCTGTAGTGGAGATCCAAATGTACATGGTGTTCATAGCCCATAAAAGCTAATGGGTGCTTCTTCAATCTTTGATCTCAGCAGAAGAACACTCGATTGTTAGTTGTACATTAAGGGACACTTGCTCAGTACAACTAACTGCCATAGCATCACTGAATTTCATCCTTTTTAAATGAAATTCTGGACCTTTAAAAGGCAAGAATTTTGCACCCTTACTTAAACGCTGCTATTCTGAAAACACTGCAGGAAGATTACAGTGATGGAGCATCAATACCTATAATTTTCTTCCTTTTCCCTTGTTGAATTAAATAGTGTGTAGCTTAATCCCACTTTCCAGATTTTCTTTCACCCTAGGGCCACACTGCTTGCCAGTCTAAGATTTAAGTATTGTGTCTCTGCTGCTGCAATTTGAAATCCAGATTCAATTGAAGGCTGTAGAGTTAAAGTTTAAATCCCTGAATTAAGAAGGTTAACTTATTAGTGCATGAGTATGTTAAGTCACTTCGCTTGAATTTCTAGTGTAATCTCCTTCAGGCTATAATTCTGCATATTTTTGCATATCTCACCAGTGGCTCAGAAGCCTTCCCATTAGGAATGCAGTAAGAGGTTCGCACTTGTAATACAGCAATAAATAATAAGAAAAAAAATCAGGTTGCTATGTATTTTCCATTTGGTATGTATTAATATGCCAATGTTGATATATCTGTAAATCAGAAAATTAATGTTTTCCACATTTTCATCTTCACCTAATATTTTGGACCACCCTAGCTAGTGCAAAGTAAGGAATGGCTGCATTTAAGCTCCAAATTGTGGACTTCTGTGTTTATTAACATTTACCCGAAGTGTTTCTCTAAATGTTCTGTAAAATGGCAAACTCTGAATAACGAAACTATTTCTGGTTTCTCTATTTCTATGTGGATAAACCCTCAGTTTTCTTTTGGGATTGTTTTGTTTTGCTTTTTTTCTAAGGGTAGATTATACTTGGGTGAATTATTCCAAAAGAGAATTTTAATGTCCGTGTTTCTGTTTCTGTTGACTCTTCCAGGCTGCATTTGCTGGTGTTAAAGAGGGTATCTAACAAATTACATTCACTGTTTCTAAGCTGCTTCTCATTCTTTAATTTGATTGCTTTTAAAATATTGTAGAACAACTAACTTGTTTTTTCTTGCACTGAGAATATATAAGCTATTTCTTTTTACAGGGCTTTTGGTGACTTACACAACATTTTCCTGGGAATTTATATGCAATATTTTCACTACCTTAAACATTATATTAAATAATGAAGGCAAATGGCAATAGCTCACCCAGATGAAATGATATTAATGTTAATTTTCAAGCACACTTTGTGAGTTCCATATTTATGAGAACTCTAAATTGACATTCCTTAGTCCAGACTTCCTCCATATAGAGATGCTATATTGTCAACAGGGTGAGCTTCCTCATCCTGTACTGTTAGCATGCCTCAGAAATGACTTGAAGATACCCACTCTTGGAGTGAAGTGGTACTTTGTTCTCTATAGCTGAACTGAGACTGAGGTTTTCATCCAATGCCAAATGTGGGGTTCTCTGAGGGGAAGCACTGATGCTGGGTGAGCCAAGCTCATACTGTTAAATTCCTCTGAAACCACAGTGTTGCTCATTTAAACTGTTTGAAAGTCAGATTGTCTTCCAGGCCCTTGAGTTTTAGTTACAGCTAACCAAAAATTCAAGCAAACATTTAATCTGTGCTATTAAGCTTTTCTCTTTGCAGGTGGCAAAGACATAATGTTGACATGTATAATAAAGTGAAAAGAAAGGAGGAGTGCACACTAACTATATCTTAACATTTTCCAGATATTGCAAAGGAAATTCAAGGAGGGAGGTTTAGAACTGAATGTTTGTGGGATGGAACATGAAATTGAAGCCAAAGTTTTGCTTCATTCCCAGCATAGTTTGTTAAGATACTGAGTTACTGATTCTGATTAAAAAAAAAAAAAAAAGAGAAAACTAAACTGAAAAGCAGCTGTAAAACGTCTGCCCACTTGACCACTTTCAATTCACAATTATTTAGCATTATTTTTGGTTTTGGAGACACACTGAAATATGGGGTTTTTTCTTTTGCCTATGTTTAATGTTTGCCTTTATAATGAATTGCAGTGCAGAGTTATGGCATGAGTGGTCAAAAAGGTTCTGTTACATTTAATAGACTTAATTAATTGCATATGATGACTGTATAAGAAATCGGTTTGTTTCTCACTGAAATAACTGAAAAACACTAGGTTTTGTGAGATCACAGTATTATGGTTTGGGGGTTTTCTTTGCCCTCTCATCTTCTCTTCCCCCAGCACCATCAGTGAAGATGGTAGAGAGAGCTGCTCTATCTTCGGTCCTTCCTTTTGACTGAGGGGAGAGAGTCACCCATTAGCTAGCATGGAAAATAGAACAAGCCATTTTCTACCTAACTGATACAAGCTGATACAAGCAGAGAGATATTCTTGTAAACAGTACCACTGCAAATGGATAACAATTTTTTTTTTAATCCATAGAATTTTATAGATCTGAAATTATAAATACCTCCATAGGCTGTGTAACTCAGCAAGGAGGAAAATCCCTTATTTGGCTTGGTTTCGTCTTGATTAAAAGAATCTCTGATCACTGTACGGTAAAAGTTGTTCATTCATTGTGTCTGAGTACAAATGTAATAAGTCTTGAAAATTATACAAAATCATTTTCATGACTCATATTTTACCATAGAAGAGTTCAATATTTATATTGATTTGCTTAGGGATACCTACTGCAAAAGATTCTGTTTTATAAGCAGTTAGACAGATTGCATTTAATAGAAAGAATGTGTTTCACGGATTAAATATGTGCTCAGAAAATAGGAAACTGCTACTTTTTGTATCTCATAAAAATGGTAATGCAACAATTAGCAGGGTCATATTATAAAGCACAGACTTTACTCTAGCTTAATGGATCTAGGGATATGCATTCATCAGCAACGATAGATTTAGCATAAAACGACATGTAAATGAATTGATGACTGATCATAAATTAATTTTAGTGCTGAAGAAGTAATAGAGACACAGCAAGATGCCACTTTATCATAGTATTTTACTGCTCAGCAGCATTTGAGCAACTACTTAATGTTCTGTGTGCATTTCTTTTCTAACAGCTTGAATAAATTTGAGAATTTTTTGTGCCTTTCAGCAATATGGAAACCAAAAAATCCAGAAAGACTGAAAAAGCAAACCCCAATAAATTTGGCTAAGTGACACAAATTCATTTTTCATTAAATGTTTATAAAGGGCATTAATTATGGTTGGACCTGTGAAGTGCTAAATATGTATATATGATTTTGTTTCCTGCCCCAAAATACAAATTTTAAAACTAAAGGGTTATTTCAGGTTTATACATTTAAATATTTGGGCATTTATGTTGAGTATAATGTAAAGTACAAGACCAGATCTAATTTTTGAAGTGTGATCCTGTTTATGCTGTGCATTCAGCCCCTTCAGTTGTTCTTTCATACTTTAATGGTACAATGACTTTTGCCTCCTTTAGTCCCTCATTTCCACCAGAATCAGCAGACATTTTTTCTTTGTAATCATGACAGTAGTTAGAGTAGAAATAGGATAATGCCTTCCTCTTGTTCAAATGCTAAAGGAATTCTGTAAATTATTTCAGCTGAAGTCTCATCAGTCCCGATGGACTTCATCCATCCGTACTTCACAAACCTCAGCAGTCTAGCAGTTCCATCAAAAATACCTGCAGAGGATCAGGGGCTTTATATTTTCATGGCCTTATGAAGAAAATCTCATAATCGTACACATCCCTATCATTTGTTAACTTTAAGTATATACACAGAGCTTGTTACAGAGAAGTATCTATTGGAATTTTCAAAAGTGTTAGGTTTGTAGTGAGCAGCTTTTACAGCTTTTACTTCATAAGTGCATTAGATCTTATTTTTTAAAAAAGCAAAAGTACACTTTTACAAAGAAAAATAGCATTTTTATTGCCTGAAAAATGCCTCTAAAAGCAGTAGTATTCAGCCTAGAAGAAGCTAGCACCTCTATTCCCTTCACCTTTCCCTGAGAGCAAGGAAGCTTTCTGTTTGCATTAGAACCAAGAGATATTTTATGGAGCAAGAAAACAGAGTTCAACTTTTCACAGAGCTGATTTTGTTCTGCATAAAGCATTTACTGCTGCTGTCAACAAGAGTAAAATTTACAGTTGCCAGAAAGTGTAAAAACTCAAATGTGCTCTTGGAAAACACATAGTGAACCGCATGTAAAGGAGACACTAAAAGCCTGTTTCATTCCATTGCAAAACACACAGTTGATATGAAAGGGACATCAGCATCTCTTATTCTGCCTTTATTCAGAGAGAAAGAAGTGTGCGTCTGATTTGAAATACAAGAGGCCAGTGGATGGATGCCTTTAAACAAGCACTTTACATGTTAACTTATACACAGCTGCCTGGTGGCCTGAGGTGCCCGGGCTGGGCTCCAGCATTTCCATGCTTTCCAGCCAATGTCCACACCTCTGGAGGGCAAAGCAAGCCAGGGTTTTACTGCTGCAAGTTTTGGTGGGGAAAACATTGTTTATGCAGGGAAACTGCTCAGCAAACAGTAGAAATAATGTAGAGATTTCAGTTATAGCTGCCTGGTCACATACAGCTTTGTATATCTCGTACTTAAAACATTGATTTTCTTTTTGGATTGGATGAATTTCAGTCCAGCTCTTGAAAGAGTAGGTCAAAAGTAGCCAGTGTTCCTGGACATACCCTGAAAACATCGCATCCAAATTATCATGTGTATTTTATGTTGTGTAACAGCTGAGTGGTTAGCAAACAGAGGAATGTGAGCAAAAGGGAATTCAAACCTAAGTTTCTCTAAAACATCCATAGTCTTGTGCCTGTGATACTGAAAACCTATTCTGTACGGTATATGTTTTTATAAGTCTTTGTGTAGAGAGTAGAATGTACCATACAAAAAACATGGGCCCTGACACTAGGAAGATACACATTAAATTTTTAGCACCTGAGGATCATCCTTTCATATCTGTATGTCTCGTAATATTTTTACGTTTCAGCTTGTGCTTACATGTTTTGCAGAGTATGTCAATAAGAAGTTGTTTGAAAGTCCTCAGCTATAGAATTTCACTTTCTTACATCTTCATGAAGAGTTTTATCTGTAGTATCTCTTTCTGTACATCATAAATAACTATTGCTAAGCCTTTTTACTCTCCATTCTCTATGAAGTCCTATCACACTTTGATTGTCAGAGGAAATTCAGTTTTAGCCTTCCCTTGCTGTTATCTCAGCTTCCTTATATCTGTCTGCATCAGGTCGAGTCTGTTTGGAAAATAACAATTTTGTGTGTGCTCTTGGCAAGCAGAATGAAACTCTGTCACTCCCTGTTGCACTTAACACACTTTCTGCCTGTCAGACCTCCATAGACCTTTTCAGTTTCTTTGCTTGTAACTTATGAGTGCATGGACTTCTGTTATTATAGCCTGCCACTTTGCTGACATTAAAAGGTTTGGTCACTGCAGCATCACAAAATAATCCATTGTTCTTGGGCTTTGTGGTGCAGCGTGCTACGGGCTAAATTCCTGTATTAATTTATTGTACTCATTACTTGTTTTTTGCAGGATATTTTTAATATCTGGCACCACCAATAGTTAGACAGCCTATCCATATGGCACTAAAAAGCAAGGCAGTATTGATTTACTAGTTAATAATTTTGAACATAGCAATACTTTCTTGGACATGGATTTAAAAAAGGCTACTGTACTGCTGCGCATCTTATATACATTTACATTAATTCAGTTGTGCCAACAGTCCAGTCAGGGCTATGACGTATCTTTCCACATATATCTTCTTCATATCTTTGGCTATCAGTTCTTTACAGATTCTCATAGGTTCACTGGTCTTTTTGCTTTTTCACCATATGCATGCCCCTGTTTTTAAAAAGCAAATCTCAAGTATTTCAGGATAGGTGTCTGTGCTACTTCAGAACAGTACTCTTATGTCTCACAGCACCGTGCAATGCCATACAGCAGCTCAGGTCCCCAAAGCAGTCTGATAGCTCTGCACCTCAGCTGGACTTTGTATCTAATCAGCCTGGCTGCCCTCTTCCTACACCAAAGATAAGCACTTGGTGCAAGCAAAGTTTTCTTTGCCTCCTGCTCTATTTCACAGAGTAGAGTTGTCCTACAACATTTAATCATGATTCTTAGAAGTACAGCACACCATCAAATCCATCTAATGCCACAAAAGAAACAGAATTTCAGTACTTTAAAATAAGCCTGAACTGAGCTATAGTTTTTGAAAGTAAGTTATACTGACACATTGGGTAGCTGATTGATGCTTCATGCATTGGAAAAAATAAAAGAAAAAATAACTGAAGAGCAAATAAGAGGAATCCTTACTTCGCTGTTTTGCTCTTTACATTCCAGCTACATCAAGGTTTCTATATTTCTTTCATGTGTTTTTTTCCAGTATCTCATTTTCTGACTGTACTTTTATGATATTATTGCTTTCCTTTCCTGCAGTGGTGGTAGTTCATAGCTAGAAGGTACCATGAGGCCAGCACTGGCTTAGTGACTGTCTCAGTATCGAATCTGAGTATACATAGTTCCATTCTTGAATGTTAATTGTTTCTATCCTTTTTAAAAAATTAAGTTTAATCCATTAGAATTAATTGCTTTAGGTCAGATTTCTTCAGGACATTAAAATTGCACATCTATTTTAAGGTTTTGGTTGATAAAATGGCATAATGCCAGTCTTATTCAAGTAGCTCTTGAAGCCCATATCTGGCTTCATCTATATCTACTGAGACATATACTTGTGCTGTCCTAAATTAAGACTTTGTTTTGCAAGCATCAAACTAGATATTGATTTATAATAAATTAAGTAAAAAAAAACCCCACATCACATTCATTTCAATCCCAGGGAAAAACTACTAACTTTCAAATGAACTTACTATGGAGCCTTCACAATTGTAGAGAATATGTATCATTTTGTTTACAGGATCAAAGCAACACGGGGCAAGCTATGAATGAGATCCCATTAGCTTTAATAGTGCTTTTTTATACCAAGCTCTGTCAGATAAACTTTGGGTTTCCTGCTGTGAAAGGATGTATTAAGTGGGTCTTCAATTTTAGATGAATGCTGCTCTTTTGTACCAAGCTCTGTCAAATGAATTTTGGTTTTCCTGAGCAAGGACACGTTAAATGGGTCTTTTAAGCTTTAGATGATAAAAATATGTCAAATGTGCACAACTCACTAGACCCCTACATTTGTTTTTAGGTTCAATGGTAAATGGATGGGGTTCTGCGTCTGATGAGGACCGTAACTTTTCTAGTCATAGATCTAGTGTAGGTAGCTCCTCAGATGACTCGATCTTTACCAGCGGCAGTTTTGCACAAGCACTGGTTGCAGCAGCAGATAAAGCTGGTTTTAGGCTGGATGGAACCAGTCTGACAAGAACAGGTTTGTAGATTCAAAGTTGATGCTTTCTGCATGAAGGGTGTCTCTGCCTATTCTTCTCTTCTTCTCAGTGAACCTGCGTCTCACACCTGTCTAACATGCATGTAATAAGGTGGATGGAGATATTTTTATCAGTATATTTTAAATGAAACCTTGCATTAGGTTTCGTTTTTAGTGATTCAAAGTAGTGAATAGCATAAGCTTTTAATCTGCACCTTCAGTCTGCTGCAGTTTCCCTCTGTGCTGAGATTTACTGATATATTCTCAGTTTAATATTTTGATTAAGAGATCACTAATTCTCCTGTGCAATCTTTTGATGATTTTGGTACTTGCAAAATCTCCTCACAATCATTCACATTTCTGGTGATGAACAACATATTTAAACTATTATCTCCATCCCTGCTCTTCTGTTGCATCTCTTCCTGCAAAAGTGTACTTTTCTATGAAGTTTTTCTAAGCATGGGGTGGATCGGTGTGCGTTTATTGTTAACAATACAAACTGTTTAAAAGCCTTTTTAATAGCTGATTTAAAACCACTTAATTCAATAAGTAAACATATTTTGATGAAATTTAATTTTTATTATGCCAACTGAATTTGCCAAGATAAGTGCAACAAAGGTAAAGTGATAATTGTTTTTTAAAACATCCAGTCTTCTAAAATGAATTAATGGAAAGTGAGCATAACTTCGTTCATGTTATTAAAGCTCCAAAATTTTTATTTCTAGTAAATAAAATAAAGTTATTTTTAACTATTCTATAAAAATGAATGCATTTGCATTTGTTTTGTCTTATCAAAATAGCAGAAGTAATTAATTATTTAAATCCCCAAATCTAATAGCAAAGTATGAGCTTGGGTCATGTTTTCATTATGCTGTCTCAGCCGATTCCTGCCCTTAGGTCCCATAATGTTCCTATTATTTAAAATTTGTTACTGTTAGTCTGGTATGAAGTCTGTCCTTCAGTAAAATGTGTGCATTTGTGAGAAATGTCTCCACACTTAGGGCTGAAACACAGGCTTTCTACATGCAGTAACTTCATGTCAAACACTGCCTTATAGGGATATTAGAAATGAAGAAAAGAATCAGTGGCAAAGTCCTGTTTGGCCAACAAAGTACAGGGTGGACAGATATAGCTTTTCTCAGATCACTGAGGCTTTTGCCGTTGACTTTGATCACCCTTAAAAGACAGTTATTTCACTGTTAAAAGTAGTTAAAACTCTCACTTGCTTGTTACAGTAGTGGGAAACAGAGTAGATCTGTCTCATCATTTGGAAAAAGCAAAGCAAAACAAACCAAAACCTGATGTAGACCTTCATTCATCTACTATGATGGCCAAACTGTAATTTAAAATACACTGGTTTGCTTGCAGAGTCTCATAAATAGTCTTGAATGAAAGGAGCAAATCCTTCCCGACTTTTTTTTTTTTTTGGTGGTGTTCTTAGCCTAAGTAAAAGCTAATACACAAATTCACCCAAAGGTAATTTGGCTTGCATCAGGCCATTGAGAAGTGTGGCTTCCACCACAGGCACACACATAACAAAAGTAAATGGGCACACAAACACACTTAAATAAATGATTTCTTATTGTAGCTATGTAAATGGAATGTACAAGGAAAGGATGACAACCCTCTTGTCACTTATATTTTCCTAGCTTAATTAGGTCACAAATGCATTTAAACTGATTACTTGCATGTAATCCCTCAGACAGACTGCTAAAGTTCAGGGTATCTAAAGTATCCAGCGTTTGTGGTAGAGATTTATGATTATTATCTTCTTAATCCTTAGTGATCCAGCAGGCAAAACAGAAACAAAACTCACATGTAAACAGATAGCTCTTCCCTCTTTTCCTCACAAAAACCTAAGCACCCCAGTGCTTAACTGCAGTATGATACCTCCCAGGGTAGCGTGGGTCACCAGACATACCTGTTATGGACCTGCTGCACCATAATAAATCCCTCGTCTTGCAAAATAGCGTTTTATAGTGTAGAAGCAGCAGTATTATTTCTGTTCGTTGCTCTGGAGAGAATCTGAAGGTCCTGATTCTCTATTCCTTTGCAGTCTGAGTTTCACCCCTTTAGAACAGTGTAAGATATTGTCATTGATATGAAAGAAGTCCAACTTGATAGTCCCACATGAGTGTGTCTAATTGCCAAGCATAAGAGGCTCTGGTAAATCTAGGTGTGTGGTGTCTCTCCTGCCAGACTCTGACTCCAGTTTCCAAAAGCCATGAAGTTCAGACAGCTTTCCTTTCTAACACCCTTGGGAAATTAAATCCGTAGATTCATTCTTCTCTCCACTTGCACACTAAATCTACTATAGAGAGGGTGACACTGCTCAGCAGTTCTTACTGGAAGGGCTTCAAACGAATACAAGAAGCTGTAATCAGTTATTAGGTGCATTGAAAAATGCGTTTAGGGAGCCTGCACATCATTTGTTTTTGCCCCATGTCTGATTTAGGCCAGTGCTATTTATTTTTCCTTATTTTCATAGAGGTATAAAAAAAGAGAATGTTCGGTGCCTATTTCTTTTTCAAACCAACATTCTGAATGTATAATCACATTTCTTTAGTCAAGACAATAAGTGCAAAGACTCTTCATCCTGCACTCACAAGTTGCACTTGCATGCTGCAAGTTTATTTCATCAATACCTCTGTGCAATGTGCTATGAGCTAGGATGTAATTTCAGGCTCATGTCTGAATTTCTTTGCATTAGTGTTCTTTTAATTGTAGATGAAATTTTAATATTTTATCCATGTCTATTTTACTGTTCTGTCCTTGTCTATGAAACAAGGGCTTGATGTCTTGTCCTTGTCTGGCTGCAGCTGTGCCAGCTATAGAGGTTAATGTTTCCAGCCTTTCCCCAAATGGTTATTACTGCTTTCTCCCAGTTCCAGAATTAGCTGCTTGGGTGGGTGTTCTGTAACCCATTTCAGGTAAATGAACCAGGTTCACAAAGGCATACCTTCTGTTTAAGTTCAGTTGGGCATGAGGAACATCCACATGAGGGATTCAAATGTGGTAACTTCCAGTCACTGTCAGTGGCATGCAGCTGGGAGACAAGCCTGCCTAAGAGCAGTGTCCTCCTCAGGGTGCACATCAGTCAGAAGGTTTTACTGGGAAACGTAACTCACAGCAGGGTAGATCCTGTTCTAAGTTAAGCAGAAGATAAAAGAACTCCTTACTATGTTGGCATCAGCTGCCACTTCCCATGAACTCTTAGACAGTTTGGGCCTAAAGCAGCATTGAAAAGGCAGAACTTTTGACATTCTCCTCTGCAGGTAGTATGAAAACATTTAAGGCTTTGACGTACCAGTTCTAAGCAAATTAAAATATACTTGTCAAGAAGGACATACTGATTAAAAAGGAAGGTAAAAGATGCCTTCATCAGTTTTTATTAAACAATAAGCCTAATTAATTGAATAAAAACATTAAAATAAGAGGAAGTGAATGTAGTAAGTGAACTGTGCTTCAGCTGTTCCTACATGATGCTTTTAATGATCTGCTCCATAGAACAGAATCAAAGATTATTTTTAAGAGAAATCATGTAGCTTGATTAGTGTATATATATACTCACATATATAAAAAGATGTGAGGAATAAATTTAGTCAGAATACATTATATTTTTAACATATAAAACCACTGAAAATTAACATGAACATTTTAGCATTTAAATATACCTCCATTTTTATTTCTTGAGAAAAGAGAGCTCTTAAGTGTACAAACCTACACTGCTACATAGCTTGCAAAATCAGTTATGTTTATCTCATTGGAGTTACTCCAGGTATACAGTGCATATGGGAGCCCCAAAAATGAGAATCTGGCTCAGCAAATGTGAAGGTGGAAGGCAGGAGGAGATAAATTTGGTATGATTGTAGAACTGTATTCCTTCCCTGCTCAAGGCTGAGGAGTTGTTATAACACATCTGTTCAGCACACAGAGCAGGTACGATTTACATGGCATACAGTAGTTTTATCACAACAGATGGAATGATTTTAATTATAAAAGTTAAAGATAAAAGAATGCCAAGTTTTTCACTTCACTTGTTTTGGTGTGTCTTAGAGCAGTTGTCATCAGTGGGTACCTTGAGGGGACACTTGGCTTCCCTCTGAGAGTTACACCTCATCTAATGTTGCAGAACAGACATTAATAGAACAGCCCATTTCAAGGCAATAACATTGTTTTTTTCATCTGGTTTCTCTTTTTCTTTTAGGCAAAGGATATCCTTCCTCTCAGAGACCTCGACCAAGCAGTCCTTTTTCTACTGACAGCAACACCAGTGCAGCTGTCAATCAGAGTCAGAGGCCAAGGCCCACTAAAAAACACAAGGGAGGACGGTTGGACCAACCTTCCTTGCCTCATCGTAGGGAGGGAATAACAGATGGTAAGTGTTGTAGTGAAGTCCCTGATGATAACCTGCAACAAGCAGTGGGAGAATATAGAATAATCTTTTAAAGAATATATGTTATGGTGTATTATTTGCTTGGTGAAGTGGGGTTTCCAGGTTGCCATATGAGCAACATGGCAACGCTAGCATTGTGGAGCTTGGTTAAGTGAGTCTTCAAGGATCTTTTCTTTATTTCAGCTCTGAACACGTTAGCATCGCTTAGGTTTTCTCAGATCTCAGTAACGTACCCAAAAATGACTGCATTAGGTGTGAGTTGACATTAAAAAAATCGCCCATGGTTAATTTTACCGTAAATGAAAGTAGCCACCACAAGCAGTAGCAGTATGCCATGATTCCTAAGGAGAAGGGTAGGGCTAGTCCCACAATGCTTTGGGGTTTTGTGCTGGTTTTGACAGCTGCCCAACAGTTAAGGTTATACATCCTACACTTTTCTCACGATTCTGCCTCATGTCTTGTCCATGCTGCTTCGTTCCTAACATCTGCTGACTTCAAGTGGCTGTGTTTCTCTCCTTTACATCTCCACTTCTTTCTGACCACTGCTTCTCATCTGGAAATTTCAGGCATGTTTATTTTGCTCTTTTAATGACTCAAATCAGCTAAGTCTTCAATCATCTTTGTCTACCTCCTCTTGAGTTTGGCAAAGGATGCAATTGCTGCCTGTAACTCTTGGAGGAGTTCTGGTTAGAAAGGTGGCTGGCTGGCTACCTCCCCTTCATTTCTTCTGATCTCTGTCCTGGCCCCTGAGAAATGTTGTTGAAATGATCAGAGGGAGAAGCCAGCAAATGGAAAAAGAGTGTTAAAGGAACCACTAAGGTTATCTGTAAAGCCATGCAAATGGAGACTTGATCACTTTCCTCATGCTTTTAGTGTTTCAAGTGGTGCAATTCTGAGAACAAGGCTGTCCCACCTGCCTCAGTGGCTCTCGTAACACTATCTGGACCATGGTAGTGGGTGTGATGCCATTGAGTCTATCTCCTGTGTACACCTGGACAAATCTTCCAGTGAACAGGGAAGGTAAAAATTACTTTAGATTTTAGTATAAACATCTTCCTTATGATAGTAAAATTTACTTGAGAGTTGTAGAATCGTAGAATATCTCTAGCTGGAAGGGACCTATAAGGATCATCAAGTCCAACTCCATTATCTTCTTTGGACAGGTAATGTAATAAATAGATTTGATAGATAGTATGTTTAATTTGAGGTTTTCTTTTATAATGTGCTACTTCTTACTCTAGGTGCATGTAGAAAATATATTAGGAGCTTGCCAGGTAGACTGTGGCCGCTAAAACCACCAGTGCTCCCCTCTCACTAATGTTATCAGGTGTACAGATCAGGTTTTACAGTACGCTCTGCCAGGTTCCTTGTTTGTCAGACCATGAAGGTAGAGAACAGATTCCAAAAGTGAAAGTGCACCAGAGGGTTACACATCATGCTCTGTGACTCAGTCTCACTACCATATTATCTGAGGATGCAGCTTGAAGTAGCTTAGACTCCACTCATATGGATCTGTATTGGTTTAAACATTAATGCCCTACCCTTGTGGATATATTCCAGAGGCCTCCCTGCTGCACAGATCTATTAAATAGATGTGTCTATGAGAACAGTAACTGCAAATTATGGGTGTTGCTTTTGGTGCTGGTAATAATCTTTCGTTAAGTTAACCTTTCTGTGTGACATATCCTGTCACCATGAACTGTAGCCCTTTGGGACACAAATTCTGTGTATGTGTGAGTTTGTGGTGCAGTCAATATGATGGGACCTTAATACTTCTGCTTTGGAGTACTATTGCTATAGAAATATTTAACAATACCTTGTGTAGCAGAAAGTTAACGGGATTCTGATTCAGGTCATGAGACAGATGGAAACGTGACTCCTCAGGGAGTGACTCTGTCATAAAATCTGGCTTTTTTTATCATCCCTAGGAAAACAAATCACTGGCACAGGTAGAAAGAAATGTCCTTATACTTGTAAGTTCTGTAACTTGCTTCTTTTCCCAGTTAATAATGAGAGTCTGTGCCAAAGCTTGACTGGTGCCTGAATCATTTGGCCAATGTTCTGCCTTCTAAAGGAGAGCTGGGGTAATCCCAGGCTGGACATCCATCTGCTTCTTATCAGGCACTCTGATATCCTACAGCTTCTCAATCACAATCCCTCCATTACTAAATCAATAAGACCATAACCTCTTCACCAGTGCACTTACAAATTGCCTGGCAAGTTTGATAATCCTGCCATTAGAGGCTGCAAGTGGTAGTCTGGATGACATCCCACTGGCCTTGTCAGTTACCAGCTCAGTGAGGGTTTTATCTGGCATCTGGAAAATAAATGTCATTTAGATGGAACTGCAGTGATAATCAGTGAGAACATTCTGTATATCTTCACTGAAAATCCTGTTGAAGTCTCTCAAAAGTTCTCTGAAGTGCTAGACATGATAGAACGAGTTGGCTTGACTCTGTGGTAATATGGCTGCCTGTTAGGGACTGAGACTACTAGCTTGTCTGGTGTCTGTTACTCCTTTACTAGCAGTCGAAATGCCAACCATTAACTGTCATGTATGTGCATGCTTGCAAGTGTGTGCGCAGACATGTGCCATAGCCACATGTGGACATGTTTGGCTGAGGAGAGGAAAGACAGTTCTCTGAGGCACTGGAGGAAGAAAACTGATGACTCCAAATGCACGGGGTCATTATATATGCCCAGGCAAGATAATAGAGCATATTTAGTAATTTACCAAAAGCAGAAGATTTACACTACGGGATTTAAACTGTAGAGTAAATAAAAAGCCACGTTTTCAAATGAAGCTCTCTTCCAGCTTTTTTAATTAAAAAGGAAAGTTAGGTGTTACTTTGACCACCAACCTGACTGAGGCTGAAGGTGCAAAAGCAAATGGTTTAGTCAGTTGGCTAGAATTAGAAACTGTTCTTACAGATCTTCTCAGACGTGTCTAGCATAGTTCAGTCAGTCTGTATGCAGGCTGGAGCCAGCTTACATTAATTCCCCAGTACCTTTAACTCTTCTAGAATTGTGTGAAGCTTCATTAAAAGATAAGTTTCAACTTATCCGCGGGTCTAAACCACACAGAGAACTTTACAGACACCGTTTGTCATTTCACGTCTATGCATAAGGCAATCGTTACACACATTTTGTGAATGGATGAAAGCAACTATGTTAACAGTAGATCAGCAGCATAAATCTACAGTAATTCAAGGAGTTGCAGCTAGCTGTATAACGTGCAGTCTCATTTATGTACAAGCCTTCTTTCATTCTCAGTATCTAATTAATAACAACTATTAGGTAGCAATTTCCAGAGAAGGGTACTGTATGTTAAGAAGCTTAATACTGCAGTAATTTTAGCTTTCGGTTTTTGATCCAATACTACTTAAAATTTTTGTTTCTGTTGAAGGGTAAATATTCTGTCTTGGAAAATTGCATTGTCAGATGTCATGTTCTGACTGTGTTCATTGGATTCAATGCATTTCCATAAAGTGCTTATAAATCACAACTTCAGTAATCTCTATTTCAGACTGCATAAGCAGATGTCAGTGATGTGGTTCTCTACATTAACTGGTTATGATTGCAGTGAAATCAATTATAAGAAATGCTATTTTGGAAGCCAACACTATAAAGCAATTTTAACATTGGCAAGATCCCATACCCTCCTGCTTCCATCTACAGTAACTCACATATAGCCATTGTCATGAAAGGTCACATCGATATTCATAACTAAAAATTCCTCAAATAAATTAGTGCTGAACATAAAGCATACACCAAGCTCACTGACAGATTATTATAAGGCAGTTCTAGCCACAAGGCAGGTATCTTAATGTAGGATGTAGCACTTTGGCTGTGAACAAAAGTATGATAGCAACATCTGATACAACTACTTTCCCTTGTTGACACAAATAACCCACATGTCCTCATTTATCTATGAGTGTTGATGGAATGACATCTCAGCAACTTTGGAAGTATTTCTGCCCCATATATGGGGTATGAGTACCACCTCTAACAGCAAGGACATGAAAAAAAGTCTGTGTAGCATTTTATAAAGCCAGAATACAGACTTTGAAATAAATTCCCTCCAAAGGCCTCCTCACTGATTTCTAAAATGAATTTTAATTTCACTAGTTATAAACATCAGACTTTCCTACAGCCACAGCAGAGGTTTACATTTCCATGTCTATTGTTGAGCCAAGTTCAATTCCTTAACAAACTTCCACAATAGTGTAAGATAAAAAAACACTTGAAAGCAGGACATATCCATATGTAAAGTAACCTAACACAGGCTTAGTGAAGTTGGCGGGGCTGCGCAGATTTATTTGGGATATGAATTACCCCAAACCATAGTTATCAACAAGTGTTCTACATATAAAATATGTATCCAATATGAGAGATTTTGCATTACAATACTAAGTTGCTTCCCTTTTCTGTTTATTTTTATTTTGGTTTGGTTTGTTTGTTTCTTAGTAATCTGAGGCTTTTCTATACTATTATAAGTCTGTAAAATAAGCTTGAAAATCTTGAAAGATTGAAAGATGAAAGATGAAAATCTTACATTTGGAATTATAGTTAACCAGATTCTATAATTACCTTGGGTGAGGAACTAATAAACAAAATGTACTTTCGCCTTCACAAATGTGGTTAGAAGCTTGATCTTCAATTCTGCAAGCATCTTCATAGTCTGAGTGTTATACTTGAAAAGCACAGGAGTTATTAGAGACCAGGCAAGTGCCTTTCAGTATTCAGCTGAAACTGTATGTGATCAGTTGTATTTGCAGGACTGCTAAACTTAAGAGTGGCCATTATCTTGTCTGTGAAGACTCCAGCTCTTGGCTGAACTTTCAAACAGTACTTGAATAAAATGCTCATCCATTGTTTGGTGGTTCCATTTCAACATGCATATTTCTCAGATGTACTGAGGCTTTTCCAATGACAGTAGTTTTGTGAATATTTTTTTCTCAAAATTTTTGTGGAATTTCATTCATTTTGATAAAGTATATTTAGATTTTGAGTTTAAACCTCAGGCTGAAGGTGAAGCCCAAAAGTGGGGACGATGAAGCAATCCCCAATATGATGGGGGGAAATTGTCAACTGGCACAGATCACTTTTTCGTAGCCTTGCTTGCTTGCTGTTACTGAAAGAGCCAGCTCTAGCATACCCTGCAGAAAATAAGCCCCATGCTTAGAAATGCAAGTCAGGGCTTCATAGTCTATTGATTTTTGTGGAAGTTACAACTAGCAACACAGTAACCTAAATAAAAAAAAACCTAGAAGTTAAAACCACATTTCTGTTTAACATGGCATTTCCTCCTTTTAAAATGACTGAAGGAAGTGACTCGTACCATTTGCAAGGGACTTTACTTTTCAGCATCAAATACACCTTCTGTTTCCGTTGAAAAAATTAGTTCATCTAAATCTTATTCACGTTTTTTAGATCTTCCACCACCACCTGACCCGCCCCCTGGTCAGGGTTTAAGGCAGCAAATAGTCCCCGGCCAGCGTGGAGGCTCAGCAGAGAGGAAAGGAAGCTCTCTTGAGAGGCAGCATGCTCCGAACATAGATGAAACAAAGAGCTCCCTGGACCGGCAAGCTAGGACATCATTAGAGTGGCAGCGACAAACCCAGGAGTGGATAAGCTCTACAGACCGCCAAGAGGATTTCAGGAAAGCCCAACACAAACAAGCCTTTGGATCAGGTGTGTGTGTGCTGCACCAGCCGAGGCAATGCAGACGGCTCCTTGACACTGCTCAGCTGAGGGTTTCTGTACCTGGCAGGAGTCTAGGCTCACCTCATGCCCCTCTGTGCCAAAACTGGCAAGGCTCAGGCTGGAAAATAAGAAAAGGCAAAGTGAAATGAGAGCATGTAGTTCAAGGATTTTTCACTCCTGCAACAATGAAATCACATTAGCACCTGACTTGGTGCATTCTTTGCAGTGTTTTGGCAATTAATAATGTTTTCAAGCAGAGCAGTGGAAAAAACAGGAAGTTTCAGGCAGGCAGGGAAGGGGAAACAGGTCCTATTTTCTGTTAGATGTATATATTTATACATACAGGGACATATTTTCTACTTCTTGCATCCTGTTTCTAAATTGGCAACGGTTGTTTTTGCATACCTGCAAGAAGGCTGATCCTTCTGAGCTGCTGACATTCCTTCCAGCAGTATTTAAAACAGTCTTCCATTTATTCATGGATATGACCAAATAACATTCATCTTTTAAGCCTAGCAAGATGACAGCGGAGGTTTTCACCTTTATACAGGACCTGCTCATTGCTGAGTGCTGACTTTATTTCCTACCTGGGTTTCAAGTCTGTAAAAATGATGCAGGAGGTGATGCTGAGCTGGAGTTGGAGTTCTGCAATACTTGCAGATTCCTTATCTCAGCCTGACCTCAAGGAAAAGCTGCTGTTTCAGCTTTTACCTTCATATTAGGATATTTCCTTTAACCTACTAATCAGACGTTATCCCAGTGGTGATTAGTGATACAAGAGGACAATTAAGAAGATTAAAACAAGCAAAAAAAAAAAAAAAAGGATACTAGATGTGGTGCATTTGTAGGGCTACACTGTTTCTTCAAATATGCCTGTAGCTTCCAAAGTAACACTAGAGGTACGCGTATACATCTTTATTCTACTATTAATGCTCCTTGTTAAGCTAGCACACTAATATCAATGACATCCTAAAAAAAGAAAGTAATATGCTAGCAAACCTGCCATGGGGGCAGGATTTACTGAATATAGACCTCCTAGGAAATATTGCTACCCATATTTAAAATGTAAATGTTTTAAATAAAATTCATACTTTAAAATATAGCAATAATGGTACCACTAAACCCCTGAATATTTCAGCTGCATAAATGAGTTCATGTTGTAAAATAATGATGTGAAGTCAAGGTTTAAAAATAGTGTGAAATTCATGCTACTTGGTGAAATGGCAATTTTAATTACAATGTACAAGATATATGAACACTTAGAAAATAGCTTGGATATATTTTATACATCTAGTTTCTTTATAAATTATTATTAAGGATGCTTCTCTGACCTGGTTAGCAAGAAGTCCCCTCCTTTTCCTCTGCTTCATAAGCGTGCAAATAGAAGTTGTCAGTTATTTTGTGATACCTTGATGGCATACAGTAGTAAAATTCTCATCTGCAGGACTTGCATTTATCTGTCCTTAAAAAGAATCTGATCTTGACACTTCCGGTTCATACAGAAGCATTGAATTTAGGGCTGAATTAATTACAGGTATCTTATTCTTGCCAAATTCAGGATGACCAGAGCAATTTCATATCCTTTGTGCATGACAAAGGATTCCCTTAGGAGAAATAATGTTTTTACCCATCTGAGGGGTTCATAAAACTTGTGCAGAAGGTGGGCCAGAGCTGCATGTCTGTTTGTCTTCTCATCCCAGCTTCTTGTGCTACAGCTTCCTTGCTCTGTGTTCTTTTCTCTAATGGATTTTAAAAAAGTTACTCTTGTGTAACTGTGGTGATTGTTTATATTACTAATTTGGGGTGGCTCAATGATATTAATTGTGCTTCTTAATGACAAAAATCTCTGGAAATTTATCCTGCCCTACTTTTCAATATATTGTAACATGACTTTCTCATTTATCAAGCTATCAGCTTCCAGAAAATAGCTATTTGCAGCATAGGGGGCTTCATTCAGACATGACCACGCTGTGACTGAAAGTTTCAAAGCAAGACCTTTGGTTTGCAGTTGAATAAAATAAAAATACCTGATTCTGGGAACCATGTTTCCACTGGTTGCTTTCAGTATAAACAAGATCACTGAGTTCCTGCCAGTGGCTTCATTGTGGAACCACAGTTACAGCACATCAAATATGACATTCTCAGCCTCCTCTCTAAAGAAAGTAGTGCCTAGATCAAGTTGCAATGGTTTTGATAATGTTAAAAACCTTTGGCTTATCATCTGGGGTATAGGAACATTGTTACATACATATATCCTGATTACATAAGGGCTAGAATTATATCTTCAAATTAAAGGCTCAGTATTTCAAAGAGAAAGGCATTGCCAAAGCCTCCTGGTATTCTTTGCAAGACTCAGGCACAGGGCACTGTTCTGAGTGTTTAATAAATTTGAGACCATTCTAAGGACTTAAAGACAACTACCTTTCATGTGCTAGAATGTTGTGGAAAACTTAGTCTTTATTTAATGTCACAATTGCTTATTTTATGGATTGTATTTATTTCTGAGGGCACAACAGATAATTTAACACACCATATGCTCTATAATGATAATGCACTTTGTATTTATTCAAGGTCGGTTTTTCTCAATATTTCATTGAACCCAAAGGAGGCCTTATCCTGAGTCCACAAACTAGAAAAACAAATCAATTGACCATATATGTCATTTTTGAGCTCTTTTGCAGTGCTAGTGACTTTTTCTCTCATTCTTTAAAAGTGTATCCAGCTTTCTACTGAACTGATTTATGCTGCTTGCTTTATTGCTGCCTTAATGCAAGCTGTTCCGTATTTTAGCCAGCCTTTGGAAACCAGGTTTGTATCTGATTCAATTGCTAGGGCTTGATATGTAAAGAACAAGTAAAGTAATTTAGGTGACTGTGGCTGTTAAATGACATTTTATTATGTCTTTTAAATGTTTCTGTGTATTTCAGCAAAAGCAGCACACAGTTATAGCACGAAACACCAATAATGCCTTTACATCTTGCAGCTTAAATATTCTGGTCTCTTCCACAGGGCCAGGGGGAGATACTTGGGCTGAGAATAAAATCAGAGCCTGCCCTCTTCTGCGACAGCTTTACCTTACAATTGGGTTCTGTTCAATAGCAGATCACATGAGGAATTCCCATGTCCTACTCACTTGTGGTGGCAGGCACAAAGAATGAAATCCCTTGTGCCTCTGCTGCACCTTTGCAAAGGCTCCATGATTGTGAATAAAAGCATTTTTATCTCCTCTTTCTTTCCAACCATCCCCACCTACTTTTTCTCCTGTGTTCCTGCCCTCTGTCAAAGAAATTCTGTTTCCCCTCATCAGGTTTTTTATGAGTGAAGACAGTGTGAAAAGCAAAATAAAGAAACCCCTTTCAGTCCAGATTCACTTTAAAAATGTAAGATTCAAGCAGGAGATATTCCACTGATTTCAGAAGGGACAATTCCTGTGTCTGAGGTTAAGCATGTATATTCATATTCTTTCTTGAATCAAACTATGTTTAGCAAAGTCTCTTTCTTCAGCTTATGAGAAAGCAAAAGTGGATCATACACAGCAAAGAAATAAAATAGTGCTTCTGTTATTTAAGTGATAAATCAGTGCTGCTGTTTTTCTTCTTAAGTTAGGATTATTACAACAGTATTTCCTGGAAACTCTAATCAGATGTGATGGCTTGTTTTACTTCATGCTATATGAAGACATGTAGTCATATGCTTTATCGGTGTTAATCCTGCTCTTGTGAGCAGTTCATTATTACAGGTCTTCACAGAGGAAGAATCCAAGTGAGCAAAAATAAGCCTTTTGCTTATAATGGTGCATGAAACAAGCTTCAAGAAGATTTACTCACCCCAAATATTACAACTACTAATACGATGCATAGTATATTTTCCAGTGTAATTCACAACCAGTTAAAAAAATCTTTAGTGTACTTTGCATTGTTAGAAATTACTGAGCTGCTGGAAGCTAATTAAATTAGCTGATATTGTAGTTCTTTATCTAAATTGATTGAGGTTACCATAATTTAAGCTCACGAAAAGGAAAAAGCACATTCATATAGGCTCAAAGCAAAAATCCAATCATAGCTGCATTGTTTTGGAAATTGTATGTGCATCAATTTTTATTAAAGTGCCTACGATTCATAATCTATTACTTTGTAATAAATCTAGACTTTTTATAATTAATACAAACTGACTTATGAGTTTACATGAAAGCAAGATTAATTTCTTTGTATGTGAGATACAATACTGAGTTGTGTATTCTCTTAGGTAAAAGTGCCATGCTATAAAGCAAGACAAGATATCTGAGGGCAGGAATTAATATGATGTCCATAAAAGAGTAGATTGTTTATTCCTATTTGTAGGAATTTATTTTGGTTTGTTTTCTTTTCTAGAAGAGGCACTCGTACCATATAGTAAACCCAACTTCCCATCCCCTGGCGGCCACAGCTCTTCAGGAACAGCTTCTTCTAAAGGATCGACCGGACCTAGAAAAGGTGAAGTCTTGCGAGGAGGTCACCAACGCAATGCCAGTGACCTTCTCGATGTAGGCTATGTGGGATCAAACAGTCAAGGACAGTTTACTGGTGAATTATGTAAGTTTATCTCTAGCTACAGTTAAAACTCACAAATAGGCAAAAAGAGAATAGTTATAAATCTGTTGTGAAGGGAGGAGGAAGTTGAGCGTGGTTATCAGATTAAAATTTACACAGAACTTTTTGAGGTGTTTGTGGTGACAAACGAAGATCTGTTCTTGGGCTGGACTGTTTAAAATCTGTGTAAGCCATGTCAGCGTTATCTACATGGTACACTTTCTAGTGTGTAATGCTGGTGTAACACTAGGAAAATTGAAAAGAACTTAGAATTTTCTTGTCAAAGTGTAGTATGCTTTTCTTTGGCAGTTTTTCTCAGTGGAGTGAAAGAAAAGGGTCTTGATTTTGCCGCACATGGTGACAAGCTTGTGATGCTTCCTTGATGAGCAGTATGCTGATCTTTTTGACCTTAGATGGAGGTCCTGTTTTTTCAACACTGTAGCTCAGTTTTTCAGTTGTTTATCCCAACTCTTCCTTTAACTTCCCAGGCCAGGGGGATTGTTTTCCAGACTTTTTTCTATTATCATTCAATATCTGTTAAACCTGGTATAAAGCTATGATAATGCTGTGTATGTGATGGCAGTACCAGATGCCAAATGTTTGACTCTACTATTTGAAGTAGCACACGCACACTCCAGCTAGCTCAGGCATACTGGTATGTTTATCAGTAAAAGCAATGCAGCTGTTAGTATGACTGCTTCTTATTTGCTGAAGTCAAACCCTCAGTATTTCCTGACAGTTACTGCCCAGTAGCTCAAAAGAGAGTTAATGGTGATCCCCAAACCCTGAAGGTGCTGTCTCAGATACAGTGTTGGTAAGTGCTAAATTTTAGCATCCATGGCTTTTCATCTTAGAAGCAATTAGCTCTGTTCTCCCAGCCTAATGAATATTCATCCTGTGCTGCAGTACTATTGCCATAGGCTTTGTTTCTTGTTGTTTTGTTTTGTTTGTTAGTTTGGGTGGGGTTTTTTTTCCTCCTCATTACAACCTCTTTCTCTCTCTTTGTTTCTTTCTATAGAGTAGTTGAGAAGACACATTGCAAGCTGCTCTGATGGACCATCAGGTCTGAACTCATGGAAGTGATGACACTAAACAGTGCAATGAACATTTTCTTTATTTATGTACTATTAAAAGAACTGTAAATGCAATGTAAAGACACACAGCCACACATATCCCACAGATATTTTACTTGTGTTCTTCTCTTTAATACACCATCCACCTTAAACTATTCCTTGTCAGGAGTATATAAAAAAAGAAAGGAAAAAAAAAAAATCACCCTCCAGGATGAAAAGAATTTCCTTCTGTATATAATTTCTTTTGTTGCATTGCTATGCAAGCTCACCTTCTTTTTAGCTATGTTCATATTCATGTCTGTTTTTACTGGTCTGTTGTACTATATGTGAATTAATAGGCTGTGGTGCCATATATTAACTTTTAATTGTGTAACTTTTATGTTTAAAGTTTGCACTGCAATTTTATTTGGTGATAAGCACAAAACTCTACTCCTCATGACATGAAGAAGAAAAAAAGATTGAATGTGTGAAGAAGGTTTACGTAATGTAAGCTACTTTGGATAATGCTGGATGTAAAGCAGTATGTTAGTTGGGTTTCCATTGGGGTGTAGAAATGAGAAAGTGACAGGCAAAACTGATGTCAGTGGAGACATCAGAGACATTTAAATCTTTTAAAAGCAAGCAACATAGTTGCTCTTCGTATTTAAGAAGGGGTCAGAAGTTGGAAGTGTGAGATTAAAGAGTGAATATGAAAATAAAAGGTAGCATGAGATGGCCTAGACCCTTTCACTAGAATGATGCCCTTAGTATCTGTTTTCAGCCATCCCATGCCACCAAGTAAAAGTAAAGAAAAACAAACCTTGCTACAAACAAAAGAACTTAAGGTGTTTCACTAAAGCTGTTTTTATATTGCAGTTTTAAAGAATTATTACCATTAATTTCTCCAACCCAAAATTTAGACAGAAATTTCCCAGGAGAAACAAACAATATAAACACAAGGAATACCTAGTAAGTAGTTAAGGATGCAATTTATTATTAAGACATATTCAAGCTGCTTCCAAAAAAATTGAAGTGTCAGAGTATCTTATTTCATCTTTCCAATACATGTACAGTACAATAGAGGATAGAGCTGCACCACTGAAATTCATGACATTAATTGTTTTAATGCAGTCTAAACAATCCTTTGTATTCTATTACCTGAAGTCTGCAAGAGCTGAAGCTGGATCCACTAAATTCACAGTAAAATGTTTAGAGTTTAAAAGGAAAGGAACAGTCAGTTATTTTTGGCTTGTATTTAAATACCTTCCTGGCAATACAGTACATCCAAAAAGTTAGGTATAAGCAAAGAAAATCTTTGACCTGTGTTTTAGTGAGTGGCTTCAAACCCTACTATGATGAGGAAATAACGCATGTTTATACACTTTTTGAATAAACCAGACTCTGTAAGTGGACATTAATGACAGCATTCTGTCTCTTCATTAATTTTCATGACTTTGTCCAAATCTTCTGTACCTCTCAAATCTCAATGAGTCAATTGTCAAGCTTTTCTTAGAATATTGTATGTGGATAATCCACTCATTTGATGCTTAATTTAAATATTGCATCCTACAGCTTATTTCTGTTAGTTATCTGACCATGAACACAAGTTTCCATTTGAATACCCTTTTCCTATAACCAGTCTATGTTGTTTTATATATTGCCTTGGAGCTCACCAGTATTAAGAACACTTTTAGTAATGACAGAATTTTAGAAAAGTAAATTACAATGCTAAATATGTGTTGCTTTTCATTTCATTAACTTGTTCCATGATAAGATAAAACACTACAGCCATCAACTATAACTCAGCACTATTGAATATTAACAATACTAGTTAACTTCCTTAAGGCCAAGACTGTTATTTAGCAGGTTATAAACCAAAAAAAGTTGAGAAAAAAAATGTATGCATTTATATATGTGACCAATGAATATATGTAATTTTCCTGCTTGTTAAAACATTATAATGAAAACCATTACGTAAGAGTGTGCAAAAATGTTCTGGAAAGATAAAGAAGACATCGTATTTACATATGTATGTTTTTTTCTTTTGGTATTATCATATGAAGCAAAGATTATTCAGGGTACAATTCAAATTTAATACTCTGGAAAACATTTAACTCAGTCACTGATAGATTTTTTTTCTTGCTTTTAATTCAAGAGCTTGTGCTGAGCTTTGGTGGAACACCTTACTCACTATATCCTAGTCAAAATTCAGTATCATTAGACTTCGATAAAGCCATCCCGATTACTTTCGAATACGTGTTTTATCTCTTCCACTGGAAAGTAAATGTGTGTCAGTATTAAAGCTGTGCAGTACCATGATATTCACTAACTTGTCCATCTGCTTCTGTACATTTTTGTTCATTAATAAGTTGCTTACAATATTACATAAGGTGGTGTTGTGTATCGCAAACTGTCTCCATTATCTTACAGGTGATGTCTCTTCTTTTTTTCTCTCTCTTTCTCTCTCTTTTCTATACAGTGTACTTCCAATGAACCACAGTACATATTTTTTAAAATATGCCATTTAATTTACTATTTTAAAAGAAGTATTCTTCTTTTTTTAAAAGAATCAAAAACATTTATTGTGAATAATGTGTTTAAAGAAAAGGGATGTTGTGGCAGCACTTAGAATGGGTTTTTAACTTTTTTTTTTTAAATACCTGTTTATTGGCTACAGTTTGTTCACGAAAAAGTATGACCTCTTAATGTGTTTCATTGGTATTGTTAGTGCAGCGGAGTTTAATTGGCATAAAAAGTTGGTTAATAGTACTGTTGAAGTGTGTATTGTATATTTACTGGGGAAAAAATAAAACATATTCACATTTCAAATCTATGTTAAAAGACCTTGAGTAAGGAGTCAATATGTGAAAACCCAAACTGGGAAAATCAGGCAATAATAACATAGACTGAGCTATAATCATCACTGTCCACTTACAGGTAACAAGGAGCATTTTATATGCTGGTTTTTGAACCAAGATAAGCTGTCTATAAATAAGCCAGTGGTAAACATTGCCTGTCACAGGGATTTCTGTTTAAGGCCCTGTCTATATTGGGAATAGTTGTACCAATGTAGTTGCATTGATACAGCTATTCTAGTGACACATCGTTTGTAGACATATTATCTCAATGTACAGTAAGGGCTGCAAGTGCATGGCTTACATACTTGCAGTCCATAAACCAGTGGATGTGTAAAACCTGTGTTCAGCAGGTCTGAACCCTTGGACTTGGGGTTTTGTACTGGTGGAGCTACTGCCAACCCAGTACAGAATATCCTCAGAGCATATAGACAGATACTAGTTCAATTTTTCTCAATCTTTGCATTGAATATATGCTCAATTTTAACTGCAGGAGGGGTGAAGGACTGAATAATAAACTGTTCCATGTGCTTCAGTGGTGTATTGCTGTATGGGCAGCCATTTCAGTGATGCAAACAACAGACATTTATTTTTTGTTATTTATTATTTCTCAAGTCCTTATCCAAGTCATGAAACCTTTTGAATAACTTCTGGTGGCCATCCAACAGGGTCTTGTTGGGTGACAGAAAATACAACAGAAACACTGTAAACACTGTTCTTTGGGAAAGAAACAAAAGAAAAGGAGTATGGAGTGTTTTGATACTGATTTAGCTATATACAAATGCAAAAGGGAGACATGAGTCTGAAATAGTGATATGCTGGTTTATGCTTGCCTCATCCCATGCATTGCCAGCCAGGAGAAAAGGTGTGTGCTAAGGTTGAGGAGTAGTCCTCACTACTGACAGAGGAAAGGTAATTGGGATGGGGGAGATTCTGGCAGGGACTTTTTAACAATAATACAGGTAGCTCCTTTGGCTTTTCTATGATTTATGTAGTTTGGGGTTTTTATGATTAATGGCCTTGTGGAAGTTTAGCAGGGGAACTAGAAGGAAAAAAGTTGGCCTTTTTTTGTAAAGATTGGGGGAACTTTTTTTTGCTGAGGGGAGAATTTTTTAATTTCATTTTTACTTTTTTAACACATTTTGTGTTCCATCCATCTGGAACACATTAGCTACAAATAAATTATTTTTCGAAAATCACATGGGCAATGGACAGTTCATTTTGGAGGTACATTGAAATAGCAGGAAAGATGGCAAAGACTAATACTGAAAAAAGGGACACATACACTGCCTTAGAATCAGCCAAGTCCACTAGTTTCACATGTAATTCCAAACTGTTGCTAATACATATAAACTTCATTACTTTTAGTTTCCATACCAAAATAAATGATCCAAAGTCCATAGGAGGCCTAGATCCTCGGAACACTAAATCTGGTACTTTATTTTAGAGGTGTGGTTAATCCAAGCCTGCTGGAGTGGAGTTATGGTCAGTTATGCTGGCTTCAGACTCAGCAGGCTTCAGTGGATCCGTTTGCAAGGCACCTTGTCAGGCTTCATGTATGTATAGGCAGGGTACTTCACAGAGAATGAAGTTTTTCAAGTCAGGGTATGTCTCCAATGAGCTAGGCACTGTGTCAGTTCACAATGGGACCATTTAGGCAGGCAGGTTTCACAATTGGGACCACTTTTCCCAGTCCAAGTCTCCATGCTGTCCTGCTAGGGTCTGTGTATTCAGTACTACTGCTATCCTATGGATCTGGGGTGGCTGGCATAAGACAGGGGTGCAAGACAGAAAGAGGCGCAGTGATGCTGGGGAGCAAGTAATGCTCTGCATGCTTTGAGTGGCTGAACATATACCTATTAGTTAACAGCGTACTAGGAAACACAGTAAAGCAGTGGTCCCAAACACCTGCCCTGCTGTTTCTAGCTCATTCCCTCCTTTTGTGTCAGGCTGACCTCTTCCCCTGCTAACCACTTCACCCAAAATAACAAGTGTGACTTGGAAACATCTCATAGAACCCAGCGGAGATGTAGGGCCATGCTTGCGTGATGTGAATGTGGACTGGGGATTTGGGGAGAGCTAGCTTTGAGCTCTAGTGGTGGTATGAGGACTAGACTGCTTTCTAGCCTGCCTTTAACTGTCCAGCTATATGAAGGAAGACCCCAGCAGAAAACAAGTCTCTAGAGCGCACCTCACCATTGCAGCATCGCTGCTGGCATAGGAGTCTTTCATTCAGTCTGTTATAGACCATGCACTGGCTTCTCACCAGATGCTGAGGACTGAAATGGTTTAGGCTGACATTTAGGCAGGTGTGGTTGCTCCTCTTTCTGCAGCAGAATTAAAACCCCAAAAACAGCAGACCACCAAAGCCCCCAAACCTGTCAAACACAATTCTTTTTAAAGCAATCTTCAAATATTCTAGAAAACAAAGCATTTCAAATGCATGTTTGAGGATTTTTTTCCCCTTTTGTTAGTTTTTAGTCTTTGCTACCATTGAAATGATCTATTTATTTTTTCAGAGCTGCCGCACTCTCCTCCCCTGCACCATTCTCCAGTATTTATCTTTCGTCTCTAAAGAAGTTATGGCAGAGAATAATTACATTTGTGTACTTTCTGTTTTATAACTTTAAACAATAAGGTGCAGGGTTGCATTCAGTTCAATTGATCAAAGCCAGATGGGGATGAAATGTTTCTGGTTTTGGTTTTTTGTTTACTTTTTTTTTCTTTTTTATCAAAAGGCCTGCTACTATTTGTGCTGATATTTGTTCCCCATTTATGCTGATCAGTGCATCTTTTGCTTTCAAGGATGCCATTAGTAATTCTCCTTTGTGTTCAAAAGCAGGAATCCATTGTGCAGCACTTGGAGAGCCACTCGGATGCAGGTAAAGAATATAACAGCTTGAGCAAGTGCTAATTAGAACCAATTAAACTTAATTGACCTCCTTTGGCAGTAAAATGCATAACAGAACTAGCTCTGTCCTTGCAAAATGGAGATCTCGCCTTTAAGCATAAGAGTGAAGCATGGTTTCATGTATCAGCCCGTAGTAATTATGGGGATATAACAACCAGGAAGCGGCTTGCTCCAATTTGTTCTAATAACTGAGCTCTACTGTATCAGGGCAGTGTAGTAAAAGTGAGATTCCTGGCTCAGCCTATTTAAAAACCTGATTTTTACAGAGCACATGAGCATCCCAAGATACCAATACTAATCTCTAGGAATGAGCTGGCAGGAAAATACAAGAGTCCCTCATATAGGTAAGTAGTGGTGTAAGCATGAAAAAGTAAAAGCAATTATATGCCTGCAAGTTGGAAATGCCTTTGGTACTCAGAGGCTGTGGCTATCCTGAGTAATGGGTTAAAGCTCTGGTGTGCCTGGCTCGGTGCCTTGTCCATGTAAATGATTGGCATCTTGCAATGAGGATGCCTTTGGCAGACTTCTGTTAAAAAAGAGGCACTGGCATCCATCCACCTGAGCTTTGCTGTTCTGTGGGCTGAACCACTACTATGGGTACCAAGTTTGGGCATAGTCAGAGGTATCCAAATAAAAGGAGTGATACGGAGAAAACTCCAGGAACAAGAGAGAGAGCTGGGGAGAGAATGAAAATGTAAAACTATGCATTTGAAAGCATCAGTGGTGGGTCTAAACTACATCCCTGTGAAAAGCTGAAAAGCCATTCTTATTAGGAAAACAGAACTGATCCAGTTTCAATGACGATGCTTTGCTGACTTTTTCCTTAGGAACTGAATGCGACTGATTTTGCTGCTAACTTGGCCTTACTATGAACAGCAATAAAGGTGTTAGTCAGGTAGGGACTTTGATGTGACCAGTAGTATCACTCTCCCTTCAGGGAATGTTCCATGTGCTGGCTTGTTAATGAATTTCTTTCCTAATGAGTATCATTAAAAACCCTTTGATTAGCTATTTGTGTGAATGCCCTTCCTTTTTCCTCTAAGCTGCTACTTGACTAGTGGCACAGGATTTTGCCCTAGGCAGAAAGCATGCAGTTGTATTCCTTACCTCATGAATACAGGTCTGAAGCAAACGGCAATAGCAAAGAGGGGCAGAGGGGAGAAAAAGAAGACCTCATGGATGAGTTAAAGTTGTCTTCTACACAGGTACAACCTGAGCAGGCACTAGCATTCAGATGAGAATGTCATTAGGGGAAATGAAGAGCAATAGGTAGTGATGGTGAAGCATGTAAGAATAATTTACATACACCTCGAGTGCCAACAGGCAAAGGAACAAATAAAGCTATAACCTGGGGAAAGGGAATGCCAGAGAATAAATGGGCCGCAACAAGCAAACAAAAAATGCCATGTTATAAAATGTAGCAAAAAGCCTGGAAAACAAAATTAAAAACAAAACAAGGCATTTCGCATCCCAGGCCCCTTAATGAGATATTGATGGCATAGAAATTGCCTACTCCCATGCAAGACAAAAGGAAGACTGAGAAACACAAAAACAATTAGGAAACAAATTTGGCTATCTGAGGTTTAATAGAAAGAGATGTGGCATAGCAGAGCACAATTAATCACCAATTGCCTGAAACACTTTCTTCTCTGAGCTACTGCAGACCTGTCTCTCCCCTGCACAATCTTAAAGTGTCAGGCACCCGGTTCAGTTTGTGTTTAAAACAAACCTCTCTCTGCTATTCCTTCCCCAGTCCCCCAACTCTCCCAATGAATTGCAGATTCTGATAAACAAACCTTTTGCATTTACTCTGGTGTCACAGGCTTCAAACTAGCTTCAGCCTACCCACCCCCTTCTTCCTTCTCTTTTCCCATGAGGCATAAGCTTAATCTATGTATTTTCTACCTTGTTGTTAGGCATATAATGAGGCTTTTCTATTTCTGTCCCTCTTTGCCCTGAAAGCTGTCTTGGATGTGTCACACTAAGAGATTAATACGAGTTCACTTCCATGTTTTATCTATGTGGAATATGAGTTTTAAGTTTAAACTAGGTCACTGGGTGCCTTTA